ATTTCTGTTCCTCACAGGGATCCTATGCGTGTTTTGCTCATTTTTTGAGGATAATGTTTCCCTTTTTCTTCTGGCCACACTTTGATTTCTTCTCCATGATTGGTAGAAACTGCTCATTTACGCATGAGAAGTCTCCATCGTGGTCATGAACTAGCTCATTCTGAGTTCCAGCCCTTCCTCCTCCAAATTCCCCAAAGCCTGAGCAGGCTGCTATATCTTCAACTGCAGACTTCCTGTTGCTCAGCAGTAATTTGTCCAAAGATAATGAGCAAGGCTAACATTCTTGTAAGATAATTATTTGTCTTTCCTACAGCCATCATTTAGGACTGTCTTAGCTGTCTCCCCAAGATGACGTGTTAGTTAGAGTTGAAGGGATGGATGGAGGGAGTAGATGAATATAGAAGTGACGAAGAAAAGGGAGATACTGCCTACTGGCTTCTTCTAGCCTTTGTTTTACAAAGTCCAAATAAGACACCACTCAAGACATTGTGATTAGTGCTTCAGATAAAAAATATCAAGAGAGAAGAGCTCCTGGTGTATTGGGCCATGAGAGGGCATGGCTTGGTAAGAAGTGTTATGCTCATTGAGAATAGCTGGTGTTCTTAGGGATTATAAGATGTCTGGTCCTGAAGATGAGAGGAATGGAAGGCAGGCGTTTCTGGCTTTGGAAACCAAGACCAGGTGGTTGTTTTGAGTCCAAAGAATTTGGACTTTCTTCTTTTCCAAGTAGAGATCCTTGAATAGGAATCTTCAGAAATTAGATGGACACAAGATTATTCCTTCCCAATTCCAACTCCTTATCACTGTATAAACACCTGCTTTGGGGGCTCTGCCACAGGTAGAAACAAAGACTTTTCACCTCTCAACAGAATAAGCTCTTTTAATAAATTGACTTAAGTGACCTCAGCAAGATTGGTGGAAAAGGAAGCCCCAGGCCTCATTTCCTCCTGGAGACCCAAAATTAGGAACAACAGACAGACCTAAGCGCCTTCATGAGGCTGCAGAAACCAGGTTGCAGGAATCCAAGTCAGCACCAGTGTGGGCAGGAAAACGCGTGCCATTTTTGCCCCCTCACCAGGACCCACCCTGGCTCAATATGGTGTAATTGGGAAGAGCTCCCAACCCTCCACTTCCTCCTCAGAAAGGAAAGAAGAGCTGACTGAGCACCCACATCCCAGCTCTTCAAGGGGACCTGAGGGATCGGCTGTTTCTCCCAACTCCAAGCTCTGATGGGACCAGCATAATTGGGATGTGAGCCTAGCAGGTCTCAGAACAAAGGGCTTGTGACAGTCCCAGAGAGATGTAGAAGCTCAGGAAAACACCAAGGAGAGAGGGAATATGAGCTCCTGAGAAGAAGCAGACAAACCTCTTTAATTGGGAGGCTCATAGTCAGGAGCCTAGGGAAGACACAGTCTCAAAACAGGCTTGAGGGGTCCCCAGAATCTGTGCCCTGCTGACTGGTGGTCTCCCCCTTGATGAAATCAGACTGTAGAGATAGGGAAGTGGCTGTTCTTTCAAATGCCCAAATCTCAACAAAAGATCACAAGGTATATAGAGAAATGGGAAAATGTGACCCAAATAAAGGAACAAAATTAATCTCCATAAACTAAAAGAAGATCTATGAATTCCCTGAAAAGATATTTGCACATCCATGTGATAACAGATTATTTACTGTATCTGAGAGGTGGAGGTAACCCAAATGCCCGTTGACTGATGAATGAATAAACAAAATGTAGTCTACACATAAAATGAAATATTATGCAGCCTTAAAAATAGAAGAAAATCCTATCTCATGCTACAACATGGATGAAACTTGGAGATATTTTTCTAAGTGAAATACATTAGTGACATACTGATAAATACTATGATTCCACCGATATAAGTTATCTGAAGTAGTCAAACTCAGAAACAAAGTAGAATAATGGGGTGATGTCATTCAATGAGTATAGAATTTCACTTTTGTAAGAAATTGAAAAGTTCTAGACATTGGTCTCCAACAACGTGAATATACTTTTAAACTGAAGTGTATGAACGGCATTGAACGGCACACTTAAAAATGGTTAAGATGACAGACTTCATCTGATGTCCTTTTTGAAATCATAATCAAATGTAAAAATAAACTAACTTGAGTTACTGAAAAATCATACTTTTCTCACACACTTGCCTTTACACAGGAGTCATAGAAAACCCTTCTAAATTAGTTGTTCTCAATAGGAAACTGCAGCGATTTGGTTCCCCTTCCAACAGGAGATATTGGGCAATATCTGGCGACATTTGTGGTTGTCACATCTGGGACGGGACTGTGGCTGGCATCTGGTGAGTGGAGGCCAGGGATCCTGTTAAAAGTCTTACAGTGCCCCCTCTACCATGAAGAATCAGCCAGTCCAAAACACCATGAGTGTTGCTTTTGAGAAACTCTGTGTTAAATCATGATCAGCATGTATTATTGTTACATCTGTCCTTCTCCTCCCAGTTGGGTTGGCAGAGTCCAGACTCTAGAATCAGCTGAGTATGAAACAGAAGGTCAAGGCAGGATGGGTCCAAGCCAAGAGAAGAGAGAAATATCATGTTCAGGTATTACTGAAGCCAAAAGAAAATAAAAGAACGAGAGGGTAGGTAAAGGAAGGTGGGGTGTGGGGTCAGTATTGGGAGAGTAGATGTAGGTGTAGAGAGAAGACAGTAAATAAGGCACTTTGGCCCCACTGCTCTGTAGGAGTCCGTACCAAGCACTTTCTTTGCAACTTCTCCGAGTTCATTTAAAGTTATAATAATGCAGAAAGATGTCCTCTATACTCTCATCGAAATGACCATGCCTGGTGGAAAGGTGGGGACGGTTGAGATAGAAAGACTTTAGTTGTCAATTAAAAAGCAACCACTTGCCTATGAAGACACTGATAAGAGACATGCAGTAGGTGAGGACAGATAAAACCTGCCTGTGCCAGGGGGGCTTCCTTAATTAAAATTAACAAGTGGTCTTGATAGTGGGTTTTTGAAAAGGCACCAGATTCAAGACAATTTGAGAGGGCTGTGGACTTCATGGCCACAGTCCTAAGCCTTCTCCAAGGTTTGGGGAGAAGCACCCAAGACTCTCACCCTGAGATTGGCAACTCCCCTCCCTGCAGGTGGATGGCCACCAGGAGCTCTCTGGATCAGGTTCCACCACTCTGGGTGCCAGTCCCCCTACTTTGCAACCTTCCATTCTTGCAGCCAATTAAAGTATATGCTTCTATTATTATAACGTTGATACCCCCTCCGAATAAATTCACATTGTGGTTGTACGCATTTGACTTGAGTCAAAGGTAAAACCTTCCCATTTTATGGAAATTAGCACTCTGGAGTTCCTGGATCTGATAAAACAAAAGGAAAAAAGACAAGAGAGGAGAGCCTCCCTGGTGGCACAAGGGGTTAAGCCCCGCACTAGGAAGCAATCCGCAGCCTCTGCAGCACAAGCTCGATCGATCCCCGGCCAGGGAGCAACCCACATGGTGCAGCAGACCTCTCCTGCCTCACCTGCCGCTCCCCTCAGCAGTGTATTTCAGTCAGTCTGCCTGTTCTGTTCCCCACTCTGTCTCTGGTGAATCTTCTCACCCCCCTGCATCTCTGTCCTGCACCCCAGCCCTTGTATGCATAAATAAATCTTTAAAAAAAAAAAAAGACTGGAGAGGAAATCTCTGCTTGGGTTGATGGATTCAATTGGCTTGATGGCAAATTCCACCCAAGCAAACATGGTCGTGGCTGTCCCTTTTTTGTCAAAGCCCCGGAGGAGAGCTGGACCACATGACTTCACTGGATGTTTGGATGTGATGAGGTGCAGGGCGTGATGGGAAAACACCATGGGCATTCTGGGGAAGGAGAAGGGACCAGGAGCCCAGGAGAGAGAGATGGAGGGTCTTCCGTCTCTTGTCCATCGTTTTCCTGGTCAGTCTTTTTCCTCTCTTAGATTCATCTCTAGAAATTAAGACAAGGGGATGGCATTCAGTAAATTGTGCCATTCTGAACTAAGTCAGCCTTTTATTTATTTTTTTTTAAATAATAAATTTTATTTTTATATTCCCCCATACAATTGCAAACGTCCCATTCTGACCCCAATCCTTCCCCTCCCGCCCCCCACCCCCCAAAAAGTGTCTCTGGTTCATAGTTTTTTGTTGATTTTGATTTTCCACTCATAGCAGGAATCTAGAAAACTTAAATAAGGGACCCGGAAAATGAATATAAGAAAGTGAAAATCAAAGTCAGCCTTTTAGATGGTATTTTTCAAGTCCTTTCCTCTCCAGAAGAGTTAACACATGGAGTCAAGTGTGAGGGCACCAGGATGGTCAGGGCTATCTCCTGGGCGCCTGCTGGCATTGCCCCAAGGAAAGGAGGAAGCTTGTGGAATGGAGTTGTTCAGCTGCCCTGACTGGCTCTGGCTCTGGCACTCTTGCCTGGCTCATCAGAAGCGGCATCCCAAGAATGCCCACCTGGGGTCTTGGTGGGGCACAGGAATCCACCATTTCACAAAAGTGCCCCAAGTAAGAATTTGTTAAATCCTCTCAGGTCTGGCTGAAACTTCCCTGTCTATGCTCCAGTTTCATGCTTCCACGAATGCCAAGAAGCTGTGTTCAGCCTGCTCAGAGCCTCGGGAATGGAAATAAAGAAAATATTCGCACATAACCAAAAAAGACTTGTTCCATGTTATACTATTGCTGGTGTCAGGTCTATATTTTTGAACATGCCTTGAAAACAGGACAGTTGTGATCACTGTTATGATTACTGTGGTTCACTGTATATTACTGAATATTCTCTCTCCCTATTATTGCTACTCTCAATATTACTGTGAGTAGAGACATTATTGAATGTTCCTTGGAAGCACTATAGGCCTTTTATAAATGCTCTCGCATAACGAACCTCCAGTGTTGACCCGGTTCCCTATTTCACAGATTAGAAAAGCAAAGCTCGGAGAACGGACTCACATAATAACAAGGAGCTAATAAGTTTGAGGGTGGCAGTTCACACATACATTTCAGTGACTCCATCGTCTTCCAATCACTAGTTGGTTTAGTTGTGATTTTTCTGAAGATGTTAGGAGTTTAGAAAAAAAGGAAGTGCAGGCATATTTCACAAATCAACAGTCTGTTAAGTATCACATCCTGTACAGCCACAAACACTGAGCTAAGGAGGAGCTCATGACTTTCAGAAGATGAAAACAAGTAGCAAATTCTGACGGGACTGTATGAGAACCTAGAATTAAAATCTCCTGGGAGTTTCTGAGCGCTCAGCTGGAACCAACAGGCAGCTCCATCCAAGGCCACAGGTAAGCTCTGCTGAGAGATTTTCTTCAACTCACTTTCTCCCCTCTGAGGGGATGTTCGATTTGAAGTTCCTTGAGAGAAGTTAGGAGACACCGGTGTTTTGGAAATGAAGTATGCACAGGAAAGGAGTCTTGGGCATTGCCTGTGTTTGCTGTTCGCTGACTGCATGACCTAACCGCGTCCCTGGCCATGCCATGGGATTAACAGGAGCCCAGCTCTTACCTCTTCTGCTGGTCTCAGGCCCTGTACCAATTGGGCATCATGGGCTGGGCATGGTGCAGGGAGAGGGGATCCAAGCTGACTGGCCGTTCATGCCACCGGCAACCTGTCCTTAAGATTGTCACAAGGAGGACCCAGATCTTGAACCTATTGTAGACCACCAAGTCCTGCTCTTACCTCTGCATGCATCTCTGATACGCTGCTGTTTCCAGGAGGGAGAAGGAAGAAGTTGCACAGGTTAGTGGTTGTGTAGACTCAGTGATAGCTGGGGTCCAACCCTGGCTCTATGGCCCCCCAGTTATGCGAACGTGCCTGAGTAATAATGATCCCTGCAGATACTTCCTCACCATCAACTCTGTGCCATGCTGCTGTGCAAAGTGTGTATTATTTCCATTCATCATAAACTTTATGACTTTTAGTTTCCCTCTTTTAGGATTTTACTAGCTAATTTAACTAACTAAACATATAAGGATGAAAGATGTGATAAGATAAAATCTAGTAAAATGTGGTCAAATATCTAAGATTAACCCTGATAAATGGTATTACAGCAAGAAATGAGCAGAGCTCAATAGTCTGAACAGTAGCAGGTCTGAATAGGAAAAGGTTGACAAAGAGCAGTTAACATCGCATGCAAAAATTCATCAAGCATCTGGCAACTGAGTTGTTGTAGGTAGGACTAGGAGAAAAAGATTTAGACACATTCCAAGCTTTGTGTGACCATTTGTCTCTGAACACTGAGGCCCCTCAAGACTTGTGGTGCTGCCTCTGGTGTGCTTCTAACAGATAATGAATGAACTGTGCCAAACACTACGGAAAAATTCTCGGGAAACCAAAGTTTTATCGTATTCACAGCTCCATATGACCGTCCTTACCTAACGGACAGAAAATGGACAGCTCTTGGTTTTTAGCTTGGGGATCTTGACCCGGAATCTCTGTACTTTTGAAAAGCTGAATTAATTTTCTCTTCCAGCATTGGCAACACCACCATGATCTCACAACCCATGGCCAATGAGAACTTTGTCATTCTCACACCCAGTGGCCTCAAGATCCTTCAAACAGAGAAACCCAAGGCCACCAGCCACAGTCAAGACAATGTGGCGAAACACCGAAAGGCAGACTTCAAGGTTCTGGGGGTAAGCCCACATCAGGATGTGTCAGAGGGGGGTGTGGGACACATGGACAAGACTGTGTGTCTTGGGAGCCGCTGTGAGTGTGGAGATAGAGGCTCATGTTTACTCAGAGGGACTCCAGGTTGGTCCTAAGGCCAATGGAAGCCACGTGGGTGGTCATTTGAAGCTTGCTCAGAACTTTGCCACAGAAGAAGGTATTAAAAGTGCTTTTCTCCCAATTCAGAATATGAGTAATTGAGTTTTGTTTTTTCCTTATTTTTGCAATACAGTACTTCTCTACATTTTCTTTTTTTTTTAAACCACTTTATGGAGGTATAATTGGCATTCAAAAAAGCTCTACATCTATATCTTTTTTTTACAAAAGTAATAATAGTAAATAATTGTGTACTTTGCATACATTTTTCCTATGTGTTCACCAATTGCATGCTGAATAATAAGTTTTTGAAGGGAAATTTTCCTTTCCTGGGAATTACAGGAAAAAAATACATTTTTCTGCTCCTCTTTTCTCTTGAGAACAGAGGCGATGTTTACCTTTTAATGGCCTCTCTTCTTCTGATGTATGATTTATTAAAGAAGATACTGAATTATGGGAGGGTGGGAGGAAGGACATTTCCAGGACTGAGAGAAAAATGTCAAACTCTGCTTTATCGAATTTTCTCTGCCCTTGTATGACCTGAGATGAGACCATCTGTCTGACCAGGTTTCAGAATGTGGTAGGACTCTTCTCAAACATACAATCACATGAATTATTCAGGTGACATATGGTTTAGAAAATTGTGTTCATAGAGCTTTGAATGTCCGACATGGATGTCAAGAAGGGGAGGTTGGTCTAGTAAGACAGAAGTTCGGGCTCCTCCACTATTGGGACATGGGCTGAAAAGGCCCAGGAACTTGCCAGGGGGCCACGCTCCACATTGCGTTCTGTGGATTCTGGGCCGTTCGGAGAGTTTCCACACTGCCAGTGCTCAAAAGATGTCCCTTGCTCCGTGAAAGGTAAGAGGAGAATTAGTAGCAATGGGTTAGGTGAGCCAAGGAAGAGTCTAGCACTCGTCATGTGCTGGGAGCCACGAGTCATGGGCAGACAAGGGCCCCAGAGGTGGCAATACCTGAAGGTGAGTGCTCACTCCATCATCACGGATCCTAATTTATTCCTCCAAAATACCTTCTCAGAGTTCTCACTGCAGAACTCCTGCAGTGAGATAAAGGAAAAGGTGGGCTTTCCAGGATTCTCCCTGAAATCCGGCAGGAGGTGAAAATGCATGAGCAGCCTAGGAAAGGTGAGAGGTCCCGCCTCTACAGTTGCCAATTTTCTCCCTTCTTTTTCCAATAGACTATCCAGATCCTGTGTGGGGCGATGGTATTGTGTTTGGGAATCACTTTGAGATCTGCTTCCTTCTCTCCATATTTTACCAAAGTGTTTTCCTCCCTGTTGACGGCAGCCTACCCGTCCATTGGAGGCCTGTGTGTGAGTAAGATGCTTAGGCGCACAGATGGGCGGGGCGGGAGGAAGATGCCGAGAACAGCTCCTCACCTGTCACCTGGCTACCTTTCTGCCTGCCAGGAGCAAGGGCTCATGGTAGAACTTGTTCTCCTGTCTGTGGTCCAGGGAAGAACTAATTGTGGTGGGAGGGTAGAACTTGCCTGGTTGTTTTTTGTTTTTTTTTTTCTTTTTACAACAAGAATCTCTTTTTATTTTTAAATTTTTAATTTGTATTGACCTTTTTAGTGTTTTGATAATATAAGGACTCCCCCGACCCCCAGATGTAGTCACCATATCATTCCCTCCGCCAAAGCACCCAGCGTGCTCCACCTTAGTCCACTGTGTCCTTCCAGATGCTTCAGACCTGACTCAGCTTGCAAGGGCTGGTTTTAATGTTTGTCTTTGTCTGACCCTTTGTTTGGTTTCTCTCTGTTTCTCCTGTTAAGTGACACCATCTGGTATTTATCTTTCTCCTCTGGCTTATTTCACTGAGTGCCATCCATTTTAGCTCCTTCCATGTTGTTGCAAATGGTATGAGCTATCTTTTTTGGTTGCTGAGTAGTATTTCTTTACTGACTCAATCATTTCTTTTGAAGATCACCTTACTCTTCACCTCTTCCTCTCGAGCTATGATAAGGCTGATGATTTCTCTCCAGGTTTAGGCAAAAATCCAAGAAGTAGATGCAGTTGGGAAGGTGTTTTCTACAACATACATGAGCATCAGTGGATGAGAACACACACAGAGAAACCCACGTGTGCTGGTGGGAGCTGTGGAGGAGGGAGAACTTTCATCACTGAGCACTTTGCAAGTGCTTTTTGCTACATGTAACAGCACCTAGGACATGCTGAGCACATGTCTCAGCTTTAGTGATGGCCTGGAAATGCCTCTAAAACAGCTTCCAGGGTGAGACACAGAGGACTTCAAGGGTCCTTTTCTCAGAGAACAGCTTTCTGTCCCATTGATGTGGAGGAGTCTTTCTCACAATAAACATTCTCATCCACAGATTTCCCACCAGCTTTCCACAAGTCAGCTGCTGTCAGCTGCTTCTCCTGCCTTGTTGCTTTCTCTGATCCATCCTGAACCCCACCTTTTCCTTTATCTGATCCATTTTTCTTTTTTTATTCATCAAAGTCAACATTTCATTTGAATTTTACAAGCTTTTCCCAAAAATCATTTTTCTGTCCCATCAAAGATACTGCATCACATTTAATCACAAAGCTTCTTAGGATCTTCTTGGCTTTCTCGGGTCACCCTAAATTTTGGTTTGGCTGATAGTGTCCTCAATTTTATACAAGGTAGAACATGCCAGAAAGAAAGTATCATTATCGCCCACTGGTATGAGGGTCTAAGCTATCAACATGATGTGGCACTGATGGAGTCAGCTTTGATCAGGTGACCCACACGCATTGGCCAGGGTGCATCATGAGAAAGTGTTTTTCTCCATTCTCTTTTCCACACTCTCCTCTTTGCAAGCAAGTCACTAAGGATAGCCCAGACTTAGAGGCATCTGTCCTATATTAAAAACCCAGCATTTATTGAGTCAGACCTAAATCACTTAACATTGGGTCCTGTGGAGCTGTAATTTTTCTTCTTGTTTCATTCCATTGCCCGCTACCAAAGGATTTCTTACTGAGCTCTCCCAAATCTATCAGATAATTAAAACTCTAGAGAGTAGAAATAATTTCTTGAACTTTCCAAACGCTACTTAGAGGATTTTCTGCCAGCCACACTCAGCCTTTCTCTGTTCTCGATTATCATTCTACCTGGGAGCCACCAACTTGAAATGCATGTCTCTTGTCTTCCTATATCTGTGAACTCCCCCCATGCTTTTTGCTTTTCTGTTCCATTGCATTGATGCTTTTCTCTGGATAAAGTCTAACCCCAACACTTTATTCTGCAATTTTAAAAAAAAATCCTTTTTTCCTGCTTTGGAAGGTCCTCATTTGTCTTTTGGGATAGAGCTTACTCATATCTTGCCTTTTTAAATGCTTTTCTGGGTGCTGTTGGGGCAAAAGGGACCTAGATATTTTAGTTGGGTCTTGTCTTACTGGCCATTGGCTGCTTCCTCAGGCTTTCCTCGTGGGAGTTCTCCCTCAGCACCACACTAACAGCATTGTAGCTGTTTCTGTTCATATAATCCAGCCTGACCATTTTCTCTCTTTTCCGAGTAGTTCATCGTCGCCGGATCTTTATCAGTCATCACAGAGAAAAAATCATCGAAAATCTTGGTGAGTATGAGAAACATCCCATAAAGTAATGGATTGAAATGACACATAGGGAGGGGGTTTTAAGGTCAATCTCCTCACTTGGCCGGGTTGAAAACTAAGTTTCAGAGAGTTTGGCAGAGTTGGGAGTTGAGCCTGGCTCACCCGCCTTTCTCACCAGCGCACATCTCTTGACCACTGTACCCTAAATCACACTGCACTCAGGCTATGGTGTTATGGCCTAGATCAGTATCCAGGTCTACTCCCGAAAAAGTCTGTCTCTTTATGCCCTTTGGGTGGTAAGCAGCCCTCAAATTTTGGTCTTCAATGATGAAAAGCTGTAGGGTTATAAAGGGGCCTATTTGCTGTGGATTCACTGCTTCAGCCCATCTGTCAAAATCCTTGAGAAACCCAGTAAAAATGTGGTTTATGTGAGGAATGGTCTCTCACTTTTTACCTAGCTGATCTGAAAACTAACACTTTGTTGGATTTGAACATGAACTCCTGACTCCTAAAAGATGTCATTCACCATTTGTATTGGCTAAGAAAACAACTTCACTTGCCTTTATCAGGGAAAACCAGAGTGGAGGTGACAGGGAGAGAAAAGCAGGATTCCAGAGAGAAGCTTTTCTAACTTGCAAAATATCACTAAAACGTCACTGGATCCTATATCCCTCAAGTAGTTTGAGGTTAGGGTTTGTGTGTGAGAATGCCATATAATGCTCAGAGAGACAGTTTGGAAACTTTGGCCACAAAAATCTTCCGAAGGCAGCAAGAAGTTAGAAAGAATGCCCAGGACAACACCACTTCATTAGAATTTAGAGGTGATTATTTCAACCCTGACCCCAAACTACTAGATCAGTGCTGTCCACTACACCTTACCTGTGAAAAAGGTAAAAAGTGACTGTGCTGTCTAACAGGATGGCACGCATAGCTACTGATAACTTGAAATGTGGTTACTGCCATTGAGGAATTGAATTTTTTTTAAATTTAAGTTAACTTTAAATATGAGTAACCCATATGGTTAGTGACAACCATATTGAATGGGACAGTACAAGATAATGTTCCTGGGTTTTTTTGGAGGGAAGCCGAGGGTGCTATTAGCCTAGAGAAGAATAATCCTTGAGCATCAAGCTCAAATATACAGGATCGGGTTTCAGGGTAGACACAGCTCACCAGAGTCCCCCGCCCCATGGTGACTGCTACTATGGTCACATGTTGGACCAGCCTTTATTGAGGCTGGAGAGTATTTTTCAAGAACAAACCTCAGTTACTCCCAGGAACCCATACTTGGGCATCATGACAGCTGCTGGCTATAGGAGGCCTATGAACAAGTGCTCTAAGTCTTTTTTTGGAAAATTGGAGTTTGGAGGAAAAAGTGCCCCAAAGCTCTCACTGCTGAGTCCCTAAAAAAGCATCCATGATGAGATGAAGTGCCATTCTGATTTTGGCTGTTGGATGTGACCTGGGCTGTACCTAGCTATAACAACAGCTTCTGGAATGTTCTTAGCTCAGTTCCCCCTTCAGTGCATTGGAATAAAAAAGAAACCATTTCTGAGACTGCTGCACCTCCCCCTGTAGTGACCTTTAGGGCTAATGGCTTTCGCCACCGTCCCACGCTTCTCTCAACCCTGAGACGGCCTCATCGTCTACTGCTGTGCTGGTCCGTGGCATGAGACCATTTTATGTATTCTCCTCACTTCATACAAGTAGAAACGAGACCCAGAGTGGGAAATTAAGCTGAAAAGCTGAATATCCAAGAATGCCGCAAGAGCCATAGGCAAAGCCACAGTTTCCTGACTTCCAGTCCAGCCACTTCCTTCCACATGACACCCTCCTTGGGCTTAAGTCTAGAACTCCCGCACGTCATCCATATCTGGTCCTGGATACAGCCTCCATCAGATGCTGGTCCAGCTTCCAGGCCGCGCGGGTCTGGGAACCATGTTCACCCTCATCTTAGCAGCATGCGTGTGCTTCTAAGGGAGAACTCATCTAAGGAGGAGGGATTTGCCTCACCTGCTCCTCTGTGGGGCAGATGCTTCTGTGAGGAGCTTCTGAGTAAGTTAGAAGAAAGACAACACCTGGCTTCAGTCACATCCTTTGGGGATGTGGCAGGCGCAGCGTGAGGGAGCCCCATCTCATCCAGAGTGAAGAGCTCAGGAGAGAAGACTTACCTTCCAGCTCCAGGGATGTTGCCAGGTGCTGGAACCTAGCCACAGAGTTCTAGGTCTGTCCATCTTAGACCTCCTGAAAGAGACACATAAGAATATGATTTTTTGCAAGGCTCTGGCCAAGAGATATCTGTTGCCATCTGGAGTGACCTCTGCTCAATATTTTCTTCCAGGTGTGGTGCTGTGTGGGTGCAAACATTCTGAGCTCACTCTCGGCGCTCGTGGGTTTGAGTCTTCTCTCTGTCAACCTGTCTGACTTGAGCCATCCCTTGAGGGGGTGTGAATTGGCCACAGACGATAGAGCACACGAAGATCATCATTTGTATTACGAGTCCAGCGTGTTTGACAACACAGACTGCTCGATGGGCCAAACCTTGCTGACTGTAAGTGTTTGTAGATGGATGTCCCAGTCTTACCAGGTTTCTGGATGCTTTCGCTTTTGTTATCTCTCCTTTTGAAAACCTAATTCTTGCCGGCTTGGGCATCTGAGAGAAGACCAGGATTGTGTCAACTAGAACATGACTGAGGTAAAGGGGCAAGGCTTGGGGGTGGAATGGAAGAGAAAATATCAACCAAGGCTGATTACGTAAAACTAGACCTTACGGTGGAAAGAGTTGTTTAGTAATCAAATTGATTCTATCGTTAGAGGTATAAAATATGAATTTATCCAACCAAAAAACTATGTGTATGTGGAGTAGTGAATTAAGAATGGCTTTGTATTCTTAATCTTTCCATAGGAATCTTTTTTATTACTGTATTATTATTATTATAAAATTTTATTATTATATTTTTATTATTTTAAAAATAACTAGATTAAATTATTTATTATGTTATTTTGTTATAAAATTAATTCATAAATTCATTTCATTTTTACTCCCCTAGTCAGGGGAGTCGGCTCACACATCCTCCATATACGTCATGACCCCACACCCACCACCATGACACCCATTCCCCTTGACCGTGAACAGTGGGCCCCTTGGCCCATTTGTTCCCAGCCTTACCCTCTAGCAACCTCAAGATTGAATTTTAAAGAGAACTTGCACAACCAAAACTTGATTGATCCTCATAAATCTCTGAAAAGGAAATATGACTATGCATATTTGATAAATGAGGAAACAAGCTAGATAAGTAAGACTAGGCTAGGCTCCCACAGTTGCTGAGCAACAATGGTGAGGCTGGAATGAAAGCTGTTCTTTCTGGATCCTGCCCCTCCCTGAATCAACAATGTAATCTGATTTAGCCATGTGCCCCAGAGGCAAGGAACACTTGCATCAAGTGACATAGTTGATTTCCTTATTGCTAATTTCTCCTCTTCCTCTCAAGGAAATAAATGAGCAAAGAAATTGAATTGAGTGAATCACTAGGCTTGGAAGGAATGATGTTCTCTTCCTGACAGTGTCTTTATTTCATTTTCTGATGGTTGAAGTGGCCTCGTCTCTACAGTCACCCCCCCAGTAAGTCCTGACGGCTTAGGTTGACTCAGGCATCACTAACCTCAAATTTCCTGCATTTCAGGGGGTTCTGTCGATGACCCTGATTTGCACTGTGCTGGAGTTATTCCTGGCTGTGCTCACTGCTGTGATTTGGTGGAAACAGCATCGCTCCAATTTCCCTGGGGTGAGTGTGTGCCCTTCAGTTCCCAAGCTGTGTTGAACTATATAAGCAAGAGAGGCAGAAAGGACAGTCAGTCATGGGTCATCACACTTATAGGAGGTGGGCTGATGGGAATAGAAGACAGATGAAAAAAACAGAAGTCAACTGAAAATCTGGTCAGTTGAAGACTCACTGGATGTGAAAATAGTTGAGTCTGGGAGTCAACAGTTCACTCTTCCCCTAGCGTAAATGCAGAAACCTGGAAAGTTAAGTGAATGGTTTGCCCAGTTCTTCTACGAAGAAACAAACAACAAAAACAGATTTGCACACATACCTGGGTTCAGTAAATGTGAAAATTCTGATCTTCCCTTCCAATGTTCTTAACAATGCTCTTTCCCCTTAAAAGATACAAAAACTATTGTTGAGTCTAATTCCATGGGACACCACTCTATACCACCATGAACTCATGGCATCAGTGAATGGAATTAAAAAGCTTTGATTGAGCCAAAATTTTATTGTAGATGATGGAATGGATACAAGACTGATGAGTAGCAATGATATAAAGAATTTAATGGCATATTTTGATTATCTTGGAAGAGTTAAGAGTTCTGTGTACAACATTTAGCAGGAATGACATCAAGATAAATGCATATACTGAACTTGTGTGAGCCAAGTTGGAAGAACTAACTTACTCTGTTTCTTCTAGAGTGTCATTTTCCTGCCTAACAGTTACCAGACTTTATCCGTTACATCTCAAAAAGGAGCAAGGGACAGCACATATGAGGAACTCTTGACTTAAGAAAAAAAGGAAAAATATTCATCAGAAATTTGGTCTTATATGAAAAACAACCAGAGAAACCCAACCCGAGAAAGTTTGAGTTCACTTAAATGTAGGCTTTTATGTAATGAACATTAAAATTTTATTTGTTTTCTTGTGTTTGAATATATGTGTTCAATGGGGCTGGGGTGGAGCTAGGGCTCTCATAATTCACCAGATATTGATTTTCACAAACATACAGAACTAGACTGGTCAGATAGATATTTCTCAGAAGACTAGAAATAATGGCGATTCCATGGATAATGGTGAAAAAGAGGCCACCCTTTCTTGTAACCCTTAATTGCCAACAGGAGTCAACTGATTTGTTGTGGTGTTTCTTTCATGGAAGGCACTACTCTTTCATCCATATATTTTACTCATTAGTACATGCAGACAAGTCACCTAAAATTACGTTTCATCTACATTTCCTGGTTTCTGTGTTATTTTGTGATCTTAAAGAAAGAAATTGGTCATTTTTGCATAAACAGTGATAACTATAAATTAACTTAAACAATAACTTCGCTACCTCTGTTTAGGAAACAAAATACTGAGGAGGCTTAGATCACCATCTGCTCAGTGATCAGGGTCAGGTCTAAGCTAAGACAACACCTAAGTATGTACCCTTGGTTTACACTGGTAAGTGTGTGTGTGTGTGTGTGTGTGTGTCTGTGTGTGTGTGTAACACCCATGAACATGGGTCAAAATCAAAACATACTAGTATGTAATCTTATAGTCAAGAAGAAGTGACACTTCTATCACAAGAGGGGAAGTTAAGGATGGGTGAGAAACATTTCCTTCGATGACCAAATCCCATAGTTCCTTCTCAAATAAGGTCAGTGGGTGAATCCATGGTATGTTGAAGTTGTTTCTCTACATGAATAAAGAGCCATATACTAAAGAAGGAGGCATCTATTTAATACTTTTTCATATATATTAGATTGTTATTAGTGCAGTAACATTGGTTTACAAAACTGTATCTGTTTTATACCTCTTCAAATGTATGTTACCCCACCACACCTACCACCAAAGTACCTCAGTCCACTGGAATCCTTGCTCCCTTTGCTCCCCACGCCCCAACATTTCCTCTGGCAGCCTCAGTTCTGCCGTCAGATTTCAAGGCTTAGTTTTGGTGTGGTTTTGTCTGACTCTTTGTTTCTTTATATTCTGCATGGTGAAATTATCTGGCATTTGCCTTTCTCCTTCTGACTTATTTTGCTTCACATAGTCTGCTCCACTTCTGTCCATGTTGTCACAAATGACAACATTTCATTTTTTATAGCTGACTTAGTATTCTTTTAGTCTGACACTTCTTCCTTTTTCACAGCCTACATTTCCCTGTCTGAGATTCCCTTTCAAGCAAATATTGCAAAGGGCACCATTTTACAGTCTGGACATTTCCCTCCCACATAGATTAGAATCTTCCCTTTGAAAGCCCAATCATAAGCAGACTCACTCACCCCAAAATTTATTCTCACCTCACCCTAGAATAGATAGTATTGATCTAATTTTCTACACATCAGCCACCAATAGCCCAGCACAGAACTCCTTCTAGAAGGTGAGACTGGAAAATGAGCTCTTCCTACTTATGCATTGTTCTAGAGTCCTACCCAGCGGGAGCCAAGTGCCCCCTCTGTCCTCTAAATCATTTCGGCTAAGCATTTAATCTGATCTGGAGAGCGATGTCACAGAGCTGCCTTCGGTTCTGTGTGGCGGGTCATCCCACCCAGGCTGCCAGTTGTAATGAACGAGCCAGAACTTTCAAAAGATGGTCATCAGTTTTTACTAAGAAGTTAAGGACAAACAACATAAGCCTGGCTTTCGACCTTGATTGCTCTCACCTGGGGATTTCTTTCCTTTAGTAAAATATTAAGACTTCATCCGAAATCTTAGTGACATGGGAACAAGTGATTCTGACTTATACCAAGTGCCAAACAACAGCCAGGAATAAGTTTTAAGTTCCACAAATGAACATTTTCTTAAGAAACATCAGAAAAATAAATCACTTGTCACTATAATAATTGAGTATGTTAGTCATTTATAGTTTATCCATTCATACCAACTCTGGCATCGATGTGGGTAAACTGGACATTTCCACACACTGCTAGTGGGCATGTAAGGTGGAGCCATAACTTTGGAAACCATTTGGCAGTTTCTTAAATGTTAAACATCTTACATATGATGCAGTCTTTCCACTACAACTGACCTAGGAGAAATTAAAGCTTGTGTCCACATGAGGACTTGTACGGAATGTTCATCATAACTTAATTTGTCATAGTCTAAAGCTGCATACACTCCAAAAGCCCATTAATAAACTGAGGTACATCCAGACCATGGAATCCTACCCTGTGCATGAAAAACATGGATGACCATGAAAATAAATTTGCTGAGTGAAAGTCAACATTTAAAAGCACAAACTTTACAATTCAATATATATAAATCCAGAAAATGCAAAGGAATATATATGAAAAAAAAAAAAAAAAGAACAGTGATCCTCTTGGGTGGAGAAACACCATAAAAGGGCACACAGAGTCTTTATGAACAGTGGGTTTGTTTACTGCATTGGATGTGGGGATGGTAAATATATATGTCAACACATGAAAATGATGTGTGGATAGACCTTTTAAAAAATTTTATTAAAGTACTTTTGCTAGTATTCTGTAAATAAAGGATCTCCCCTGCCCCCCGCCCACACACACACCCAGGAGCAGTCACCATAGGTCACCCACCACCAAAGCACCCATAGTCCACCACCACAGCCCACTGTGCTCTCTCCCCATCCTTTTGCACCTCTCCCCCTGCCCCGCCCCCCCCCCCCCACTTTGGGTGCCTCAGTCCTATGATTAGTTTTCAAGAATTAGTTTTTAAGTTTGACTTTACTCACCTTTATTTTGTTTTCTCTATATCCTGCATATAAGTGACACCATCCAGTAATTGTCTCTGTCCTTCTGACTTATTCCACTTAGAATAATTCCCTCCACTTCCTTCCCAATTTTTTTTTTAATCCATTCATCAGTTAATGGCCATTTGGGTTGTTTTCCCCTTGTGGCTATTAGGAATAATGATGCTCTAAACATTTATGTGCAAGTTGAAAAAGACCATAAAAATAATAAAATTTTAAATTTATATTTATTACATATTACTTATATCTCACTAAGTTTTTTAAAAAGTCAATTGACTAAGAAATATACCTACAAAGGCACAGTACAGTTTATAAACTATGGGTAAGGAAAATATAAGAAAAAAGCTAAAAGTCTGAGAGGAAAAGGAATTCAGTTTGCGATTTTGACATTTTCACATTATACTAATACATGAATGATTTCACAATATTTCGAGATAGTCTTATTAAAACTTTTTTAACCATTTACAAGTTACTTTGTAACTTCTCCTTGTGGCCTAAGAATCTTCTGTATTCGTTCCTGTTTTTCTCCATTTTAAGATTTTCTCTTTGTGCTTACTTTTGAATAATTCCTACTGACCCGTCTTCCAGTTCTGTCATCCTGTCATCTGTGCTTAACAGGATATTAAAATCATTATTACTAATAACTAATACAAAAAACATTATTACTAAGCATGTAAGAGATTGCATGGATATCCAGGATCAAGATCAGAAAAATCAGACTTCACTTAAGGATTAGTCATCACAAATATTTTATGTCATAAAGTGCCAAGTTATGAAGAATTTATAACAATCATTAATATGTATTCTTAAGCCAGAGCTTCAAAATATATATTAAAAGTAACAGAAATATCCACAATTATAACTGATAATTTTAACAGCTCTCTTTCAGCATCACTATGTAACACATCTGCTCAACACAAGCAACTTTAAAACTCTCTGCAAAAATGCTGCAGAGTACATTTTTAAAAAACATATGTATCATTCACCAAAGCAGACTATTTCTTGTCTTCAAATTAGTTCCAATAAATTTTAAATCTTTGAAATCATACTTCTTATGTTCTTTCATCGTAAGAATGAAATATAACTCAACCCCCAAGAGTCAGTGAATTTCAATTGTTCCAAAAGCTTTAAAACTAAACAAATAAACCACATAGATATACACATTTGAAAAAAGGATTTCTTCCAGAATGTAAAAACCCATCAATTCAAGTAGCAACAGTAGAAAGTCCACAGAAGACTTTCGAATTCCTTTGCTAATTACAGACATATTATGTACTTTGTAACTTCTCCTTGTGGCCTAAGAATCTTCTGTATTCGTTCCTGTTTTTCTCCATTTTAAGATTTTCTCTTTGTGCTTACTTTTGAATAATTCCTACTGACCCGTCTTCCAGTTCTGTCATCCTGTCATCTGTGCTTAACAGGATATTAAAATCACTTGGCAATTTCTTTATTGGTGTTATGGTGTTTGATTTTTTAAATTGGTTCTAATTATCTAAAATAATACTCCATATTTTCTCTATTTTTTTTTGTACATAGTCATCATAGCTATTTAAAGTCATTGCCTATTAATATCTGCCTTACCTGTGGGTCTATAGCTTTGTTCTCTTTGACTCTTTACCCTGAAATAAGTGATTTGGGAGGGGATGCATATTATGAATGGATTGAGAGTCAAGGCATTTTATATACAAAGTATATGGAACATTTGACACTCCACAGAGTGAAGGAGACACGTGTAGATAACTTCAAATGCTTAAGACATGTGTAGATAACTTCAAATGCTTAATCGGCTCTCAGCACATGTTTGCAGAATGGGATTTCCTGTTAAGGTACCAATAGTATAGATATCGTATACATCTCTAGCTCTTATGAACTTCTAAAAGAAGGGGCGAAGGAAAAAAATAACACCAAATTACCCAAGTTTAACTCAACTCTCAAGCAACCGCTCTTTGGTTTATCTTATTTGCTCGGTTATAAGTACTCAGTAAATGAACACTTAATATATGCTAACTTCCCCGAAGATAGTCAGAGAATACAAGAAAAATAAGAAATACAAGAAATACAAGAAAAATACAAGAAATACAAGAAAAATCTACAAATGTGGGGGTGGGGAGGAGGTTTAGTTGAACAGAAACAACAAAAGCAATATATTATCTTGAGTAGAATAAATCATAATGTAAATGTGGCAGACTGTAAAAAGAACAGAAAAATTTTCAGTTGCTCCTTAAACAATATCTTGGTTGCCTGGACCCTTTGCTATGAATGAAAATGTTCTAGGCTCTTAATTCTTAAGACTCAGTAGGAGAGAGTTTATCCCCTCTGTCTTCCAACTCGCTATAAATTGGAGAATATACGTTTAATTCTTCATAAAGACGATCTTCTGGAATCTGAGGAGGGAAAAAATATTTAATATCAATCACCCTAAATTTTCCACCACTAGAAGTTGTTCACGAGGTGTGTCTCATCTCCGTTTGTCTTTCTGAATCTCCCACACTCTCCCATGACACACAATCACTCCCACCATCTCCAACAAACCAAGCCAGATTTGCTGTCTAATGGCCTAAAAGAAATTATGTCAGTCAATGACAAGTTGGCGAGACTATACTATGCCTCAGCCTTACTGTCTGCTATCTTTTTTTATCTTTGGAGGAAAGGGATCCAAAAAGGCAACCAGACTCGCAAGGACAGATGGAGAGAGCATGTTTTATCTGTAAGATTCAAGTGTATGTGCATTTAAGTATTAGTAATTTTTTTTCCTACATCAAAAGTGTAACAAATGGGTTAGGTAAGTGGAAATGCAGTTGGCAGTCATGAATTAGGAGGAAAGGAAATTGAGGTTTCAGAGCAAGGTGAAGTGAGAGTCAAGAAAAAAAAAGAAGAGGGAACAAGCACAATATAAGGAACAATTCTGGGGCAGAAAATGAGCACCATACCATGATGGCTATTTTCATCACATGCTACCTGCGTATTCAACTCTCTTGTGCAACAAACTTTGAAGCATTTGCATTTTCTAAAACTACGAAGATCCCATTTTCCTAACCCTCAATCACAAGGATATACTACGGAATTTGTGCTACTTCTGAAAAGAAAAATGTCACTTAAAATATGAGATTTGGAAACCAAAATCCTGAAACCAGGAGAAATACTTTTCTGAAAGCATTTTTCTAGGTCATATTTTGAAGCTATAAAACTCAAATTCTTTAGCTTGTAGCTTGTAGGGTTTAGCATGAAACTTCTACCTACCTTATTTCTTTCGAGTAGTTCTCCAACTCCGTAGATTGTTAGCAACACAGCACTGCAAAACCCCAGAATGGTGAGAAACAGGATTATGGCCACAATTTCCTGTTGAACAACCACCAATGACAATCAAAAAGGCCAGTAATGTCACATGATCAGTCTCCCCAAAGTACAGTCTCTTAGAGTGGCCCTATTATTATCCCCCCCCACCCCCAGCAATTAGTCTTTATAAAGTCACACACACAGGAGGACCAGGGGATGGTAACTCAAGGCAGATGACCTTGCAGAATTCAGCTGCACAGAGGGGTGCAGAGGGCGGCAGCCAGCATCTCTGCACATGAACTTACAGTGTATTATATTACATAGAGAGCTGGCAAAAAAGGACTGTGTTCATGGGAAAGGAAAAGAGGTTTCCTTACTTTGGGAAGCACCTAGAATCTTGGCTTCCTGCCAAGAATACATACAGTGGAAAAAGAAGCCAAGAAGCAGGTGTATTCTCTCTTGCATTCATCGATAAAAGCAATGCTCCGCTTCAGGTTGATGATCAGCATGATGATTCCCGCTCCGGCAGCTAAGCTGCTGACAGTGTTTGCTCCCAGGCTTCCTTGCAACTGTAGTAAAAAGCAACATTTATTTATACCCAATCTTTGAGAAGGACCTCTCTTTTTAAAAATTTTTGTGTTTGTTTTAATTTTTAATTAATTATTTTCTCACGTCATTGTTTATTTTTGGACATTTGATTCCCCCCCCCCCAGATGGTATATATGTACCATGGAATACTACTCAGTCATCAAAAAGATAAACTCATGCCATTTGCAGTAACATGGTCGGAGGTGGGAGGAATTATGCTAAGCAAAATAAGCCAGAAAGAGAAAGATAAATACTGGTTGGTTTCACTTATATGAGAAATATAGGGAAACCAAACACAGGGTCACACAAAGGCAAACATCAAAACCAACCCTTGAAAGCTGGCCATAGATCTGAAGCATCCAGAGGGGAAGAGAGAAGGAAAAGGTGAGAAAGGAGGTGAAGGGAGAGAGAGAAGACACAATGGACTAGGGTGGAGCGCTGTGGGTGTTTTGGTGGTGGGAGAGCAATGGTGACTACAGCTGAGGGGGGAACAGCTTATACTGTCAAAAGACTGACAAGGATGTAAACAATGGAACATCAATAAATAACAATTGGGGAAAAAAATCAACAACATTTAGACCTGGCCCTGCACCTGCTAGGGCATCCAATAAACCATCTGCCATTCAGGATTGGACGCATCCAGAAAAGTCTGCATTGATTCAAAACATAGGAAATCTTGACAACATAGTCATTGCTCAGTAAGCATCTACAACTTTCCTGCTAGGACTGTATTCAGGAAAACAGTCTCCTCAAAGTCTCCTCAAATATTGTCCTTAATTGGAAACAAATCATTTATTTGAGCATATAACTATACCTACAGGGGCAACTATGCTATGGGGATAATTTTTTTTTATTCTATATATTTTTTACATCATTTTTCCTTTTTTGCACAATGCATGCATCTTGGTTATAGTCCCCATACAATTCCCACCCCCCTTGTTTTTCTCCTACTCCCTTGCCTCCCCACCCCCGTAGTGTGTCTCTGGTTTATAGTTGCTTGCTGATTTTGATTTTTACTTTATTATAATTAGTCTTTTTCCTGGTCCCTTATTTAGATTTTCTCAATTCCTGCTATGAGTGAGAACATCTGGTATTTTTCTTTTTCTTTCTGGCTTATTTCACTGAGCATGATCCCTTCCAGCTCCATCCATGTTGCTGCAAATTGCATGTGTTTATCTTTTTTGATTACTGAGTAATATTCCATGGTGTATATGGACCACATCTTCTTGATCCAGTCATCTATTTTGGGGGATTTGGGTTGTTTCCATAGCTTAGCTATTGTAAATAGTGCTGCTATAAATGTAGGAGTGCAGGTGCCCTTTGGAATTAATGTTTCTGCATCCTTTGGGTATATACCTAGGAGTGGGATTGCTGGATCATATGGAAACTCCTAGTTTTTAAAATTAGACAATTGACATTTTAATGATTCCATTTTTGATGATTATATCCAACACAAAAGAGTGGAACAAAAAGTCATTCACCCATAATACAGGAGATAATAACATCTCCCTTAAGACTCCTAAAATTACAGTTTTCTTACCTTCTCAAGGATGGACAATGACAGAATTGCAACTCACCAGATACGTTTCGTTTCTTTTCTTTTCAGACACAATTGACAAAATTCCAGAAATAGCAAACTGCCCAAAAGGAATGGGGAAAAGCACAATGAGTCTGCTCCTCTCTGTCCCTTTCACATCCTCCAAACATCAGATAAAGTTGTGGGGACTCTGTAGAGTCCCCATTCATGCCCCGGCGCTCACTATCTCCATATTCTTATTTCCTACAGGTGCTTCTAGAAATTAAAAGTGCCTGTAAGTCACGTGAGGATCTTGTTAAAATGCAGATTGTTACTCAGCAGCTCTGGGATGAGGCTTAAGGGCCTTTGTTTCTGCCCAAGAACTCCCAGATGATGTGGACTTTGACTGTCCCTGGGTCACTTTTAGGGTAACAAGGACCTGGTGCCTGGCCCTGTTGTGACATTATTCTCATCCTGCTGTAACTAGCCCTATGATGGTGTTCTGTGTTAGAGTGCCAACTCCTCCGGGCAAGACAAATGTCTATGGTGGGTGTATCTCCAGAGTCCTGCAAGTATCAGATGACACAGATTAGCCATGAAAATGTCATGGTGATTTACTGAAAATGTAAATCAGTAGCACAAATTCAAGATAATTTCAAAGATTTGGGTTGTGTCATGGTTGAGAGATGCCTCCTAAGCTAAGTGTTTGGAGTGAAAAGACAGAGTGAAAAATGGCAGAAGTTCCAGAAAGTTCCTGAACACGTGACCTGAGTCCTAAGAATTTATTGGATACCAAGACAATGTGATATTTTTAGAGTTAAAATATATCCTTGGGAATCAAGTGTTGATACAAAAATCAACATGGGTTAATTGAAAGTAACTGCTGAGTGAAGGAAATAAGATGGTAGAGAGAGCATGTGGGGCATCTCCATTTAATAAAACCCAAGAAAATGCAAACTAGTCTATCTAGACAGAAAGCATGTCAGTGATTGTTTCGAGATGAGAAGAGAGGAGTAAACAGAGGGAGGGATTACCAAGAGGCACAGGAAACTTTTGAAGATGATGGGTATGCTCGTGATAGGGAATTGGTAATGTTTTTGTAAGTGTATATATATGTCAAAATTCATCAATCTGCACACCTTAAATGTGTGAATTTTATTGTATGTCAATTATGCACGAATAAAGTGTTATATCTGTGATCTCACTCAGTTTCTGAACAGTATAACAACGATTAGAAGAATACAATGAGAAAGCGCCTAAAGGAGCTTCTAGGGCATAGAAGAATTTAGTCAAATACCTTGTTTTCCTCTCCTCAGCAATCACTTTTCTCTCCCTACACTAGGATAAATTTATTGATGAGTAGTGTTAAGAGAATTTTTCTGGAATTGAATTCTGAAAGTTGAGATTTAATCTTTACTAGCTAAATATCTTTTGGGCAATTCACTTAATGTTTATTCATCTCTGATGTCTCACTTGATAAAAACATACTGGCATGTTTAACCCCAAGTGCTTTGTAAACATTACTTATATATCATTTAAATATAAATTTAAATATTGAAAATAAGTAGCAATTGGTTTGGTTAGAGTCAGCCCAGTTAAGAGAAAAGCTAAAGCTATGCGCAGTGTCAGATCAGAGACAGTTGTAGGCATATACTCACAAATACTGCTCCCCAGAATGGGTAGCCTGCTTTAAATGAAGAAAAAATGTCTTCCTTAAATTCTGAAATATTGAGCCCAGAGCAGATAAATGTTCCAAAATAAAGGCATACCAAGCCAATCAGAATTTGTGTTACCTGTAGAAAAATGCATACATTTTGTAGAATAACAAGAGATGTTCCCAAGAGTATGTCAATTTCCTTTTAATTGAAGCCAAATGTGAGAAATCACTTTGGTGTCTTAGGCGGGATTCAACTGTGATATCTCCTGTATCCCCTGGCCATGCTAAGAATTGATACAGGCGTGACCTAAGGCAGGGATGGTCTGTATTTTTCATGTTTTGTTTTGTTTTACATCGTCGTGAAGACAGTCGTAATTGCCCTTTCCATTAAGTAAATGAAGATAAAGATTATAAATCCTTCACAGTGAGATGCTACATTAATCCACCCACTGACAGGAGTTGGCAGATACTATTTGCCGTCCCATCCGAGTCCTCATTGGGAAATGCTTCTGTATCCAACGGGACCCACTTTTTCACTCCTCTTGACTCCAAGTGGGGAAACTGTGTTGACAATAGTGAGAAGACTCTTTTTTAGAGTCAGTTCTTACTATAGTTGAGGTTGGAGGAGGCTCACTTACCCCCAGGAATTCCATCTCCTGCTGCAAAAATGTCAGCCATGTGTGGCGTGGTGGCGAGGCAGGCATCTCCTGGGTGGTTTCATCATGAAAAGATGAGTCTGGACGTTCAGTTCCAGGCACGCTGAAGTTGAAACAGAAATTCATGAGAAAATTCTCTAACTCCCTGTGCAAAGTTCTCAACTGACACAAGGGATTTTTGATTTGTTTTTTCAAAGCAATTCTACAATTGAAATTTTTGTTGTAATGAATAAGGAACTCTGAGACTCAGAGGTCCAAGTTAGTGACCAAGATCACTTTCATCGGTGATTAGATGGAAAAAATGGAGGCAAAACCATGCCAGGATTTATTCTTAATCCAGGGCCAGGCTTATTACCAGATTCTTTCCCATCAATCTGTGTTGATAAGAAAAAATAAAAACAAACACATACATACACCTATGCATCAGTCAGTCTTTTTAACGTCAAAGTGTAGCTGAATCTATTTTGTCAGTGACACAGCCGATTTCAGGCGCACACAGGAATTACTTTCAAGGACTGACTGACTGATTCCTGTTTTCATCCAAGGAGGAAGCTAACTGGAAGTGTTGTCCTTCTAAAGGTTTGGGACATCCTTTCTTTTTTTTTTTAAAGATTTATTTATTTGTGCAAGCACTGGGTACAGTCAGAAGTGTGGGACGGTGAGAGAATTCACCAGAGCCAGAGCGGGGAACAAAACAGGCAGGCTGACAAAATACATTGCTGAGGGGAGCAGCAGGCGAGGCAGGAAAGGTCTGTCTCTCCTGTTGTGCCATGTGGGACCCTCGCCGGCAGCCAAGGATCGAACCGGTGCTGCAGAAGCTACGGGCAGCTTCGCAGCCCAGCGCTCAACCACTGTGCCACCAGGGGAGGCCCAGGTTTGGGACATTCTTAGTGTGTAGCAATGATATTCAGTCCAATATTCATTCTTAAAGTTCTGTATTTTATGTCTTCTAAAGCCTTTAAAAGGAAAGTCTTCCCATGTATTCATCTTTGGTATTAAAAGAAAATTCAATTATGTGCCTCTATCAGTCTATACATTTCCCCTCAACACAGGGGCAGGATGGAACAGCTTGATCTTAACCAAAGTCCTTTTGGAGAGTGTATATCTTAACACACATCAGACACACAGGCAAGGGAGTCCATATTGATAGTACAAACTCCCCAGCATCACACCCAGACTGAGGCTCTTTTGTTGGAAAAGTTACTCCCGGTTCACAAGCTGAGTTAAAAACCTTCCTCCCCATCAACCCAGGAGAGTGATGGGGCAAGGAAAGCAAACAGCTTCTTTATAGTCAGGGAGATTATTACATCAGGTGCGGCCACACGTAGGTCCATGAGTTGGCGTCTGCGATTGTCTCCCCATCACTCAGTGACCAGAAATGGAAAAAAGAATGGTCTGGACCTACCTGGGAGACCACTTCGGGTCTGGGAGAGCGAGATCTTCTCTGCTCCTACTTTCTGTGTCCATTTTTTCAACTAAGTGATCTCGCCCGTGGTAAAGAATACTGCTTATCAACACCCGGGGTCAGTTCCTCTCACGGTGCCCTCCCGCTGGGCGGGTAGGATGGGCTGGCTCACCCACGATGTAGATAATTATCTTTACACGGAAAGCATTTGCCTGCCAGATAATTTTTCAAAATGATTAAGATAAACAGGGTTTCTTGTTCGGTTTTTGCTCTTGTTGTTATAATGAAGAGCAGAACTGAATTGGCTACCGAACAGGAACTGGACAGAAATAAGGAAATTTGAGGCCCCTCAAGATTTCTCCCTGGGACCAGCCAGATTTGCAGAACTGAAAAATGAGATTGTTTGGCGGAGTCTAAGAAGGTGAGAAATAACTGCAGAACAGAATAAGATGTTCTCTTCTGGAACTTTCTTTCTGTGTGTGGAGCCCCTTCTGGGCCAGACGTTCTCCAGCTGTGCCTTTGGAAAGCCTGTCCTCCCGAGTAGGGAAACGTGGCGTCACACACACCCACGACCGAAGTGCTACTAGCAAGTCCGAGCGTGTCTTAGCCTCTGACTCTGGATTTGCCTCTAGTTACAATATGTATCATCTTTTGCTCTCATTCCCTCTTTCAGAGACTGATGATGTGGTTCTCTGCAGCAGGTGGTCTCAGAAACCGGACAGAGTTCTCTTGTGACTGCTGGGACCATTCCTGATGGAATGGAAGCTAAAAGGCCTTCACACTACCGCATTCACTGTGGCTAAGACATTAGCAGGCTCTGCTGCTCTAAGGCCCGACGCACCATGGGAACATCTATGAATACACCTAAGCAGGGCCCTGGACCGGGTGCCTGAATTAGGGTCAGGGCTGAACGAATGTGCTCATTTTGTTATAGGGCAGGGAGAGGGGCAGCCCAAACCCCGCAAACCTGCCTATTCTAAATGGGTTCTGCCATCCGCCGCATCAACACAAAACATGAGACTTTAATGGGCAGGAACTTTAATAAAACTAGGAAACAATACAGGTAAGGCAAAGAGTCTAGTTTCTAAATCAAACACCCAAAGTGACCCGTCCCCTCGTGGGTAAAAGTCCATCCAAATGGGATCGGCCCAGAGCAAGGCCCCAAAGCCTGCCACAAGTGTAAAGCATCTTCCAGTGGGGACCCACAGAAAAGGGTCAGAAACTACCAGACAAGCCCAGAGGGAAAAGAGCAAAATCAACATCAAAATAAAAACTGCCATTGTCACCTCCCCACGGGTCTCACCCACATCTGTGTCACCCCGTCCACGACCAAAAGACAAGCGCAGTTTCTTCACGTGTCTCTAGGCTCCATGCGCCTCCTCCAGGTCTCCTGGCTCCATCCTGTTCCTTCCTTCCTGTCTCTTCTGCTGCTTCTCTTCCTGCTCAGCTCCACCCTTCCTTGGGTGGGGCAGGGAACCTGGAACCTCCCCCTTTCCTGGGGACCCCCCTGTTACAATTTCAGTAACACAGCTGGTTAGACCAGAGCAAAATGAACACACAGTGAGAGTCACAGATCCGGGACTCTTCTGTACCAGTTTAATGTAGACATAACCTTGAATGATGCTTCATTACACTGGAAAGTGCCACACTCTGCGCCTGCGACCAGCTGGCCTTTTCTTTCAGGGATGTGATAACAATTTTTCCCCAATTGCTAGGAAACTAAGATATTGGTGTGAATGGAGGACATGGAAGGATATAGCGCCATAATTTTCATAACTAAAATGAATTCATGGGCTATCTTCCCTCACTGCCTGCAGGAACTGGTGAACCTAACTTACGTGCTCCTAGAATTATAGGGTCAGTCTCCCCCAAAGGGAGGGATGGGCTTTCTCAATATGCCCCGATCAGGCCTCTTAAAATAAGTGTCTCCTTGGTATGAGAAACTAAAGGTCAGCGGACACCTTTGGGAAGTCTGTTATCATTACTTTAAGATGTTAGCAGGCAGGCTGAGAGGTACCCCGGGACCCCCAAACTTGCACACTCTGTGGGATTCGGCCATCCTCTGCATAAAGACAAAGCAAATTCTCAGTGTGTAAGAGCTTTAATAAAATGATTGTACATAGAGAGGGAAGAAGAGAAAGGATAATAGTTTACAATGAAACATACAAAGTGACCACCCCTTGTGGGTAAATGTCTAGCCAAACAGGGTTGGTCTGAAAATGGGGTTTTTTTTGTTGTTCCTTTCATTTCAGACTTGCCTGGCCCCTTCTGCCTCTTTCCTATGGTTCCACAACAAAAGGGACCTTAGATTTGTGTCAAAATTTTGGGCCTCAGTAGCTCTGCTTTGGTCTAACCCTGTTTGGCAGGACATTTACCACAAGGGGATGGTAACTTTGGGAAACTGTTCTCCTTTCTCCTCTTCTCTGTGACTATTCTATGAAAGTTCTTCCACACTAAGAGTATACTTTGTCTTTATGTGGCAGATGGCAGAACCCATTAAGAGTGTGCAGTTTGGGGGACCCTGGGGTTCCCCTCAGCTTGTCTGCTAACATTTGGACAAGAGGCTACTTTGTGAGCATTTTCAACAGAACCTTACAAAATGGAAATTAAAGATTGAGGCATACTGTGTGACCTCCAAATTGTTTTATACCCCCAATTTCAGCAGCATCTTCTCCCCCCCCCCCAGATGCTTATCTTCCACCCCTGCACCTTGGGTCCTGAGCCAGGCTTTCTCATCTTTCACAGCAGTAAATATTGAAGCATGACAAAAGGACACTTTCTCACTTTTTTTTTTTGGAGGGGGGGGGCGGTGAGGGCAGTTATCAGGATGAGTTTGATCATGCTGCTGCCTTCTGAAAGGAAGAGATAGCAGAGCCGTGCTCCTCCCTGTCCCTCAGACTTCCCCTTTCTGATAGGATTTTTGCACACATTTCACATCCACTTGTCTGCTCACCTCTTGGAGAAGCGGAGTTTGTGTTGTCAGCCAGTGCTACCTCAATACAAATAAAACCATTAAAATCAAAATGATAGCCACGAATTCTGGCTCTTACCAACTTTCTGCATTTCCATTTGATGATTTTTACAACATTGCAAAGCAGAATAATAAATTGAGCAACAACTTATCACTTATGATCAAATGTAAACTTGACAAAATGCTCACGCCACTTTTAAAAAGTTCTGCTTTTCATTACATACTAGATTAATTTTCCCAAATGCAAAAGAAATTTTCTTTTCAAACATAATCTGAACAACTGTTTTCTCAAACTGATGCTCAATTTACTTAAACTAAATGTGTACACATTTGCATGTTACAAATTGCAGGTTATCTCTTAGGGGGTATTGTCTGAGGAGGGGGTGAGTCGGGAGAGGTCTGGGTGAAGGAGGATTTGAGGCTCCCTTTTCCCTGTTTTCGTGGGCTTTCTAACTTGGGGCGCCAATTTGCACCAGTTATCTGCTGGGATGTGTGGTCCTGGGCGCTGGCCTCTGGCACAGAATGTCTCCTGGCCTCTGCTCCTGCACTCCTGGAGCTGGGCTGGCTTCTCTGGTCATGGAGGGCCACCTTAGGTTCCCATAGCAGTCTTATCAATTCCCTTATCTATTCAAGCCTCCCAAACCTGCCTGCAGGACAAGGAGAGGGGCTCACAGCTCTTTAGATGTATGTTACAACCAAGTCCACCATCAAAACACCCATTACCCTGCACCACATTCCCCTGGGCCGCTCTCCTCATGGCTACCCACCCCCCTTCCTCCTCTCTTAGAATTATTGACTGGGGACTTCTAGTTCTGAGCTGTTTTGATGGTCACAGTGATAATCACATGCCAAATTTCTGAAGACTACATCTGGAGGTGCAAATACTTGGTAGTCATTGTTTAAACTTTCTTTATCTGGTTCCTTGGACTTCAGTGTGGGCTGAAAGGCTGGTTTACCTTCCGGCAGTAGATTCCAGCTTAGATTAAGGGTGGAGTCTCTTAAGTTTTGAGTCTATGCAGATGTCTTTGTTCTCTCTCCTACTAGATCAAGGAGGGGGATCCTAGAACACGTAGGATATGTTCGCACCTTTCTGAAACTGGAGCTAACTTGCTGGTACAGTCTCTGGGCTACTTAACTGCCCAGGCCCAGTGTTCTTTACTTGCTTATGCCATTTCTACCTTCCAAAGTGACACTTTCCATAGGGAAAATTATAGTATAATTTTGTTCTCTTATGACCAAGAACATCTGTTTGAGAAGAATAATTATGAGATACCTCTCATAATGTCCAAGGTGTAGACAGTAGCTATTCTATTCTTAGAATGGATGATGAGCACATTAATTTTCATAAACCTATTCTTCCTTTTCCCCTACCCCCCTAATATAATTATAGCTCATTTAAAAAATAACTAAATAAATGACAGGTCCAAAATGGAATCTATCATGCTAGACCCTTCAAGACTTCCACAAAACAAAAATGCAGTTTCAGCCTCTCCCATCAGTGGGACTCTAAACTGATCACTCTGGACTTTTCCGGTCAGTACCACTTCAAGTTTCTCCTAACTGGTGTGAGGATGTAGAGGAGGGTTTTACAGGCTCATGTTCTCCAGGTTTGTGAATGCAGCTCTGAATCACTGGGGATGTCCAGTTGAGTTTCCTTGTTCTTCACCAGGAGGCTTTCCTGATTCCACAGAATTGGGAGGTGAAGAAATTGCCTGGAAATAAAACATCAAGCTTCAAGAATGAGATCATCACTTCCCCTCTCCTTCAGTCCTTTCCTATCATCATCAAGTTCAATGCCAGTAATACTCCTTTAGTCACTACTGCTGTGCTATCCACAGTCCTCACAACCAACCTCAGAAAACAGAGAAAGTGTTAGCATTTTATTGGTAAGATACCTAAATTCAGAAAGAATTTGTGATTTTTCTGGGTACACAGCTAGAAAATGTCAAGTCACAAAGAATAATGAAACAATTCTACCTGTATTTTAAAAAATTATTCATTTCAATATTAAGTTTATGGTTTCTTCTTACATGTTCACATCAGAATTCTTTTTTTTAAAGATTTATTCATTCATGCATACAAGAACCAGGGTACAGGCAGGATGTGCAGGAGGGTAAGCAGATTCACCAAAGACAGAGCAGGGAACAGAATAGGCAGACTGACTGAAATACACTGCTGAGGGGAGCAGCAGGCGAGACAGGAGAGGTCTGCCGCGCCATGTGGGTATCTCCTTGGCTGGCCAGGATTGAACCCGCACTGCAGAGGCTGCAGACAGCTTCACTGCACTGTGCTCAACTGCCTGCACCATCAGGGAGACCTCACATCAGAATTCTTTTCTAGCTTTCAATCCGTCTCCAACCTTCAAATTATTTCTAACTCCAGGAACCCCACAAATCATTATCATGTTAACATTTCTTCCCAATTGTAAGAGTTTCAGAGACAACCTCAAGCCCTAAAGGGACCAGGTAAATAGGTCTTGTAAACAACCCACCTCTCTTGAATAACAGCAGTTTGCTTTGCACCACATGGCTGAGACAGCAATGGTTATGCACAATTCCAGCAAGGTAAGGAGCAGCATTAGAGACACCAGGCCCTACAGGTCAGGATGCAAACCAGAAGAAATATTCAGATGCAAAATGCCAGCAAAATCCAGACTAAAAAATTTCCCTCCCCCAAAACAGAACAAAGCCAACCATGAATGAAGTGTAAGATTTACACATACACCAGAACTCTATAAGAGAGGCAATGGGAATCTAAAAGCGTGGGAACATTTCCCCTGGAAAGCAAGTAGTGTTCCTATGTCACCCATGTGGGGTCTTCATAGGGGGATGAAACTGCACAATCAAAATTCTGATACTTTCGCTAGTATTCACAAATTTGAACTACAAATTGAAGAAGTAAAAAGGAGAGGAGTAAACAGTTCAGGAAAATGAACAGGATTTGAACACTACCATTTCATTAAAAATACTTCATAGAGGGCTAAGCATTTGCACTATTGCTAGGAACTAAAACACTAAGCTGAAATATTAAGCACAAAGTTACTGGACTAGTGACATTTTGATTATCGTGGAAGACAAATAGAAGAGGTAACACAAATTGCTTTGGAGGGAAAAAGCCCACAAAATCCATTGAAAAAAATCAGACCCATATAAATGCAAACTTAGATAAATAAAAAAATATAATCAAGATAATGAGGACAAAGTGTTTCATGAGGAGTGTCAGCTCATAAGAGAATTAAGAACAAGTCAGTAAAAATAGCTCATAGAGCATCATGAAGAAAATGGACAAATTTGAAGGCAAGTCTATATTTCTAAGTTGACCTCAGGGCAGGGAGAAAAACAGAAAACAAGCAAAAAATAATTTGGAAGGGATATGAAAGACCTTCCCTTTGAAAATACCATATTCAAATAAATTCAAAAGTGGATTCATTTGAAACTTTAATAAGTCATTATTTGACAGTCCCAGACCACGGAAAAAGCTGTAAATCTCCCAAATTAGCTTTAGTAATTAAGATATAAAATAAAATTCAAAAAAATTAATTTCTCTGGGGAATGTAATAGTAGCAGCGATCATGACAGTAATAATAAACTAACAACATGTTAAACATATCTTAAATTGCTTCTCCAGTATTAATTATTTCCTCCTTAGACCAACCCTATGGAATGGATATTATCAGTATCCTTACTTCAAAAATGAGAAAACTGAAACATAGAAACTTGTCTCATTTTCAGAGTCAAGGTAGCAAGGTACCTGCTATATTATCAAGGTAGCAAGGCACCTGCTATATCATTTTCAGTATACTTTGGATGGTTTGAAATATTTTATAAAAAAACATAAATTTTAAAAAGCATACATTTGATGAGGAGCCCATGTAAATGCACAATTCTGGTGACTGTGAAGACTGACAGCTCTTGAGAGACTGCATATTCACTGCTAAATTTATGGAGAGAAAAACAAATCCAACCAGTGCAATTGTTGCACTGGCAATGTTCATCCCAAAACTGTTTTGCATCTGAAAAAGAAAACAACGTCTCAATGAACACAGACAGCACATACTTCATTTGCGTCACTACAATTAATTTCACAAATATCAACAGAAGGTTGTTTACACACTAAACAATATCCCACTTGCTGGGAAGACATCCAGGAACAAAAAACTATCCCACCTTCACAGCGCTGAAATTCCAGCAGCAAAGACAAAGGAAAAAATTAGGGGAAAATCAAATAGATGGAGAGAAACCAATCATGTCAAATGAAAGAAAGCCAAATGAAGAGATTATTGGAAGGAGGAATGAGTTACCAACTATATGCCAACCATTGCTTAGGGGTGAAGTTAGATGAGGACTGAGATTCAACTCCTACAACATGGACTTGTTCCATGGTGTCAATGTTATGGTGGGGACTTCAGGGATCTTTAGGAAAACAGTAACAGAGGTGTGGTAGGTAGGAAAATAAGACCTCATGGGAATGGAGTTAGTTGAAACTAGGTAGATAAGAAGTGGGGATGGAGTCTACCAAATTCCTTTAAGGAGTTTGGCTACAGGAAGAAAAATGAATTGTGCTTATTGCTAACAGGAAAAAATAAGGTCAAGATATTTTTTTTCTTTTAAGCTGAAAACAGTAATTGGATGATTAAAGGCAGATCAAAATGATCTAGTAGAGACAAATTATTGTGAAGTACTTGTGTAGGTAAAAGGAATGGAACCCAGTATTCAAGTACAGGCAGTGGCTCTTAGGAAAATCACAGAAAGGTCACCTAAGGCAAGAGGTTAGGATGCAAGATGTATTGATGCAGCTCTGGTCCACTAAGTATATTTACAATGTGGGTGGCGGGGCGGGTTGTGGGGGGGAGCCTGAAAATGCTCTTGACACCTTGAGTTTTCTCAGAATAGCAGGATCAACAGAGAGTAAAGATGGCAGAAAAGGGACTGGTGCTGGAATAGTGTGTGTCAAGTTGAGTGAGTCAGCTAGGGAGAGTGGGTGGACTAGGAAAGCAGTATAAGTGGGCAGGTGGTTTGGTGAGACTTAGTAACTGTTCAATGAGTCAGTAAATGGATAGTTTTGACTTTCAGTTATAGAACTAGTGGTAGGAGAACATACACTCAAATAATTAGAATTGGTTAAATTTAGCCACATGCAAAAAAAATCAAGAAATCCTTTTGTAAGCTTCAGATACATCATATTTTTCTAGTAAACATCTAGTAACATTCTAGTAAGCATCCATCATATTCCATACCTATGATACTTTAATCCTGTACCATCTGAATGTCTTAAGAAAAAAAATAATTTTTTGTGCATTAAATGAAACTCTGTCAGTTGGATTCACCAACCTCTATGAATGGCTAATATTTGTACTCCTATGATCATAGAAAAAGAGGATGAACTACCACTTACTATCATTCTTGTGGGTTTTCTCCCAGCTGCAACAGAAAGGGATCCTGAACTAATAAACTGTTTAAAATAGGAAATGAAAGAGAGAGGGAATATTAAGTCTCCACCTTTTTTTTCTTGGCCCTCCTTAGATTAGCAGATATCTAGAAATATGTGTTCAAAACTTGTTTTTAAATTCATATCCTAGGATATAGAATTATACTTGCAACTGTTACTCATTATTTTTTATGAATGAAAATTTAAAATTAGTTTACATTTTGAGTAAATTTATAATCTTTTTATTTTATATCTGATTTTTTACAGGCTTATGGAAGTGTGCATGCTTTAAAAACATAATATAATTATTTTTATTTATTTTTTGTTGAGGTAACATTGTTTTGTGATAGTATATATGTTTCAGAGCTATGTGTAATATCATAATCATTATGCCTGTATTTTATATTATATCAAATGTACATAATATTTATTTATATAAACATGTATATCATTTTTATTTATATATTTATTTGTATAAGAATCTATTATCATTCTCATATTCTTGCCCAAGCTTCAGATAAGGGATTAATTTATTGCATTGGATTTTCTAAAAGATCCTTTACAAATGTGGATGTTTATATCTATATATCCACTACTTTTCAAATTACATTTTTGACATGTAATAGTTTCCATAACTCTAATTTTGATAATTCTCTATATGTCCAAGTTTTCTCAAAACTTCATTCTGGTTTTTCACTTCATAAACCTCACATGCATTTACCAAGACATTCTTTGATTCGAAGAAACAATTGCCAATACCATGAAGCAAACGCTTGCTTCATAAAATTAAGTTGCTCAGTTCTAGTGGAACAGAAACAAGAAGGTTTGGAGCTCTGTTTCAAGTAATAAAGACATTATCACAGGACCTTCCGGAGGCATTACAGAGATGTGGTTAGGAGCACACGCTCTGTATTCACAGTCTGTCTTCAGCTGAATTCATTCTGTAACCTTAGACAAATTCTCAGGCCCCCTTTGTATCAGAGTCTTTATCTGCAAATGGCGTTTATATCCCTATGTTATCATCAATCACCTGTAGTCATATAGGGATAAAATGCAATAACATATACATCAAGGGCTTAGCTGTATGTTCAGCACACAGCATTCAACTTATTAACTATAGCTAAGGTTTTTATAAATATTTTCATTTCATTTCATTTTATAAATATTTTCATTTCAATATTTCATTTCATTATAAATATTTTCATTTCATTTCATTTCAATATTTTCATTTTCATTTCATTTCATTTCAGTGACCCAAAGAGCCCTCATCTTATTTCTACCATCCTAGTGAGGAAAACAAAAGGTGATCATTCAACTATCTTTTCCAAAGTTGTAGTTAATAAAGATTAGTAAGAGAAATATTGGGTGAATAGAAGGAATCACACTGTCAGCACCCAGAGTGGGGCTTGCTGGGGGTGAGGGAGCACCTGGGTGAGCAGCAGAGGTGTGAACCCTTGGGGAGGCCAGAATGAAGGGCTTTGTACCATGTCACGGACCTTAGATTTGACTTTGTGTAGGGAGCCAGAGAGAAGCTTCCAGCAATGGGACTGCAATGGTTAGGTTGAATCTTGATGCTTAAAGAATGAAACACTGGCTCCCTGACTGTGGCTCTTTTTTTTTTTTAACAAACTGAACTCACTTTCTGAGAAAAGAAAACTCTTTTCCAATTGAATAATCAAAACACTTCATTTCTTCATTTCTTTTATACAACATGGGGAAGAAAAATTCAGACTCTATTTCATCAAAATGATGATATCAAATTTTTTAAATTTCAGAAATATTAAGTGCAAATCACATGTCTTGGACTATATCCAGAAAAAATATACAGTCTTTTGTCATAATATGAGATCTGATTTTGGCCAAATTATGAGCAATTTCTTCTTAAAGGAGATTGGAAGCTTTTTGATTTTGAGAAAATAAAAGCATGGATAAATTAGAGTCCAAGACTTGTTATATTCATTTTCCTTATTGGACAATTACATCTTGTAATCACTGTTTTCAACCAAATTGTCCCATCTTAGATTTCATGGTGCATCTTTGCTTTCATATTCAATCCAAGACCGAACAGCTATCATTTCTCAAAGATCTGGTACCAGGGTAAACAAATAAGTAAACAAAAGTGGCTGATTAATAAAGAGTTCCTATTAACTACTTTAAAAAAAATGAACCATCTGGTGACAAGGCTAAATTAATAAATTTTAAAATCACCTAGACCCAAAGCTCATTACTTTGATGACATTTTGATCTAAATAGGAAATGTGATTCTTCTGATTTTCAAACAGTAATCAGCAGGCATCTTATCTCCCAACACAATCTCATGCTTGCAAGGAGATTCACCAATGCTCGTTTCCATGCAACGCTCTCAACATCCATAAGGAAAATGCATAGATATTACGTTAATGCTTGGGACTTGATTTCTTAACTACAAACATGCTTTGTACTTAAAACTTTTTGTGTGTTTCAAGAATTACAAACCAAGCCCACAATATGCAACTTTCTGATAACTTTTCCAAGAACAATTATCAAATGCATCTTGCCAGTTGGTATCTAAGAAATGACCAGTGGTCAGGGGACTGGGTTACTCACAAACACAGCTCCCCACAGTGGGTAGCCTGTGTAGAAGATGAAGAAGTAGTGCCTGAAGAGGTGGGCTACATATTGTAAGGAACCCAGAAGAACACCCAGCACCAGAACCATGGCTCCTGTCAGGATCTGGATGGCCTGTAAGAAGGACGAGGCAGGGAGAACAATAGTCATAACTGACTGGACTTGGAGTGGAGACCTTTTTAATTTTCCTCCAAAGGGAGTAGTCAGTGCTTGAAATGGTGAGAAGAAGTCAAGCCTCAATGACCTGGGCAAGAACTTATCCCGGGAGATTTTTTGGTTCTTTACGCTACCCACCAGTTTCCATGGCAACCCTGCCTTTCACCACTCCCCTCACTTCTGTTCACTCTCACCTTCCTTTCAGAAAGAGCAAAGGAGCAATGACTGATAAACTAGATCAGCAGGCTGATAAACAGTCCAGACATCTTCCCGACTTGCTTTGGGGCCATAATGTGACGAAGATGGAAAGCTGGTAAGCAGCATTTCCTTTACCTGGCCCTCTACCCAATTTTTTTTTTAAGATTTATTTATTTTTATCCAAGAACTGGGGTATAGGTCAGAGGTGCAGGAGGGTGAGAGGATTCACCAGAGACAGAGTGGGGAAGAGAACAGGCAGATTGACCAAAGTACACTGCTGAGGGGAGCAGCGGGCGAGACAGGAGAGGTCTGCCGCGCCATATGGGTAGCTCCCTGGCCAGCTGGGAATTGAACCCATGCTGCAGAGAAAGGGGACAGCTTCACAGCGCTGTACTTAACCCACTGCACCATGGAGGAGGCCTGCCCTTCCCCCAATTTTTAAGTTTAAAATGTGAAATGAGCTCATAGAACTCAGTCTTCCAATGTGGATAGCCCAACTGGAGCTCATTCCCCCTCACGGTAAGGATATTCTCAACCATGAGATTAGCCTCTGCAATTCTCCACCTCAGGTCCACAACACACCCAGTCTTACCTTAAAGGAGCAACGTCATAGACTTAGGGGTGAGTTACTAAGAAATACCCCCCTCATGGGCACAGAAGATTTTCCACTCGGTGTTTATTTTCTTAAATCAACTTTTTAACAAAGGTTGACTTACCCCCAGGGCTTGCAGCTCCCCCTTCTGGTCTTTCTGTGATCTATCAATGGGCTGGTATGTCGAATCAGTCACCCCCTCTGGTTCCACGTGGCTTCCTGGGGCACCATCTGCAGGGGCTGTCCCCAGCTCTGCGCTGGCTGTCCCCAGCTCTGCACTATCAGCTTCTTGGGAGGCCATTTGTGATTGTCAGTGGCTGTGATAGATAGAAAGGAAATCCAAAGGCTTGATGTTTTCCCTTTTCCCACTAGCTAATAATACTTTTGAATAGAACAGAAGGGCTGAATTTTCTGCATACATTAAAATGACTACACAAATAGGGCAAGGGAACAGAACAACAGAGTTTGTACATTGTTCAATTCAGTTATGTCTTGGAGCAGCAGACAGCAGACCAGTGATGTTGATCTGGGCACCTCACTTAACTCTGGAATCGTGAGTGATTCCCTTCTTGTCTTCACATGCATCTATGTTTCTCTCTCCCTGCCTCTCTTTCAATCTGTGCTGGACAACCACAGCCTATAGTTGCAGTGAGCGCAATCTCTTACAAGAGGAAGATGGCTGTAGTCACATTCTAAAAACAGAAGATATCATTCAAATTCAATGTTGCGATGTTATTTCCATTTTAAAGATGAGGAAATGGGGCCTCCCTGGTGGCGCAGCGGTTGAGCGCTGGGTTGCGAGGCTGCCCACAGCCTCTGCAGCGCTGGTTCGATCCCCAGCTGCTCCCCGGCCACCGGAGGAGAGTCCCACATGGTGTGCAGACCTCTCCTGCTGCCCGCTGCTCCCCTCAGCAGTGTACTTCGGTCCTTCTGCCTGCTCTGCTCCCCGCTCTGGCTCTGGTGAATTATCTCACCCTCCTGCGCTTCTGACTGTGCCCAGTGCTTATATAAATAAATAAATAAATAAATCTTAAAAAAAAAAAAATAAAGATGAGGAAATGGAGGCATAAGCAGATTGAGTAACTTACCCAAATTTACAGAGTTCATACATGAGTTCAGATCCTGCTAGAGGCATTCTACTTTAAGAACCAATCTTATTATGGACAGATAATTTGTTTATTTGACTCTCAAGCTCACACCATACCACAAATGGCATCGGATCCTTAGTATGATCACGTCTTGATTTTCCAATAACACAGCACAGCCTTGCTTAGAGGTCTGTGTCTGGCTCATATTGGCCTACACAGGGATCTATTTTGGAAAACACTTCTATCAATAATGGAGAAAAAAGAAATGATCAAAAGTTGATCCTGAGAGCAAAAGTCAAAGACACCAGGGAAATGCAGAATAATGAAGCATTCAAACTTGTGTTGTATGACATCAATCCGGAAGACCCTTGAGGGGAAAACATATTGATAACAAACCATTTCAATGAATGCCTAATATATTCTGTGCAAGATGAACAATAATTTTAAAAGGCCAAAAGGAGAATAATCTTTAAATCTCTTACCTAAGTTGAACATCCCCTTGCAAATCCCAAGCTAAAAATTAATCCACTGGGAAATACGTATGTATCAGATACAACTTCTAACGTAAGTGAGGTGAGAGGCACTGGTCCTTCAAGATCAGAGAGTTACTTCTTTTTTTTTTTTCTTTTCTTTTTTTTTAAAGATTTATTTATTTATTTATACAAGCACTGGGTACAGTCAGAAGCGCGGGAGGGTGAGAGAATTCACCAGAGCCAGAGCGGGGAGCAGAGCAGGCAGAAGGACCGAAGTACACTGCTGAGGGGAGCAGCGGGCGGCAGGAGAGGTTTGCTGCGCCATGTGGGACCCTCCTCCAATGGCCGGGGATCGAACCGGCGCTGCAGAGGCTGCGGGCAGCTTCGCAACCCAGCGCTCAACCGCTGCGCCACCAGGGAGGCCCCAGAGAGTAACTTCTTGCCTCTGTTTCCAGCTTCACCCCTTACTCTTCCCTCTCTGCAAAACTCACTCTAGGATTTTTTACTCTTTTCAGTCCTCCCAAAAGGTTTGACCCTCCTTGGTACTACTTCCTGGAACACCTTTCTCCCAGCCTCCACCTAGGCAGTTTCTCTCTTCTTCCAGACTGGCTCTGAGCATGGCAGAACTTCCCTTAAAAGGAAGTCTTTTTTACTTCTGGTCAAGTCTAACTGAGGAACCCTTCCTAGAAGACTCAAAATCTTTCCTTCTCAAACTTCTTAACAGTCAACTGACTAGACACTTGTCGGGTTCCTGCTGTCTGATTATTCTAACTCCAGGGCTGAGCTCAGTGCCTACCATATGGCTAATATATACTTGATAATAGTTGATTTTTGGCCAGCCTTATGGGTGATAATGAAAAATATGTTTGTAACCACCAGAGCACCTTATACAAGAAAATCCAGAGGTGTTCTGGAGGGAAGAAATCTAACCACATTATTAAAATTGACTTTAAAATAACCATAAATACCAGGGAGAGAGTCCTAAGAGTTCCCCAATTGAGTTCCCTTATCTAGTTCCAGTATGTATAAGGCGTTCAGCATTTACTCTGGTTAACCAATTTAGCGCTCATAACCTCTACGTGAATAGGTTCCATTTTACAAATGAAGAAAGTGGGCACCAGAGGAGTTAAGTAACTTGTCTGAGGCCACACAGCCAGCAATCTCAAGAATCAGGGACCAGAACCTGGCAACCTGTTTCTGGAGTATCATTTCCTGATACTGTCCCTTTGAGCTTATGCAGAAACTCACTCACCAAATCTCATACTTCAGGCATGTCGAGACTGTCTCTTATTACCAAAGCTGGCAGACACATCTGGGTGCAGCCACTTGGATTTAATATATATAAAATTCCTGTGTGTTTGTGTGCATGTTTGTATATGTGTGTGTGTGTGTGTATCCATGCCCATGTCTTTCCAAAGAATTAACTACAATTATGTCTAACATTTCTTACTCTGGCATCAGGTAACAATCAAATTCTAAGTAGAAGCCATCCTCACAGCCAAATGTTCCAAATATCCACATAACAACCAAACAGAAATCTTGGCAGACATTCCCAGTGGCCCAGGGGGTGGTCCCTTTAACGGATAGTAGAGAAGGGGGCTATCTGTGGAGAGGAGTCTAGAAGGTTTACCTCAGAGGCTTCGGGCTCTGGCAGACTTCTCTCCTCTGAAGCCCATCTCGTTGTGAGCGGGAGACTCAGTAGTGGTCCTAGAGTCTATTCCTCCTCAGCTTAACGTTCCTTTGCCTGACGCAACACCTTGCTGGAGTTGGTGAACTGTTCTGTTGGCAGATTAGGGAATGTTCGCACCACACTGCATCTGTTTTGAGGCCTGTGTTTCTTGAAAGCTTAGTGCTGATGAGGAAACTCAGGCCAGCAGTAACTGTTCTTGGTTTGGGATGTTGCTTAACACAATGTTGGAGGGAAAAATGCAAACAGAAAATGCAGTGGATAAGTGGGTGGGAAAGTGTTGTGGAATGGAGGTAGGACAGTTTTTCGCATAGGCAGAAAAGACAAAGGAAGAGTAGCGTCTAATGGGCGGGGGGAGTCGTATTGGATTCTCACAGGCTTGGAGAGGTTCATGGGCCAGATGATGCTAATTGTGTTTTAAATGCTTGGAATGATTTCATGTAACACTGTTCTAAATGCTTTAGTTGCATTAACTCATTGCATCCTCCCAATAATCCAAGATCTAGGGACAGAGATGGGTTCCTAAGAACTACAACTTGAAGCAAAACTCCACATAAGGAAACCAGATCACTGAACATTTTGTTCAACTGGCCAGGAGTTTTTATTTTCTCCAAGTTATAACAGCATGGAATGAAGCATTGCTTGAGGCCTGTAGTACAACTGTTAATGCAGTTTCACAGAAGAGAAAACTATGGCCTTGAAATGCTAACCAGCTTGCTTAACATCACAGAGAAACCAGCCAAGCTGAGAGCAAAACCCAGATTCTGAATGGGGTGAAGCCCAGGTTGTCCTGGGGCCTCAGTAACCCCAGCATGAAGAATATTCATAGCAAAACAGGAAAGATCCTAGTTCTAGAAACTGGAGAATAAATAGGGACTTGGTCAGGAAAGAGGAGGGCCAGACATCATAGCTGAAGAACATGGGCACAGGGAGACAAAATCTGTGTGCATGGTCCCAGCAACCAGAAAAACTGAACACACAAGTGCTCTGTGACCAGGGTTGGCACTTGAACCCATGACAGAGTCTCTGAAGGACCTGCCTGGGTGCTGAGGGGACTGACCACAGAGACCTAGAGAGAAATAACTAAAGGGAGAGCAGTGAGAGTTATGATCCCCCCACCTCTTTATAACCAGAGACATTGCAAATGAAATAGAAGAGGAAAGGAAGGACTAGAAAGGTTTATTATAAAGGATAATGTTCATTACAGCCCTTTTATAATACCCAAGGGATGGAAGCAACTTCAGTGCCCAACAGCAGATGAGGGGATGAGGAAGGTATGGTATATGTAGACAATGGAATACTACTCAGCCATAAACAAGAAGAGATGAAATCTTGCATTTGCAGCAATATAAGTGGAACTGGAGGAGATTGTGCCAAATGAAAGAAGTCAGAAAGAGAAAAATAAATGCCTGATGATTTCACTCATAAGTAGAATATAAAGAAAGTAAACAAAGGAACAACTAAAAAACTAAACCAAAACAAACCCTAGATACCTGAAGAGTTGAGGTCACCAAAGGAGGAAGTGTGGCAGAAGGGGAGCAAATGGGGAAGAGGACCAAAGGATGTGGTAGAGGACTATGGGTGCTTGGTGGTGGCTGTGGGGTCATCCTGGACATCTGAGGGGATATAAACCTATATACCCCTAAGTTGTATACAATGTTGCGAGCCAATGTCCCTCAGTTAAAAAACACTACTTAAAAAACTGCTTAAGAGAAAAAGAGGAAGAAACAGGAGGAAGTGAAAAAGAAAAGTAGTTCATTTCAACATGCTTGCTTTAAATTTAGAGCTGCAGAAAGAGTGCTGAAAGGAAGTTACTAAAGCTCTTCAGTTATCACATTTGCAAATTTAAAATCATAGTACCCACCTTGGACAACAGTATAAAGATTGTGACAGAATGTGAAGGCCTTAGCAACTAAGATCTGTACCTACCTCAAAATAAATGCACACAAAGGAAACCTCTTCAATTCCAGAGAGGAAGGTTATGAGAAACTGTTGTCAAGAGAAGATTCACAGTGATTTCTTCCTCTGGCATGCGAGATACCTAATTTTTATAAGAAGGGATGTTTTCAAGGAGGCTAGTTTTTAGGATCATGAAAGATCAAGTTCAAAATTCAAGTTGCTAACTTCCAAAAGGAAAACAAATTTTCATTTGAAGGAAGTCGATATTCTAGCCATTTATTCACAAGGGATAATACATTAGACTATTTTCAGAGTGATTTCTTTTTCCTGGCTTGCTTGCTTTAATCCATTTATTAAATATCATTGCTTGCCGTGTTGGTATTATCCCTATGATACCAGAGTTGCTGGATTTAGTTCCCCTTTGCCGATAAGAGTTTTGAGTAGGAGCAAAGTAGTCCCATTTTTTGCTGACAAATGAGGGTAGCAGTAGAGTGACAGAGAGTACCACTGTTCTGCCAACTAGCAGTAAGTAAACAACCATAAGCAACATTTGATCAACTAATGGCTTGTTCTTAAGTGGCAGAATGATTTGATGCTTGACAAATTCAGTCATTTCAAGTGTGGGAGAATCATCACAATCAGTCATTTCAAGTGTGGGAGAGTCATCACAAGCCATTTCAAGTATAGGAGAATTAAATCAAGGAGAAAGAAACATCTGACATCAAATTTCAGTGAAGGGAATCATCCCTTAAATTCTATACAATGAATCTAACTTCTTTCTACAACAATTATTCAAATAGAATGTATACTGAGTTATTTTTAGGACTCAACATTACTAATTAGGAGGACCCACACAAGATAAATTATCCTCACATAAAAGCCCTTTGTCTTTCCTGGGAGTTAAGATGTTACATCTTAAATTCTGTACAACATGCACTATCTGGCCCTTATATACAACAATTTTCTACTTTTACAAAAAAAAATTTAGAACATATTTCTTGAAGGCTCCTGTGAAATTGATCAAGTTGTTGTCATGGAGAACATGTTGCCGGATCTACAACAGAGAACAGAAAATAAAATTTAAATGGGTAGCATTACTTATAAGTTAATAGTTGAATAATCCATACCCCGAATGATTAAAAATATGTTAAAAATACCACTTCATTATGTCAGGAACTCCAGTGAATTAGGATTTTAAGGGACTCTGACATCTGAAGTATGGTTGATACCAATTACTTCTTTTGCATGAAAAAAACTTTGTTTTTCTAGCAAATTTTGTGAGTCCATTTCCAGTTTTCCATTTCTCTTTAACGAGGGAGTCACTTAGTAATCCTATCTCCTCTGGTGTAGTCTCAAAGTCAGTCATAAAAGGACTGGGATCCACTTTTATTTCATCCTCTGTAGAAACTGGTATAAGCCACACTGATTTCCTAAGAAAAGAGAAACAGACATCAGAGAGGTTGGCATCCTCAGTACCAAGCCTTGCTGAGTCTAAACTTGGGGATGAGCCACTTTTACCACCATTTAATAGCATGGGCATTTTCAACACAGAGTTAGGAGTGTGCCATAGAGCCTGGCCGTCTGGATAATGGACGAGTTAAAAGCTTTCACTACTAGGTGCAAGGAGAGTGCCCAGAAAAACAGACTTAGGAAAATGGACCCTAAGGATGGTAAGTAAAATCTGTGAAACAATCAGACCCAGAGTAGTAGTGATAAAGAAGGGGCATGTGTGTGTGTGTGTGTGTGTGTGTGTGTGTATCCAGTTTTGTTGGCCTTTTCATTACCTATTTCTAAGGAAAGTAAGTTGTAAACATTGTAATTACTCTTAAAATGAGAATGCTTGTTCATTGCTATTAATCTGCTAGCCAATGACAAGACCCAAGGATATTAAGTCAGAACTTTTGACTTTACTCTAAACCCTGGGTAATATATGCGAATGAAAAAGGTCTGTGCGTGTGCTTGTGTGTATGGGTGTGTGTTTGTGCATGTGCATGTGCAGATTCCAGTGTTGGTTTCTATGAGGAATCAGTTGCTTTCTAGAAATGACATTAAATCCCTCAGTCTTGGTTTTGCCCCAAGAAAAGGTTACACCACGGCCTGAATGCACTTGCTGCCCCTGAACTATACTTAAAAATGGGGGATTTTATTTTATGCATATTATACAACAATAAAAATACCAAAGAAAAAGAAAACTCTGATTGTGTTAAAAGATATTGCATATTTGCTCAGAGCTCTAAATTCTTGGTCTGTAAACTCGCCACTATTTTTGATGTTAACTATTTCCACATCTTAAGCAAGGATAAATGTTTTCTTGTTTTTCAAGTGGTTTTCAGGTGGTTTCCAACATCGGTCACTCAAATTGATTAACATTCAAAGTATATATTCCAGTGACGTGGTAAGAGGGTGTCAGGATGTACCACTCTTCCTGGTCTCAAAGTTCTCAAAATGTGGGCGTCCCTTTGAAAGTCAACAACAAACTTAGTTCCACAAAATCACAAGCAGAGTGCATTGAATGACTGGGCTGATGAGCCCTTCCTTCCTTGCAGCTCTAAGAGTTTGGATTTTTTTAAATGAGAGGTTGGTCTTCTCTTTAACATTTAGCCATTTACTCTCTAATGCGACAATCATAAAATGTGGTGGGGGGAAGCATTATGAAGCTAAAAACTGAAAGTTTCTATGCATAATTCTTTACTTATCCAGGTGATTTTGAGTGTTTACTGGCTGGTTTATAGTTCAGGAAGCTGTAACATGACCTAGTTACATTAGATTGTTAGGACCGGGCAAACTCAACACATGCTTTGCTTTTATAAAATGAATATTACGTTTGAAAAATAAAGATAGGGCCTCCTTGGTGGTACAGGGGTTAAGGTCTCAGCACTATCACACTATCGGCATCCACTGCAGGCTCAGTTCAATCCCCAGTCAGGGAGCTACCCACATGGTGCAGCAGACCTCTCCTGTCTTGCCTGCTGCTCCCCTCAGCAGTGTATTTCAGTCAATCTGCCTGTTCTGCTCCCCACTCTGTCTCTGGTGAATCCTCTCACCCCCCACACCTCTGGCCTACACCCCAGTTCTTGTATGCATAAATAAAATCTTTTTAAAAATAAGAAAACACTTTTACAAATGTTCCTGTGGTGCTTGTTCAGTATGATGCTTATAAGGGAGTTTATAGTCTTTATAATCTATGCCTCTGCAGAAGCAGCTGATAAGGTGAAGCTAAAATATTCAAGAGGACTCACCGAGAGGTCAGACACTCCAGGGGGATTGTCTCACTGTCCCAGTGTGTATTTATAGGAATATAGTGTAGCTCAGTTTGAATAAGGAGAGTATACTCTGAAATGACCTAGGAGAGCACAAAGTTTAAGGAGAAGGTATTTTAAGTAACAGAGGAGGCTTACACACATTGGAAGAAGAGAACATTCAAGATCTTAAAAATGGCTATTGCAGGCCTCCCCTGGTGGCGCAGGCAATTGAGCGCAGCGCTGTGAAGCTGTCCGCAGCCTCTGCAGCGCCGGTTCAATTGTGGCTGGCCGGCGAGGGTCCCACATGGCAAAGGCACACCTCTCCTGTCTTGCCGCTGCTCCCCTCAGCAGTGTATTTCATCAGTCTGCCTGTTCTGTCCTCCACTCTGTCTCTGGTGAATCCTCTCAACCTCCTGCGCATCTGGCTTGTACCCCGGTTCTTGTATTAAATAAATAAATCTTTAAAAAAATGGCTATTGCACTTATTACAGGACACTGGGACACCCCTACAGAACACTCTTCTGTTGCTATCTGCAAGGGTGGATTTAGAGGATTAATGACCTCTATAAAGCACTGAATAAAATTTAAGCTCTTGCTAAGTTTCCATGAAATACATTATTAGCCCAAAGATGGTTGAGAATCAGTTCCCCAACCAGTCTCTACAGCTGTGCTGGGAGGTTCTGCACACTGCTGGCTCAATGTTCAATGACAAGGAAGAAACCAGATTGTCATCTACCCACAAATTACCGTAGCTAGAACAAAACTTTTTCTTAAAAAACAACTGGATAATAATTTTAGCACCATGCATAGAAAGGTCTTTAAAATTTTTAGAAGTAATTTTTATAAGTAATCAGTATTCTCACCTTTGTTCTGACGCCACAGTCATGAACAGAGTATACAAAATCATATATGTATGTCTGTATCCGAGTCACAGGGCAACCGCTCCCCAGAGATAATTCCTCAGATAGTATATACCGATTGTATGCACACGGGCTGACAGAGACCATCACCCAGTCCAGAGAACAACTTATTTTCACTGCAGAACAAAATCATGAGAAGTATCAGATATGTGTATGTCTCAAGGGAGAACTCAAAGGATATTCAGCTGTGCCCTTTGTGATGCTGGCATTTCTCTGACAAAGGTAATCATGACTTAAAGAATAGCATACCAAGGGTTTTCCTATTGACATTTTTTTCTAAATACCCACACAGTTATACCCACACAATTATAATACCCAAACAGTTATACCTTTAAATAATTAGATTTTGATTATTTCACAGGGAGGAAAATCAATGCATAAGAATGAGAAAAACAGGGCCTCCCCGGTGGCGCAGCGGTTGAGCGCTGGGTTGCGAAGCTGCCCGCTGCCTCTGCGGCGCCGGTTCGATCCCCGGCTGCTCCCCGGCCACCGGAGGAGGTTCCCACATGGCGCGCAGACCCCTCCTGCCGCCCGCTGCTCCCCTCAGCAGTGTACTTCAGTCCTTCTGCCTGCTCTGCTCCCCGCTCTGGCTCTGGTGAATTCTCTCACCCTCCCGCGCTTCTGACTGTGCCCAGTGCATGTATAAACAAAAACAAAACAAACAAATAAATAAATAAAGCATGCCTCTATTAAAAAAAAAAAAAAAAAAAAAAGAATGAGAAAAACATAATCTTACAGCCCCCTGCCTCCTCTCAATGAAATTAAATTCCAGTGAGGCCCACATATAGGGGACAGAAAAAATTACAATACATTAGAATAGGGTGATGCAGCCTCCATAATATTATTTGTAGTGGGAGAAGGAGAAAGGTATAGAAGAATCCACATACAGAGCAGCCAGAAGCAGAAACAGTCATGGCCACAGAGGCGATGACTGTCTGAAGGGGGAAAACATAGGCAAGTTTTATGGGAAATCCATTTTTACCCTCTATGTTGAAATTGTCAGTGAATCAATAACCACTATTTCTAAGGAATTCATTTTCCCTTCAGAAATAGTAGGAAAAGCGTGCTGGATTGTGACTTAGTGTGCCAGAGGTTCTGAGGGGGTGATCAGAGTTAAATTTCATGGTTCTTTATATTGTTCAGAAAAAAACAAGAACATATTAACTTCAGTGTTTAAAGATGTTTGTTAAATAGGAGGAAGAGAATCTAAATTAGAAGGTAGAAAGGAGCAAGAGAAAAATACCAAAAGGAAGTCAAAAAAGGGACAAAAAGCAAGCAATAAATTGCAAGTGTATCAGTAGTAATAATAAATGTGAATGAGTAAAATTCTCCAGGTCAAATCACTCCCAACTGAATGGAGAAATAAACTATAATGCATTTATATCAACTTCTATAAATCTCCCCTAGCAGCACATCTTTAAAGGAAGGAGAAAAAAGCAAAGCAACCGGAGTTTGACTCATATGATAACTAGTTATTGTCTCCCTTAGAAAGGACATAACGAATAAATTGATAAGGGCTGCCAAGTCTAAAGTCTTACTTAAAAGTTGCCTTTAGAAAACATATACTCATGGAAATGGTCATAAAAAATATTAGAAGATTAGATTTCCTTCCTAGATAGCTTGTCACTGATGTTTTCCACTATTCATGCCAATGTCACCTTGGTAACACGCTATACACCAAACATTATAATTGGAGACATATATATAAAAATTAAATTACCTGTACTATTAAAGTATGACTCATACACATAATTGACCTTGACCCATACTTTTCATGGATTTACATAGTAACTGACACTGTATGGTAATTATGGAAATGCTAAAGGATTTTTTCCATAGCAAGAGCTCATTAAATTATCTCTCTGTAGACAAAGGATTTAACATTTTAGGAACTAACAACAGGTGATTGTTGGAAAAAATAGCTAGTATTTTTTAAAACAACCATGTGCTGTCAATGTTATAGCATTTCCTAACTCTCACAGTAAGCCTACCATGACTCTAGGCAAGTCAATCACATATCGTAGAGCTAATTGTCTTTTAGCTTCTTCCCTATATACTGGTGCTCACTTACGTGTCCATAGCAAAGTAGTAGTAAGTCAGACATAATAAAAGTAGGTTGTAGTTCAAATCTTGACTAAGTATCCCAAGCCAGTAATGGAGAAGAGTAAGTCCTGAGAGATATTCAGGATATTCTGAAACACTTTGGAGGAATTAATTCTTTCCAGATTAAAAAAAAAAAATGCGTAGGGCCTCCCCTGGTGGCGCAGGTGGTTGAGCACAGTGCTGTGAAGCTGTCCGCATCCTCTACAGCGTGAGTTCGATCACAGCCTGCTGGCAAGGGTCCCACATGGTGCAGAAGACCTCTCATATCGCGCCTGCTGCTCCCCTCAGCAGTGTATTTTGTCAGTCTGCCTGTTCTGTTCCCGGTTCTGTCTCTGGGGAATCCTCTCACCCTCCCGTACATCTGGCCTGTACCCCAGTTCTTGTATAAATAAATCTTTTAAAAATGTTTATATGACTAATGAGCAAGAAACCTCCAAAATCTTTTGAGTCTGAAAGTTCTTGATCTTTACAGATAAATCCCTCTCAAGAAGGTGAACAATAACAAAAAAAAAAAAAAAAAAAAAACCCAGGGTGCTGTTTGGGGGAAAAGTGATGTTGAAGAAGGCATGTGTTTCCCACATCTATGATTATAACCTCTGAATAACTTCCCTCGTGTGCTTGAGAGGTTGTTCTAACATCACCTAGATAAAATTATAGAAGAATAGTTCCTAGAGGAGAAAGGCTCCAACCAATAGCTGGGATTAAAGATAAATTCAAAGGATAAATGGTTGAGGTCATACCTCTGACTTCACGGCTTTTATTCCTCCTAATATTGGAGTCAAGTTTCAATTTCACATTCTAAGGTTGAGTCTCAAATAACTAGAAATCATTTAATATAAAAAAAGAAGCCTGAGGCACATGTATAGATCCTATATATATTAATTGAAACAATCTTCCTTACACTCAAGCTCATGGGCCAGAGCCAGGCCTGGATGCCCCTCACCCACCTAGATAGATTTCTCCAGAATCTCAGGTCACTGCTTTCTCCACCTGTGCCGAATTAAAATGATTGAAATGGCAGCAATTTACTGCTACTGCACTAATCTAAGCATTCAGAAAGATTCACATTAGGTAAGACAGAAAAATCAGAAACTATACGTGGTCTTTACTCACAAAGGGTTTACAGGCCAAATAGAGAACTAGGAATTTTCCCATGTCAGATCCCCAGAAAAGGCCCCACCTCAAAAAGAAGGAAGCAGACATGTCTAAGTGACCTCAAACACAAACACACACACACACACACACACACACACACACTATGGAAATGCTGCCTTAGAATAGTTGACATTTAGGCAGGTCTTGAAACTGGTAATCATTTGGATAACAGAAATTAGAGTAAAACAGCAAAAATCAGGTAAAACAGCAAAAATATATTGGTATCAACTTATCAACAACCCAGATATTTGTTTAGCTTTATCCTACTGGAATTGCAGAATGGTTGATAATTTGACGCGGGTAAAGGTCAGACAGCGTTTTAAAAAGAACAGAAGAGTCACATTATCATCCAGGGGAAGCAGGAAGAGTCTGGAAGCAAGAAGGCCAGTTAAGATGGAACCAAGTAAACTGCAATTCAATACAGTCAATTGCTGGTAGTCAGCAGTCGGTTTGACAGGGTGCCCCACACAAAGCCAAGAACTATTTCTGGGGACCTACAAATGAGGGTTGTGATAGAGAGAAGCTCACAACACAGGAGGAAGAAAGAACTCAGACATTTAGGTGCAAAGAGAAGATGTGTCTTCAGCATGTGGACTCACGTTTACTGGCTCGGAAATATTTCTCTCCTAGTGAAGTGTAAGATCAGATCACCTGCATGCAAAGAAATCATTATGAGTAACTCATCCAAGGAAGCTTTCTCTAAAACTGATCATTTACCATAGATTTTCTCAGCATGAGACCAAGTCAAGGCAACAAGGAGAATCAAGACCTCTAAAGCCATAGACACCTTCATGGCGCTGGCCTCCCAAACAACTTTTTGGGAAAGCAAGTGGCAACTGGTCAAAGTGATTTTATATGGTGTCCCCCGCTCAGCTGCCTCTATTTCCTGCTTCATTTCTACTCGACACTTCCAATCAAGGCTAAATGGCAGGAAACTTCTTTTCACCAGGTAAAGTTCAGGTGTGGGGCATTCCACCTAACGTGCTCAATTAGTTTAAATCATACATATTTGAATTTAAAAAATAGCGATTTCTTCATTTCTGTGGGTTTGGCTGGAAGTATCAGCAGCAGAGATGATTAAGTGACTTGACCTGGAACATAAATCACTAGAAGGAGACAGAGGCCCACAGGAAACTTTCTTGACATCAAGAATCCACAAATCCATCTCTGTTGATTCTTCCATACATTTTTAGTTGCTCCAGTCAGGTTGAGCTTCATAATTATGCTCACTTATGTGCTTTTAACATAAGAAAGTATATGTGTGTGTATGCATATATAACACACATATATTTTACATGTATACAAGGATGGATGGAGAGATATTTGTGTTTGAACAGTAAGTCCTTAACATTTTGATCCCTTCATGGAAAGTGCAACTTCAAGCAAAATGACATATAATGAAAGTGGATTCTTGAACAACATTGTTTTTTCAACATCGATGAAGATCAAATTTTTCTCATCAACGTAATACCAAAGTGATATTGACAGGAATGACATTATTTGTGGGGTGTGGGTCTGTATTTATACCACATGATAGCGTTGACACTGTTCTAATCCCAGTAGAATCTACACACCCAGTTTTGGCCGGAATAGTTACTTCAAACTCTATTGGCTCAACTCTATTAGCTTTTGAACTGAACTGATTAGTAAAGAACAAGAAGAGGAAAACTCATTTATCTTTAATACAAATAAAAGATTCTTTAGTGTATGAGCTTCTAATTACACAGACCCAAAGAGGAAAATCTCTTTGTTCACTTTCTTTTGCCAATTTAGAAATGTGTACAAATTAGAAAATTAGTACAAATTATAGATCATTGATGTAATAATTGAAGGTAGTGTTTCTTTTGTAGAAAGAGGATCAGGTGCGCACCAAAGTGAATCTTATGGGGATAACATCCACTTGCCAGCAGGAATGGACTCCTTTCGAAGAGTGTAAAGGTTCAGATGAGGCACAGAAACTCAAGCATCTCATCCCAGGAAATTCAGCAAATAAATATGACAGAAAATTTTCAACCAGTAGAGTCTGGCAGGGCGCCCTTTCAAACCCACTGCTGACTACCAGCAATGCCTGTATTGAATTGCAGTTTACTTGGTTCCATCTGAACAGGCCTTCTTGCTTCCAGACTCTTCCTATTTTCCCTTGATGATGATGTGATTCTTTTGTTCTTTTTAAAATGCTCTCTGATCTTTACCTGTATCGAATTTATCAGCCATTCTGCAAAGTCAATAAGCTAAAGCTAAATAAATGTCTGGGTGGTCAATAAGTTGATACCAATATATTTTTGCTGGTTCACCTGGAATAGTCCCTAATTTCTGTGTTATCCAAATGTTATCCAAGTTTTAAGACCTGTCTAAGTGTTAACAATTCTAAGGCAGCATTTCAGTATCATTTTTTGTGTTTCTTTTTTAAGCCACTTAAGCATGTCTGTTTCCTTCTGTTTGAAACTGATATGTGAATTTCTTATTTCTCCATTTGGTCTGTAAACCCTTTGTGAGTAAAGACCATGTATAGTTTCTGATCTCTCCATTTTACCTAAATGAAGTGCTCCAAATCAAACGCAGCTGTTGTTCTCTTTACGAATCATTCCAACCTTCAGTCGCTATAGCCAGAGTCAAGGAAGCCTGCATATCTCAGCCCTCAAGGCCAGCAGTCTCTCCTCATAAGAAACTCACCTCTTAAATGCAGTCACCTACATGCTATGACAAGCATGGGTCTAGGTATGAGAAGGATGACAAAGGAGAATCAGCCACAACCTAAGTCCTTTCTGATTTGTTCATAAAATATGAAAATAATACCAGCATCTTAGGGAGCCATAAGGGGAGGCGGAGGGGGATCCCCATAAGGGGAGGCGGAGGGGGATCCCCACTATGATAAAACCAACTCCCAGTTTACAGTCAGGGTAAAGCACATTGGCAAGCCCTAAAAGGAAATATTTTCACATTTTTAAAGCCATCACATCATTTTGAATCACCCCACTCATCTATAGGCTCTTATTCACACCTGGTAAAGCAAACCTAATCCACAGAATGAGGAGGAATCTTTCTAACAGCACAGAGGTCTTATCTCCTCTGCTGCAGAGTCAAGAGTCATTAGGGAAATGAAAATGCAACCTTCTTAGCACACTCAGCTGCTGCCATGACATCACTGCTGCAGCTCCAACAGCCCCCTTTGAGCCTCCAGCATGCTCCTTGCCCCCCATTGTTAGACCAATGGAAAGCACAGGTTCTGATTAAATGAAGGGTAGAGGTAACAGGTGCCCAAGCAACCAAGTCTCCTACGGAGGCACCTCTGAGCATGTTCTGTGATGTTTTCCCCACTTTTTTTAAGAGTTTTAAGCCTTGTGCAGAACTATGAAAACACTGTTGAAACACAGCTTTCAACTTTGAAGGTGTAGTAAAGAGCACCCATGTAGGATGGCAGACTTTATGCCACTTTTATTTCAAAACAGGCATCTTTAAACCTTCTGCTCTGGCCTCGGTAATTCTGAAAGCTCAGTATGTTCGCGTATCTGTTAGCTGACCAAGACCTGCAGCTCAATTATATCATGCAACATTTCTAGATGACCCAAATTGTTTAAATATTTTTCCATTCTGGGAGAATATAAAGACATCCTCTTCTAGCTGGAGAGAGAAAAGAAGTGTCTGCATTCACTTTTACCAAGAATAAATTCTGCATCCAAAGAAATGGAGAAAGGAATTTTCCCCCATATATTTTTGCATCCATCATCAGTGTGTTCTTCTCTCGCTCGGAAACACAGAATCTAGACATAAAACAAGTCTGCCCCAAAATACTGGTGATTCCCATGAGAGAATACCAGCCTTCCTTGTCTTTTTTAAAGGAAAAATTTTATATTGCAAAATTATGTATATTCATTGTCAGATTTGCTAACACAGAAATGCACAAGCCATAAACAAAAATACCCACAACCTAATCAACCCAATAATACCTATTAACATTTTAAGATATAGTCTCTTTTCTTTTTATGAATAGCTGGAAGCATCTTTTTCTTACATTGTTCATTTTTGAAAGCACAGCATTTCTCCTGTGTTGACCTTCCCTTTTGAATGAGAACATCTGTGTGCGTACACGTACGTGTGGAGGGCAGCCTCCGGTTCAGGCTCACCACGAATGTGTTACCAGCTCTTGAATGGTACATTCAAAGGCAGTTTCACTTCCAGATACATATTAAATTCTGAAAAGAATTAGAAAACTTCTGTCAAGTCTATGATCCAATCTGTTCTAACACCTTTTTTGGGGTAAGGTTATATTTATTGTTGATTTACATCACATGTCTTAGGGGTATAAGCTTATACCTCTACAAATGTAGGCCAGTAATCCCCCATTGGATGCCCCTCCCACCACATCCCTCTTCTGGTAGCCTTCGTCATAGGCCATTGTGCTCTCCCATCCCCCTCCCATTCTAGATGCCCCCGATCTCTGGTCAGCTGTCAAGGTTTACCTGACCTTTAATTTTGTGTTCTCTATATCCCACATATAAGTGAAACCATCCAGTATTTCTCTTCCTCCTTCTGACATTTCAGCATAACCCCTTCCAGTTCCATGTGTCTGCAAATGGCATGAGTATCTTTTTGATTGCTAATATTCCATTGTGTACATACACTACATCTTCTCGATCCATTCATCTGTATTGAGGTATTTAGGTTATTTCCATAGCTTGGCTGTTGTAAATAGTGCGACAATAAGTAGGAGTGCAGGTTTCCTTTTGAATTAGTGTTTTTGTATTCTTTGGGTAGATAACTAGAAATGGAATTGCTGGGTCATATGGTAGGTCCATTTTTAGTGTTTTGGGGAAACTTTTAAAAAGATAATCTGAATAGGTGTGCATTTCATTTTAATTAGTTCAGGAACATTGAAGAGTAAGTGATCTGGTCCACTAGGAAAACTCCGGTCGCCCTGCTAGTCTGTGAGTGCAGGCAGGGCTGGGTGGTGTGTTGGTGTGACTTAGAAGTCTCCAACACTCAGAATTACACCCCAAAGCAACTGGAATCTTATTCCCAGATATCCACTTCATCAAGATAGGAAGGACATATGCACAATCGCAAATCGAAATTTAAATACTTCCTTGTAGGACATTATTACCAAAAAATGGAAAAGGATTATAATAAGCCAAGGCTCATGGGAAGTCTTTAAGTTGTTGAAGCAAATCCACAGAGAACATACATTCTTTCCCCTTTTTACATGGATTGTGAAAGAAAGTGAAATCTATTCCCCTGAATCTTCCCTATGAGACACTAATAGTTAGAGAGTGGGTAAAGGTTAAAGCTTGTTGAATCTGTTAGAAGAGTATATATATATGCAGAATACAAAAAACTTTGTTAGCAGCTTTATTACAAATTTGACTTCTCAAAGAGTGGCAATTACACTTTAACTCATTTAGAAGTTTAAATGTCATAGATATGCACTCTCCAGAATTCCAGAAGGTATTTAAACAGGTAACAGGTATTGCTACCCATCTTTGGCCAACAGAATAGTGTATCACTGAAACTGGCTCCCACACAGAATGGACCACTTGCTCCTGTGTTTTAAGGAGAAGAGCAACTCACGACATAGGCATTATTGTTGCAGTAACTTGTGGTGAACTGTTTCTGTAGGATAGGAATGAAAGAGAGGAAACAGTTAATTGCTGCTTACCTGTAACTCTTACCTAATTCTTCAGAGAATTGATGGGTGCCAAACTAAAAGTAACCAAATGTCTACCTTCAGATGTAATCTATACCATTATACAACTACCTCAACTAGATCAGATAACAGAAATGACTAACATCCAAGTATTGTCTAGATCACTTTTCCAAAACAATGGACATCAGTGTTGATAGCACTGTCAACTTTGATTGTACATGGTTATCAGATCTCTAGAAGAAAGCTCCTTCATGAGATGTCAAATTCAAAGTCACTGTCTATGGCAGAAGGTTTACTGTACCCTTTTAAATAAGATGTTTCTACTGAGCTTATTAGCTTATGGTAAATGTCTCTGAATTAAGTTCATTTTTTCTTGGGCATATAGAACTCCACGTATTTCTCTGTAGGGATTAGCTTGATATTGGAGATCCCAAATGGGACTCCTGTGACAAACATTTCACTTTGTCACAGGCTGTATTGAAACAATTTAGTACCCAAGACAAAAGCTAAGAGAACTGACCCCTGTGGAATCTGCTCATGTTTACGAGCAACTAGTAAGAAAACTGAGTGCACATGCTGCAAAGCAACAGGCTTCAGCCGAAAACCAGAGCAACAGTATACACATAGGGGTTTACCTTACTTCCCTCACAAGTTACACATAGCAAATAGTTGGTCATGAAGTGACAGACAACCTAGGTTTTCTCACCTTACTCACAGCACCAAGGCTGGGTTCACAGTTATCTTGTGAAGCAGCTGGTGGCTGCTGCCTTTCTCTTCCTTGAGATCTGTTGCCCACAGTATTGACATCATGCCCATTCATTCCAAATGGCAACAGAGATGGGATGAAAAGTCTAAAAGTAGAATTAAAAAATATATAAAAGATTGGTAGCTATGCAATTCTTTGCAGGAAAAATATGAATATATTAGATTTATATTAGTTATAAGTGACAGAAACCCAAAGTAGATAGCTTGGGGAAAAGGAAAATTAGCTCAGTAAATGTTAATTAAAAGTTTGCAATGAACTATTGGCTATTCCATAGCCAAGCTATGGAAACCACCTAGGTGCCCCTACACAGATGATCAAACGGTCAACGAGATAAACTCAGGCCATTTGTGGCAACTTGGATGGAGCTGGAAGGTAATATGCTAAGTGAAATAAGCCAGAAGGAGAAAGAAGTATTGGATGGTCTCACTTATGTGTGGACTAGAGAGAAAGCAAACCAAGGGTCAAAGACAAACTTTAAAACCAATCTTTGAGAATAACTGTAAGAAAGAAAAAAATCAAAATCAACAAACAACTATAAACCAGAGACACACTATGGGGCGGGGGGCGGGGGGGAGGTATTGGGCCCAAAATAAGGGGAGTGCAATTGTATGGGGAATATAAAAATAAAAAAGAATAAAAGGAAAAATAAAATAAAGCCCATCTTTGAAAGCTGCCCAAAGATCTGAAGCATCCCAAGGGAGAGGAGAGAGAACTGGGTGGGGAAAAAGCACAATGGACTGTGGTGGAGGACGGTGGGTACCTTGGTGGTGGGTGTGCTATAGAGACTGCACCTGAAGGAGGACTTTTACTCCCAAAATACTAACAATGTAAACCAATGGTATTACCATAGAAAAAATGTACTTTTTTTAAAAAAAAAGTTATAATGGGATCTTAAATAGGATGTTGTCTATTAATTCAGAATTAGACTTCTAAAGTTAAAGTTGCTGCAAACTAGACTTCTAAAGTTAGAGTTGCTGCAAACTGACTGTTGAGTATGACAAGTATTCTATCTAGGTTGAAGAGATTGTCAACCACCAAATCAGCTACAACCAGACCATACAACCATATCTCTTACATTTAAAATGGGTCAGAGACCCAAATTTTTATCAATGTATATAAAAGATTCTAACCACCATACTCTTGGCTTGTTAAAAGAGAGATTTCCCAGCAAATTAAGGAGCAATTCTATGCTACCACCTTTAAATTACCCTCGCAGTTCCTCACTACCCTGTTTTGAAGAGTTGCCAAGTTTACTTCCTGCTGTTTCTTTCCCTTCTTCTCCCCCAAAGTCAATATAGGCAGTTCCAGGAGAATGACTCAGCTTCAGTGTTTATATATGAAGGGGTAATAATTTTTATTCAATTTTTGCATATTTCCCCATGAATTTAGATAGACCAACAAAAACATTAGCCTGTTTGCTATGGGAGGAACTCTCTGAAGTTACCATTCATAGGGTCTTACATTGCATAGCTACATGTATTTGTCAGTGAGGCTACACATTTAACTATATATTTCACCTTAAAGATTTTACTTTAAAGAAAGAGCTTTAGAGAAATACTTATCCCTAATTAAAAATATGTACAATTCTTCTGTGTATTTGAAAACTTTAATAAGAATTAAAGAAATTTTAGAAATTGCCTCAATGAAAACCTCTATCAGCCAAAGGAGACACTTAAAAATGTGCAAGGGGGAGAGTTGGCTACACGTACCTCTTCACAAAGCAAAGCACCTCAAATTCATAGGCGGTCTGCAACGTTGGCTTATAATGGAGCTTGGACAATATGACAGCATCACTCTCTTGGAACACCTGAAACAGTAGTGGTTTAGTAGGAAAAGCCATGAAATTATTTTGATGGTTTAATGATTCGAATAGAATCTGTTTCAACTTAAAGGGAAATCTGAAAATGGCACTTAACAGAAGTAAAATAATGGATTTGAGTGATAAACACTTTATTCTCCCTTTTCCTCTCATCATTGAGCCTCTTCAGCCCCATCTACAGCACCAGATGGGGGATGGGAAGGCCTCTTAGGTCTCCAGGATTATTTAACATACTTGCCTTCATATATATCCACACCCAGCACTCCAGAATATTAAAACCTAACATCAGATTGAGTCAGAGGATTGAGCCCCTTATTTGTAATCCCCCAATATGTAAATAATGGACATCTATAGAGAATTGATCTCTCTATGATAAAAAGTTGATCACTGAGGATATAAAAATATGAATGAGCTTGAAAATTTAAAAGGAAGAATTGTTGATACTACAGAGCCCCTGAAAAAAAAAAAAATGTAGTTTTAGGGGAAATCGTTGGGGCACTTACAATTTTCTTGATCCCACAATTAATGACAGAATAAGAAAACTCATAGTTCGACAACAGCATCTTTGTCACAGGACAGTTATTTCCCAGGTGTATTTCACCAACTTTAACTTCTGTGTCATTCCCAAAAGGCCGCCTTTTCATTCTGACCACCAGCCAGTCATCGGAGCAGGCGGAAATCACCGCTGAGGAATAAATGCGAAGATGAAATACAATGCAAGTCCCACCTGCACTTTCACATTTTCCAGTAACTGTCTTTTAAATTTAAAAGCAGGTTTCATTTAATAAAATGCTCTATTTAATCCAGTATATCCAACACTATCATTAGCAGGTAATAAATGGAGGCTTTACATTCCTTTTGTCTTGCACACTGATTAAAATATTAGCATAAAAACGTGTCTCCAGACAGAAGTATAATGGAATGACTCATTCCAGAGAACCTAGATCTAATTATAAAAAAAGTGATGGCAGATGATCTGAGATTTGGCCCTGCTCACTGAGCCCACTGGAAGCAGAAGTCATTAGCTTCAGTTGTAAGAATCAAGATTCTATGAAACAGCACTGGTTTCACCTGGTTTCAGGTTTCGTTTTAATGCGACTTGGAAGAGGTCTCACAAATAACTGCCTTAAAGTGCTTCTAGATGAATTAAAACTAGGGTGAACCTCTCAACACTATTGATATTTGGGCCAGATTTTGTTGTTGTAGGTTGTACATTCTAGAATGTGTAGCAAGATTCCCAACTTCCATCCACTGGACACCAGTAGCACCTTCAATGTGACCACCAGAAAAGCTTCTAGATGTTGCCATGTCCCTTGGAATGTAAAACCACCCCACTGCTCCAATATGTGGTCACTGAAATAGAGTGGAACCCAGAAACTGCTTTCCGGACCAACAGCAGGAACAGTGGATGTTAGGCTGGCACTGGATGCTGAGACAATCAGGTTTCCACTCAGGGTATTACTTAAGGTAATAGTAACACTTGGGTTCGAGCTGACTCATGGTCTTCGAGGTCAGTACATCCTTAATTATTCCTCCCTGGTGACTTCAAATCACTTGCCTCAGGTCACCCAACTAAGAGGCAACAAGGCTGGGTTGACTGTTGCTAGAGCCTCAGTGGATAGAGGAGGTGACAGAACCATCCAAATTCAATTACTCATTCCCTATGTCATTTCAGTCTGTCTTTCAGGAACCACAGATAAGACACCCAGCGATCACTAAGTAGGGCAGCCCTTTCTTTTCCTGGGTCTCAAATTATATGAGCCCCAGTTATAGAAGAACCATGGGTCTAGTCATTAGAAGAGAGGTATTGACAGAAGATCAAATAAAACCTGTAAAGACCCTCACATGGGCTTACAAAAAAAACACTGAATTCAGCCTACACAGGGAAGTAGTTATAACTATGCCCCAGTTTTTTATTTTTTTATTGGAGTAAGATAGCATTATAACATGTTTCAAGTGTGCATCACTGAGACTCAACACGGGCATTACTACATACAGTAAGTGCACCATGAAAAGTCCAGTTCTCTCCTTCACCAAAGCCTTGTTCGTTTTGCCCCAATTTCCCAGCTCCCTCCTTCCTTCCCTCTGTAAACACTAATTGGTTTTGTAGTTCAAATTTTTTTTATTTACTTCATTTTCTCTATAGTCTCTGCATAGTGTCTGGGCCAGCTGACCTTTAAAAAATTACGGTGAAAATAAAGCTAACAATGAAAAACAAAACAAAACCCCAGCAACCCAGTTAAAAATGGGAGAAGGATCTGAATAGACTTTTCCAGAAAGGACATACAGACGGCCAGCAAGCCCACGAAACATGCCCACATTTTACTAGAGAGATGCAAATCAAAGCAATGCTACAGCCCCTCATATTCGTGAGAATGGTCACTATCTAGAAAGGATTGGAGAAGATGTGGCAAGCAGGGAACTTTATACACTGCTCGTCACTACTGGTGGGCTTGCTGTTAATGGAAGTCAGTATGGCGATTTCTCAAATTAAAAAGACATTCCAAATGATTTAGTTACCCCAACTCTAAGTATTTACCTGATAAACATGCCCACTTTTTAAAAAGCGAGGGTAGTGGACTACAGACACCCCGAGCTGTGAGTTGATGGTGGAGTAAATATATGTACTTATCAGCCAGGCCTTTACGCGGTAGCACTTTAGAGAACACTCTGGCTGCTTCAAATTACCACCCTCCTAAGATATTTCTTATTCATACCTTGTTCGAACTCAGAAGAATTCCAAAAGAACAAAAAAAGGAGGGTCCCTCCTAAGAGCACCGAGGCCTTCATCTCTCCAGTCTCCAAGACAGAGATCCCAGGAGCAGGAAATGGCGGGGGCTGGGGCTTTCTTGGGTGTTTATAAGTCTCAGGCTACACTCAGCTGCCAGCAATTACCCTCTACTTGGGTCGCACTGGCAACTCCTTTTTTAAAAAGATGGTCCATTCAGAGACCAGCAGTAGCTACATCATTTCATCTGAAAGCTTGTTAGATGCACAATATCAGGCCCTGCCCTAGATTCACAGAATCCATCACCAGATAGTTCAAACGCATATTCAATTTGAGAAGTATTTCTCTTAACACAGTCTCCATCTGGGGCAGCTGACCTTCAAAAAATTATGGTGCAAATAAAGCTAACAATTGTACCTCTCTAGGGGTATGAATATATCTGGGTGATGTCCTAATACCTGTAAGATCCATGATACTTAGATAAGGAACAAGGGCTTTCAAGATTTAATGAGCATGAGGAGCCGCCACAGGAGACACTTGTGATCCGACCTCTTGTGGTTCCACTTTAAATTCCCCAATGTTTAAGGAGATTTGAGCACCTTCTCGTGCGTTTACTGACCACTTCCATGTCCTCTCTTGTCAAGTAACTTCCCCATTTGTCTATTTACTTAGCTGTATCTTATTAATCAAAAAAATATTTCTAAATGTTCTTTAAGGCTAAGTAAGAACCATCAGTCTGCTTTTTCATTGTGTTGGGGTAGCACTTGTTTACAATGTTGAATAGGCTGCAGGTGTAGTGTCTCACTCTGCTGGATGTGTCACGCCACGCCCACCACCCAACCTCCAGGCACCACCCACGACCCTCTTTTCCCTACCTCCCCTTCCCTCTGGTCACCACCATTCTTTTGTGAGAGTCTAAGGGTTAGTTTTTTTTTGCTTGTTCGATTGCTTTTCTCTTTATATTCTACCAACAAGTGAACTCATATGCTGTCGTTCTCCTGATATTTCATTTAGCATAAACCTCTCAAGGTTCCTGCGTGTTGTTGCAAATGGCAGATGGCAAGGGTTGGGACTTTCTTGAGTGTTTACAGGCCTCAGGCCACACTCAGCTGTCAGCAATTACCCTCTACTTGAGTAGCACAGGAATCTTTTTTCTCAAAGGATGGTCCATCTACCAGCAATAACTGCACCATTTCACCTGGCAAGTGGTGAAGTTTCATCTGTTTTTCTGACTGAGTAGTATTCCACTGTGTCTATACCCCACATCTTCCTAATCTAGTCACCTACTCCATCAACAGGCACTTGGGTTGTTTCCATGTCTCGGCTATGGTGAGTAGTGCTGCAATCAGCCTAGGGGTGCATATGTCATTCTGAATTAGTGTTTCCATATAATTTGAGTAAATGCCAAGAAGAGGGATTGCTAGACCATATATTAGCTCTATTCTTAATTTTTTGAGGACCCTCTATACTGTTTTCCATAGTGGCTACACCAATTGACATTTCCACCAACAATGCAGGAGGATTTTTCTCCACATCCTCACCAACATTTACTTCTTAATCTTTGACATTAGACATTCCAGCTGGTGTGAGGTAAAATCTCACTGTGGTTGTAATTCGCTTGGCTTATGAGTAGTGTATCTTCTGATGTTTTTTGATGGGATATTGGGTTAAGTGAATGGGGTCCTTAGGTTACCTCTGAGAAATTTCAGCAAAATTCCCCTTTCACTGGCACACAGCAACTTTACCCAGGAGATGAAGATGTTTGCACAGTCACAGGCAGATGCAGGTTCCATTTTAAGAGGACATGTTTACTAGGGAAAGGAACAGGGAAGACACTTGCAGACACAAGAAGGCAGGAGAGATGCCGTTTTGCCAGGGCAGAACCTGTACAGATACACTGTTCTTTTGGACAGGGGTTTGTTCCCTGGTGGAACTGTTGGCTATTATTAGATTAATTACTTGGAGGGTGTGACTATGTTGGGTTGTAAGGACCAGGGATTCTCTACCGTGGCCTCCATCTCCATATCCCACCTCTGGTCTGCACGGAAGGATTTGTTTCTGTAGCTGGTTTCACAACTATGTTAATCATTTCTACCCCCACCTCCAGTTTCTAGTCTTGTGCTGCCTTCATCCTTAACTTCCTCACTCTAAGTCTCCATGATCCTCCACCGCACTGTAGGTAATCTTAACTCTTCCTGGTATGTTTTTTTAATGATGGTAAATAGAATTAAATTACTCATGGCCTAATAAATCAATGTTTTCCTTAAGAGTTAGTATACTTTGTGTCTCATCTAAAGTCTTACTGTGGCATCAAGTAGAATTTTCCCCCAAAATACTAGCCATTTTATATGAGCAAAATTTAACAAGATTTTCTTTAAAAATATGTCTTTATTGCAAATTTAAAATATGGGGGAGTTCCTTTTGGCCTGACCCAAAGAGTCTATAAATGTAGACAACGAAGCAAGTTCATTAAAAAAAATATCATTTAAACAGGTAAAAGATGATATTGGTAGGCAACAGTTTGGTATCTGAAGGTGATGCCATCTTGAGCCAGTCACAGTGCAGATCCGTAGCTTGCCTGATCACCCCGAATTTATAGGTAAAACACTACACTTAACAAGGAAGCATAAAATGTATGTGTTCCAGCAGGAAAAAAATAACTCCTGGAATGAAAGGGGAAAAGAACAGTGAGATATATAATAGCATTGATGGAAACGCTTACATAACTGAGGAGCCACTGGGCTCAGCGAAAACCCGGGAACCCATTACAATATGAATTAAGTGTAGCAGCTATCATGCCTTATTAATAAAATGTTTATTAACTATAACTTAAGAACCATATCTCTATCACTATCTCTGCATATCAGTTGATATCCCTGTGTCCTTTGGGATATGGAAGCCCAAAGACTAGAGGCCACTTTTTAGGGTCCACATAAGAAGGACTTTCTCTTGTTGGCATTTCATTCTTCTGGAACAAAAAGCTAAGGGTCACATGAATGTACATTTGAATTCCAGTCCCATCTACAGGTATGATATAGCCAAAGATTTTTCTTTGGGCTGAAGCAAAATTGGTGAAGAATGAATAAGACAAAATAGTTATTGATGTTATGACTCAAAACCAGAGCCTTTCTATATGAGAATAGTGATGGATGCTTAGGCGGGTGATCTTATTCACCTTGAGAATCGTGGCTGTGATAATCCTAACCTGGAGTTACAGGGCACAGCTGGCTGAATTCTTGCCTTTCTATCACACACGGGGACATGTCCAGCCCTGAGACAGAACTCACCCAGAACACATTCCTGGATGGGTCCCAAAGGTTTCGACTGATGACCAGGTTTGGTTTTCTTCTTCTGATTCTTGGGATGTTTCCCAGATGTATTATTGTTGTTCTTTACCTCTTTTTGTACAAAGGTGAAAACGGACTTTCTGAAAACAAGGGTCAAAAAGATTGTGTGTGTGTGTGTGTAGTCTATTATGTATACTATTTGGGGAGGTGAAGAAGTGCCTGTGGTGTGGGGAAAGAAATTAATTAGATGAATCTGGTTAGATTATAATAGAATGCCAAATCAAGAAATTTAGGCAATAATGGATTATATTTGATAGAAGAAAAAATTATTAAATTGTGTGATTTTATTGAGGTAATGTTTTACAACTGGAATGAATTAAGGAGAGACAATCCCATCTCTCTGGGTGGATGTCCCCGGACTACACCCACCCCCAGAGCACCCGTATCCTCCACCACCGTCCCTGAGCCCCGCGTTGCTCTCCACCCTCCCCTCCCCCAGGTTGCCTCAATTCCACAAAGTTCTAGGGTTTGTTTTGGTTTAGTTTTGTCTATTCTTTTGCTTTCTTTATAGTCTACATATAAATGAAATCATTCAGTATTTTTCAGAATTCTTAAAAAAAAAACATTAAATAAAACGTCCCTTCGCCTCAATTTGATTTTTTCATCTCACAGAGTAAATCACCAGACTGACAGTCTGAGTGAAAATTTGGGAGATATGCTGTGATTTTTAATCTCTTCCATTATCCCCATTTCTGACCCAATCAACTAAGAACAGGTGGTACAGTTCCCACAAGAATTTAATAGAGTCCTTAACAGGTGCTGGGACAGGGCAGGTGGAAGCTTCTAGGTAGAGAAAATGGGTAAGAGAAAGGAAGTTTACTAGCAAAGAATCTTCTTAGATCTTCTGTTTCTTGAGTCTTAGAATTAACTAGACTCTATGTCGTTAACTGCTGAGTCTTGCTTAAGGAAGTGAGCGGCAGACAGCACCAAGCTGTGTGGCATAACTCGGAACCGCTTGTTCTTATGCCCCCCGACTTTCAGCAGTGATCATTCACAGTGACCCATCCCATTCCAGTACCTGAGCACTTGTGGAAGACAACCCACAGCTCGACATATTCACAAAGGTAACCTTTGACTAAATGCAGAATGTGGGATGTGGAATAAGAAACCTGACTTCTACCCCCCGCCCATACTTTCATTTACTCATTTACTCATTCAGAAAGTGGACTTTGTAGATCTAGTCCCATGACTGACCACAACACTGCCAATCAAACTGAGCCAATTGCTCAACATCAGCTTGCCCGACAGTCTAGCTCTCGTCAGAATACCTGGAAGCCCAAGATAGGTGAGAGGACCTCAACCGCAGGGGCCATGGACACTTACTTTTGAATATAGCATGATATTGGGAGGTAACCTCTGACAGCTGAGTTCACTGGTTCGTAAGTGATGTAACTTTCAATGAGTAGACCCCAAGGGCGCTCCTAAAGAGAGAGAATTTGCCATTCGTTATTTCAACCATGTCTGAGGACCACAAACAGGAATAGAAAAACATGTCAATCATCACTTCAACATCAATATGTAAAATAGATATGAATAGAATGGATGGAGTGGAATAGCAGGATTATGTGACAAAGTTTGTTCTTAGAAAAGACCCCGTCACTAGCTCCTGGCCTGGTGCTGGTTTGGCGCTTGCATCTGCAGGCAGTTTCAAGTCACCTCAGCTGTTTGGGGGTTAGGGTCTGATTTAGGCAGCCTGGACTGTGGGTCAGTCTGTGCCAGTAACTCAGAAAAGCAGTCACAGACCACACCAAGGGAATGTGATTGTAAATGGTGTTAATGGAACAAAAGCACTGGCTGGACTTGGCCCCAAGGCCATAGTAGCTGAGCCAAATATAAGCCATTACTTTTATTTTTTTATAAAGGTATTTACATTTAAATTATGCTTTTTTAAAAGATTTATTTATTTACACAAGAACTGGGGTACAGGCCAGAGGTGCGGGAGGGTGAGAGAATTCTCCAGAGACAGAGCAGGGACCAGAACAGGCAGACAACCGAAAACACTGCTAAGGGGAGCAGCAGGCAAGACAGGAGAGGTCTGTGGCGCCATGTGGGTTTCTCCCTGGCCAGTCGGGAATCAAACCCGTGCTCAGGGGCTGCGGACAGCTTCACGGTGCAGCACTCAACTGCCTGCGCCCCCAGGGAGGCCCAACCTGAGTTTTTTAATTCAGAAAATGGGCCTGGTAAAAATCTATAGGGTTGAGCAAGTTACATGGGACACTACTCCATAGTAATGACATTCAGCTTGACCTGGATTTTGTGTAAATGGGAGTATGCTGGCCCAGGTTCTGGAGTCCCAGGTAATTAAACACTAGGACCAAGAACATATTATTTGTTGAAATGATAATGGTTGTTACCTGAGTTTTGATTCCACAGGAAGAGAGAGGATAATGGAACTCCAGGAAATCCAGCCGCCTTCCAGTCACCGGGCAGCCAGTCCCGAGATGGAGCTCGTGAGGCTGGGGCTGCTGGTACTGCGAGTAGGGCCTGCGTCTCACTCTGACTTCCAGCCAGTATTCACTACACGTTATAAACACTGAGGAGACAAAAGGAATGTCAGTGGCCGTGTCTGTGCTCAAACGACTGCGCAGAAGTTGACCTGAATCTCAATTTGCGTGTGAAAATGGCTGGATTTACTTCTGTGTTTTCCACTCAGATCTCGGGGAAGTTCGTTAAAGTCTGTGTTGCTTAATTTCTTTATCTGAATGTGGACAAAAGCTTCTCTACACAAAAATAAATAACATCTTTTTTTTAAAAAAAAAAAGTAATTTTTAGATCATTTGATTGTGGATTCAAAAGGAAGTACGGTGTGGAGATGCCTGGGATGAAATTGGGCATCCTGTGGGAAGTGGCCCTCATTAACTACTCACAGGTGACCGCAAAATTACACAGCACAAACCCCCCAACCTCAACATGTACAAAAGCACACCTGCTCCTCAAAATGCCACCCTCTAGCATCCCCTCTTCTTACCATCCTCAAAACCTTCCGTCAGCACAAGGAGCATCAGGAGCCCTCCTAACGTGCCCGAGACTCTCATGGCTTCAGGCCTCAAGCCAGGAGGGCAGAGAAAACAGGAAGTGGGGTGGACTCCCAGGTGTTATGAACTCTCGTCTCCTCAGCTGCAGGTGATGCTCCATCCTTCTGGAACACAACCAAAGTCCTCGGCGCCACTGATTTCCTGCCTCAAAGTTGAAATTATTATACATTATTAATTCAGCCAATGAGAAACCAGCAACGGAAAACCTAGCCGATCTACAGAATCATGAGAAATAGAAATTGCTGTCATTTTAATTCACTAACTTTTGGGATAACTTATTGCCCTGCAGTAGTTAAATGATAAACTCTGAAATTATATCTTATAAGAAATGATCAAGTAAATGAGCAAATAATATTAACTCTGCTTCTTAGAGAGGTTTTAAAGATTTTGAAGTTGTTTAGTGTCTTGGTTATGGCTGATCCCAGCTGTGCCTTATGCCTCCAAATGCCCATTTATGATGATATTTTTAGTTTTTGAGGTCACATTGGTTTATACCATTGTGCATTAGAAGCACAGGCTCTCCCCACAGTGGTGGTGTCACCATACCACGCCCACCTCCACACGGCTCACCACAGTCCTTGTGCTCTCCCCCCACCTTCCCTCCCGCTCTGGGAGCCTCAGTTCTATAGTTAGCTTTGTAGGGTTAGTTCTTACTTCGGATTTACCGGACCCTTTGGTTTTTCTAGATTCCACCTGTAAGTGACACCATCTGGTATTTTTCTTTCTCCCTCTGATTTATTTCACTTAGCATGGTCCTCTCCAGCTCCATCCAAGTTGCCACAAATGGCAAGAGTTTATCTTTTTGATAGCTGAGTAGTATTCCATTGTGTGTGTGTACACATATGTGTACATTAGTGTATATATATATTTATACACACACACACACACTCTACATCTTACTGATTTGCCTATCTCTTTTGGGTACTTAGCTTGCCTCCACAGCTGCCTATTGTAAGTAGTGCTGCAGTGAACGCAGGCGTGCAGGTTTTCCTTCAAAGGAGTGTTTTTGCATCCTTCGGGCAGACCCCTAAAAGCCGAATTGCCGGGTTATGTGGTGTGGGGCCTCCGCTACAAGCTTGCCGGGTTCTCTATGGCTGTAGACAAGAAAGTAGGTCATGAAGCGCATACATGGGGAGCAGGCACAAGTCTTTATTATGAGGCAGCAGGAGATACACAGGTAGCAACGGCAGCTGCATCGAGCAGAGACAGTGAGAGGCCCTGAAGCAGTCCTATTACCTTTTACATGATTTATAGACAAAGCAGGCGCAGGACCAAGTTTAGGCCTAGTTCACAGAAGTATGTCTCCCTGTGCAGGCAGGTCACAGGGGTGGGGAGGGTGGAAGCATTTCGAGAAAACCACGTTTTCTGACGGGCCCTACAACATCTTAAACTTGATATTTTCAAAACAGGGTTCCTGAACCTGGACCTCTGGCGTTCCTATCTGAATGGGTGGCAACCTCCGCTTTACAGTAGCTTGAAAATCATAAAGCCTAGATTCTTCTTTCATGCCTATATCCAATGTATGGGAATCCTTCCCATGTGAGTGTGCGTGTGTCCAGAACCTCTAACCACATTGATTTATTCCATGGCAACATCTAATGCGGGGTTCTTGACCTCAACACTATTGACATTTGGGGCCAGATAGTTCTTTGTTGGGGGACAGGGGGACTCTTATGCACTGTAGAACATTTGGCACACACATCCCCACCTCCACCCCAGTTGTGGCATGTAACAGGCAGGAAGGGACAGTGCAGGATCTCTATGATCCGAGCAGACGGGTGAAAGAGGAGTCCTGGAGCCCTTGGTGGATTTTGCGGGCTTCTATTGGGATTTACTAGTACACGGCTGGCAGGGGTACTGGGAGGCCAGGAGGCTGGCAGGCCTGAATTGGCAGTCCAGCCACCCAGCCCCAGCAAGTCTTCACTCTTTCTGGGCTCTCTGCTTCTCTCGTAGTTCTGCTGGTGTCCCTGTGACACAGCCCTCATAAGCCCAGTCTCTCAGCCCAGGTGTACCCTCTTACGTATGCCCACACCTCACTCCAGGTGCCCGCCATTAGGCATGCATTCAGGACCGCAGGGATCCATCACCAATCCTAATGGCAGGAGGGCAGAAAAGCCTGATACTTTTTATTTACCCTACATGGCATCTTTCCCTTCACTGTGCCCCTGAAGATCGCCCACCAGCCGGAGCCAGGCGTCTACTGTGCAGCCATCACCCCTCACAGGTAGCCCAGACCTCAGGGGCTCTCTGCTCAAGCCTCCGCTACCTCCTGTCTGTTCTCCTCCAGCAGCCAGGGTAACCCTGGGAAACACCCCGAGTCAGACAATGACTTTCCAGTGTTTCCCGCCCTGTTTCAAATAAAAACCAGGTTTGTCTTATCAACTTGGGGAAACTACATGACCCACCCCACTCCCATTGTTTCTGTTTTCACCTGGGCTACACCACCTTCCTGCTCTGAGCGCCTCTGGGCCTGCCCTCCCCTTGGGACTTTGCAGCAAGGGTCCTGGTAGTCCTGAGTCATCTCCCACCCCCCCTCCCCACTCCCTGGTTCTCAGCCCTTTGCAAGCCATCTGCTTTCCAGGCTTCCCTGATGCCATGTTTACACAGCAACCTCACCCAAACAGGTCTTCCTTTCCTGCTCTATTTTTCTTCAGTGGCATTTACCCCTTCCCGGGATACTGTAGAATTTATCTTTTTAAAAAATATTCAGTCTCCTCCTCCTAAAATGTACACGGCATGAGGACGTGTTTGTGGGTTAAATGAAGAAGCGCCATCACCCAGCGCAACCACGACTAAACATGAGCTAAGACATGAGCCCATCACCGTGCAGGGCAGGGTTGGGAATTTTATCCTTGGAAAACCCTTTATAGTGACACTGAAGCTTAAAACGACACCTTCATTCCTTCAGGAATTAGCGACAGCATTATGAGGACACACTTTATTCATAAATCAGTCATCATAAAGTTAAAAGCAGGATCAGCCCATTTTTGAAAAGGGAAATAAGATAAGCAGGCAACATGCCATTTTATTTAAAATTGCAAATTCGTTCTTTTAAATGGAAGCGAATTAGAGAATCCTTAAGTTCTCTGCCAGCTTCTCAGATTTCTATAAAATAGCACATTAAATCTTAAGTCCTGAGCAGTCATTTTAGAGTTTGTCTCTGAACGGCATGTGAATCGTCAAACTGAACTTCTTTGTTATTAAAGGTACATCATTTGCTACACAAGTATCATTTGGATTCTCCCTGAAAAGACAGTGAAAAAAACAATCAGCCCCAATATAAATATTAGTTATCTATTTCTAAGAACATGTTGTCCATAAGTAAAGCAATTTATGTGCATGTGGAGAGGGTGGGGTGAGGGAAGAGAACTTGAAATGTTTTATCCCTGAGATCATATCCTCAGAGGTATGGTGATTCGAGTACAGTGTATGTATAAGTAAGGAGACTTTGGCATCTTTCAGCTATGAATCACATCCCAAATGTGCTAAGACTATGCCGGTGCGCTCCATCAAACATATCTCTATCTCTTCGTTAATAATCAAAAGAGTAACATACATGCAGATTTTTTTTTTATATAGAACATCCCTTGGTACTTGACTCAGGAATGAAGAACTGCACTGACTTACAAGCATGTTTCCCTTCCTGGAAGAAATTGCAAACCAAGCATTATGGCCCCGCTGATTCACTTCCCCAGGGGCTGTCAACAGCTAAAACTCCCCTGCTGTGAGCTGTTTTGTTTGACACTCACTGTTTTTCAAGTCACAGAACAGTGTTGATATTGGACTTGATAGACTTTCACCTCTGTGTTGATCATGGAATTTTATATGATGCCCAAGAGGGCTTGCTCTCATTTATATCAAATACCCACCAGTTAGTGCCTGAGTAACAAAACCTCCAAGATTGACGATGCCTTGAACAAACACAGGAATGTGTGTCATTCTGTGTACAAAGCTCCTCAAATGCAATGCACCTTCACACACACACACACACACACACACACACACACACACACACACACACACGTCCTGTCCTATTATACAGACTCTCCTCTACAACCTGGCTGGATGAGCTCAGCTCTGCAGGTCCTTACCATGGCTGCATTGCAGAAGCAACTTTCGTGTCTTCACTTGCAATATGCATTTTCATGGTTACTTCCAATTCCATTTTGCTGCTGTTGTCATGACCTCTTCTTTTAAAATCATTTATAAAAGGGTGTTGACTATAGTGAAAGAATAGAGAAATATCACATGAGGTTTAAGATCTATTAGGATCATAGTGTTTACAAGCCTGAACTTACGGCCAAATGCCTCCTAGCAGATCTACTGATTTGGCTTAAAACCAAATTTCTCGTTTTATTTCCTGCTTCTACTATCTACCAGCAAGTGATCTTGGACCAGCTTCCCTGTGCCTCAATTTCCCCACCTGTAAGTTGGCAAAATAGTATCTACTTCCCTGAGTTGATCTGAGGAACAAATGCATCAGACAAGTAAACTGCTTCAAACAGTGTAGAATGTGGCCAGTGGTGAATAAATGTTAGCTGTCACCTATTATTGTTGATGCATAGTGTGATTTTTTTCCATAATCCCTGAGGCATAATAAATCTCCCTTTGAGATTTTCTAGAAAAACCTGATGGGAGAAATTATCCAAAGAAAATCCTGCCAAATATCAGAATTTTTCTAAGACCCAATCAAAATTGTTCTGATATAAAGCTCATTACCTTAGGCTTTCTCAAAAGTTTCATCAATAAGGCACAAAAAGCAATTGTCTCTCAGCCCATGGATCCCTCGGTGCTATGTCCTCTCCCTCCCCACAAATCTAGCCCCGCATGGTCAGTGCTGCTCTTGACTTCTTGGTGAGTTCAGTGTCCCTGAGACCTTATTTCTTATTTATCTGCTTTAGGAATCGTGAATGTAGGTTCAAGCATAAAACGAAAATAACAGTAATTGCCTGGTTAAGTTTGACTAGATTTCCAAGCAGCCCTGATGCTTCAATCAATCAATCGTTAATCCATCTTTCAGTACTCCTGGTATTTTTATAGAAAAATATATTTTATACATATTTTTTCCAAGGTGATAACTGTAATGCTTAAAGAACAGATAATGCTTAAATAGTACAGATCCAGCAGACTGGCCTCCCACTAGGGTTTTGTGCCCCCGTCCCCTCAGCATGCCATTTCACCTCCCAGGTGTGGCTTCTTATCTGGAAGGTAAAGACGAAGCCAGGGGCCTAGCATCTAGCAGGCCTCGCAACCACACTTACCTTCGGATAATACACAACAGTGGCATTTCAGCTTGGTTGTTGGAGTTACTTGAGATATACTTGATTTTAGTTTTCAGCACAAGACACTCCTGGAAAATCTAAAGGGGCAAAAAATGATTTTTTAATAGAAGTTTGTTTCAAGTGTCTCTGGAAACTTAAAGACAATTGACTAGGAGCTTGTGGAACCTTCATTCTCTCTACAAAGAGCCACTCTCACGGACATGCCTGTAGGCAGTACATGTTCATGGGCCACGAGCCACCTCTTAGTGGACAGACGAGTTAACACGAGGAAGACGATGTTCGTGCATAAAGGCAACCCATTCTTGTTTGTTGACAGAGAAAGGGTCTTCAAGGCTCGTATTTATGAAAGCGGGTTGACACCCCTTTTTGAGAAACGTGGGTACAGCTGGAGTATGGACTGTTGCTTGGTGCAAAAAGCACGAATTTCAAGACCTCTAGAATCCAGATTGCAATCTTGTTGCTCTTTCTCTTCACCATGACTCTTGATTAAACAATTTGCCGCCACAATTCACTGTGCTTTCTTTAAAAAAGCAGTGATTATGGTGGTAAGAAACAAGAGTGAAGTTCTCATCTATGCAAAATGCCTAATAGAAAGAGCAGCAGTGGAGGAGGCCAAGGAGGGGAAGACACTTAGGAGCAAAGTGCTCCCCTAAGAACATTTCCATGTGCTTCTCAGCAGAGAGCCCAGTATTTATGTTTTTAAATAGACGTATCTTTCTGCTGCCTTTCGATCCATCATGCTCCTTTTTAGATCATTTGAAAGGATGAGCAGAGGGAAAATGAAATTCACCTGCCATCACCACCAACCCATGCTCCAGTTAATATATAAATATTTCCCCCTGCCTTTCCCCTCTGCCCCCACCACCCAATCTGTATCAAAGTTGAGAATGTGCTCTTAATACTTGTGGTAGTTGACCTGTAATCAGCTTCCCAGATACCTCTTCAGTAAAGGGTCTGTTACCCCAACTGCTAGAATGCTGTCAACAGAAGGCCTTCTGCTCTCAGTCCTGTCAGGAATTGTCACAGCTGCAGAGAGCGGAAACCTCAAGGCCACTCCCTGGGCTGCCCACTTCAGTGACTCATGGGGGGAACAGGATCAGTAAAAGCTGGCTTCTGGTCCGCATCACACGTCAACTTCTCCCTTTCATTGGTGATGATCCCAAATACACTTTTAGTTTAATTGAAAAATAATTGGCATTTAGCAGTGTGCAAGTTTAAGGCACAATACATGTTTGTGGCTATTATACACTGCAGTATTACCACCATGGCGTTAACTCACATGTGCTTTACATCTACTCTTAGCAATGTTCTAGCATGTCAGACTGTAGTGTTAACTACAATCACAACACTGTACGTAAGAACCCCAGAACTTTGTTATCTTCTAATTGCAGTCTGTGCCCTTTGAGCAGTATCACCCCAAGTGATTCTATTTATAAGCGTTCATGACTAAATAATGTTCTGCTATAGATAGAGTACAAATTCTTTACCCAGTTATCTGTTGATTACTTTAATTGTTTCTATTTTGTAGCTATTGTGAATAACACTGATTTAAAAAAAAAATGGGAGTATGGATATCTTTTCAATTTTCTGTTTACATTTCCTTAGGATATATACCCAGAAGTAGAATTGTTGAATCATACAACTTAAAAATTCCAAAGACTCAAGCAAAAAACTGTTGGAACTAATCAATGAATTCAATAAGGTTGCAGGATATAGAACCAACATGCCTTTCTGTATACTAGCAATGAAATATCTAAACAAGAAATAAAGGAAACAATTCCATTCATAATAGCAGCAAAAACAAAATACTTAGGAATATATTTAACCAAAGAAGTGAAAGATCTATACACTGAAAACTATAAGACTGTTGAAAAAATTTGAAGACACAATGAAATTATATCCTTTGTTTGTGGAATAGAAGAATATTGTGAAAATGTCCGTCTTACCCAAAGTCATCCATATTTTCAATGTTAAAAATATGGATATAGAACCAATGTTTAATCCCTGTTAAAATCCCAACAGTACTTTCACTGAAATAGAAAAATACTATCCTAAAAATTGTATATGGAACTGCCAAAAAAACCTCAGAAATAGCCAAGCAATCCTGAGAAAGAAGAACGAGGCTGAAATAGCTCACTTCCTAATTTCAAACTCTCCAAAAAAGCTTTTGTAATTAAAACAGTATGGTACTGGCATAAAACCATCTGCTCTGTAATGAATACCCTACACATACACAACTCCATCTCATATTTTGCTTTCCATAGAGCCCAATCTGTGACATTTAGCTAGACCTGACAAAATTCTATTACTTAACACTTTATGTGGGATACTAAACAAAATAATGTTATAACCCAGTTTGGCTAGCTGCTAAGTGTTTTTGAATTAAACCAAATTCCAGTTACACTTTTGGCAGTGGTTTGCCTAATTGTTCTTTCAGTGCACTCTCTAAGGCCCACCGCAATTTCTGGTGAATGGCACTTGGGGCTGGTAGATTATTAAACAAAGACTTTGATTAATCAGTGTCACCCCCTTCTGATTGCAGTTTGTCAAACTTTGTGGGTATAATATGTGACTAGTTTGAGAAATTACTTGATTAACTTGAGATACATGAAAAATATTCTTCTCCTGAATTTGTCAATGACTTGAACTTCTCCATCACTAAATAAGTTTTGTGTCTACAAGGTGAATGTTAGAGTTTACAGTGACTACCCAGCACAGAAAAAAGAATGGAATTTTTTTTTTTAGCATCTCCTTCCTTAATTCCCAAGTGTGACCATTAAGGGAAGTTAATCTGATCACATTGCAAATAAAAACATGGTGACTTCTGGTTTGTGAACCTGCTGGGGAAAAAAAAAACCAACAAAAAACAGAAGACTCTGGGGCTTTAGATGAAATCACATTCTCCTTACCATGTGTTTGATGCCACAGTCATAAGGATGATAGAAAAACTCATAGTAAAGACCCGGCATCAGGTAGGTTACAGGACAATTATCTCCTAAAAACGCTTCTTCGGGGTTCATATACACATTGTTGAATATTGTGGGTTTAATCTTGGCAAAGAACCACCATTCGGTGCAGTACACTTGTATGGCTAGGAATTAGAAGAGAGAAGCATAGGTTAGTTTTGTGATGACACAAGGCAGCTCAGATAATTTTTACACAACCAGCTAATATGGAGGACAAGATCTTCCCTCTATGAAAACAAGCGCAAACAAGTCTGCAAAAGATAATCTCCAGATCCTGCTCTGTTTTCTGAAAACACCTAGACAGATAGAGCCTCTTTCATGAACCCATAAATGAAAATCAACAGGACGAGCTTATGAGCCAACTCCCCAGTCTTTCTTTGTAAAGCTGCATCAGAGAACATCTTTGTAGGGCAGCATTTATGCTAAACTCAGGGCACGTTCCATCTCCCTTATTCCCGGGAAGCTCTTCTAAGCCAGCCCTTCCTTGACTCTGTGACTCGAGCTTCATAATATATAAAAGGAGGCACTGAGGGCCGTTGTAGCAATAAACACTTGCCCAGAAAACTAAAACCTGCAACCAGGCTTTTACAGAAATTGTCTATAGTGCTTTCTCCTTCCCCTTCCAACATGACATTGTGGGTGGTAATTCTTTTCCTTATCTGATAAAGGCAACAACTTTCTGATAGAGTCTTTTAGCTGGGCTACCCATGAAAATAGAACTAAAATAACCTAGAAATCATGTGGTTGGGTAGAACACAAGTGAAAAAGGAGTCAAGATGACTTTCTGATCATCATTAAAGATAAACCTTCTCAACTGCCCTCAGGATGCTGGAAGGAGCGGAGGCTTCAGAGGACCCTGAAAACTCACCAGTCAAATGGAAACTATGTCAACCTGATATCTTTTCACAGGTGAGGATCTATATATTGCACATAAACATATGAAAAGATGTTAAACATCATAAGCCATCATGGAAATGCAAAATCACACTTCAATTGTGAAAAAGACTATAAATGCCACACCGTGTGAGGGGACCCAGCAAGAGGGAGTGGGTGGTCAGCTTGTACTCCGGGCAACCTCATGAGTCACCTTAGGTTTGCAAAAACACTCATGCACAAATGCTACTACAGTGGCCAGCTGGGCCGGCTCCACCCACGTGTCAGTGAGAGAACAGAAACAGTGCAGAGGAAGGCATTCCATCAAATATCCTCTCATTGCTAAAATAAACCAAATTACACATCCTTGTGTTCAACCTACTTCAAGGAGCTGAGCCCCAAGAACCTGCCGTGGTCTGAAAGGGGTCAGAAGAGAGGGGCTGGGAAGAGACTCTCTCAAGTTGGAGCACATGCTCAGTCTCAGTACTAGGATCCCAGAGGAGAAATAGGACAAGCATCCAAGGATCGCAGAGAAACCCCCAGTGCCTGCAGCCTCAGTTCTTTCTAGAATCCAACCTGACCAAAACCTCGAGTAATGCAAACGCCACATTGCAGCAGCGTTCTCTGGCCTTTAAATCACTCCTGGTGCCAAGTCCAATTTATACCTGACAGGTCCCCAGTACAAGTCCATAGCATCGAAAAAAGGAGAAAGAGCTTCTTGAACCCTACGGAAGTCTCCATCGGTTCAGAGTAGACGCCAGATCCCACTCGGGAACAGGAAGTTGGGCGGAGAGGCGGCCCCTATGCTAAAATAGCTGAAGCCACACTCAGCTGTGAGGAATTTACTACCTACAGCATCCACGCCACAGGCTATTGGTTCATTGTCTAAAAATTAATGGTTTTTAATCAAATATCAAAGAAGAGAGCAAAGGTAAAACCTATGTACTCTAAGTGTCCCCATTAAACTGAATTTTTTTTAAAGATTTATTTATACATACAAGAACTGGTGTGCAAACCAGAAGTGGGGGTGAGAGAATTCACCAGAGAGAGAGGGGAGCAGAACAGGAGGATCACCTGAAAAACACTGCTGAGGGGAGCAGTGGGCAAGTCAGCATGCTGCGCTATGTGGGTCATCTCCCTGGCCAGAGGGGATCGAACTCATGGAGCAGTAACTGGCGGTAGCTTGATAGGGCTGTCTTTAGCCCCTGCACCACCAGGGAGGCCCCACAACGAATTTTTTGAGTCTAGGAAAGTGCCCCTGAAGCTCACACACAAATCGAAGTGATAACCATTTAGGTACAGGAGACGGGTCTTTTGGGTACAATTCAGAAATAAGTAGGAAGCTCTTCTACTTGACTTGCTTTATAACCATCAAATCTGGAGTTATTTTTTATGCACGAAGTTTGGTTTTATTAAAATTTCCTGTTACCCTGCAGTAACCGTCCCCATGTCAGAGCACACTAAAAGCAAAAAAATAAAACAAAAACTGCACGAGAGTGTCCTGGGCACTGAGGAGGCCAAGCCCAGAGAACTGGAGCATTACAAGGCTGATTTTACCTGCTTTCACCTTATTCTACCTGCCAACCTCTGCTCCGTGGCTCTCCAGCTCAACAAGCATCAGAATCACCTGCAGGGCTGTTTGAAGCTCAGCACACTTTACTAACTCAGTAAAACTGGGGTAGGACTCAGGATTTGCAATGCTAACAAGTTGATGGGTGTAGCTGATGCTAATTGTCTAGGGCCAACACTTTGAGAATCACAGCTCTGCAGAGCACCTCCGGCTCAATCCATGCCTATTAATAGGGCTGTGCAAACCTTGAGGCGCCTGCACACTACCTGGGGGCCTGGTTACAAGGAGGACTTTGATTCTGAAGGTCTGGGGTGGGTACCGAAAGTCTTAACAAGCATTTCTAACAAGCTCTCAATGGTTACCAATTACCAACAATGCCGATCTGTAAATAAATTTTAGCAAGGTCTGAAAATACTTAAGGTGGCATTCAGCTTCCTTTCCTGAAAAGAGAAGATGCAACTGAAAATGAGATATTCAAAATCTCACTAAGAAACTTGAATGAATAATTTGGCTCTGAGGCTTTTTTTCTCTAGATCACCAGTTACTAGAGTTCAGTGGTTTTAACAGAACATGGGGAGTAGAAGCTTACGGAAACTAGAAATGAAGAGACGGGGCATTGAACTACCCTTGGCATCACGCAGATGGCCTCGCTCACATTTAGCTGACCTCACCTGGCCACAGCTTTTTTCCCTGTGATGAGAACTTTCAAGATCAATTCTCTTAGCAACTTTCAAAGATGGGATGCAGAATGGTTAGTTAAAGTCACTCAACCATGCGGCATATCCTCAGAACTTATATTATAGCTGGGAGTTTTTGTTTTTGGAAACCTTCCACCATCTAAACCTCTTCAAAATAACTTTTTTAGGGGCCTCCCCAGTGGCGCAGTGGTTGAGTACTGGGTTGCAAAGCTGCCCACAGCCTCCACAGAGCTGGCTCAATCCCCGGCCGCCCGCTGCTCCCCCCAGCAGTGTACCTCGGTCCCTCTGCCTGCTCTGCTCCCCGCTCTGGCTCTGGTGAATTCTCTCACCCTCCTGTGCTTCTGATGGTACCCAGTGCTTGTATAAATAATAAATAAATAAATCTTTTTAAAAAATAACTTTTTTTAATATAATAGAAAAGTAGAATCAACTCAGCAATTCATCATTCAACGTGAGTTAATTTCTGTATACCTGTACAATGCACTGCTATTCAGCAGTTAAAATAGATCTATGAACACAGTACATATGTCATCCATACGACAATACATTGATATTGTGTATGTGTATGTGCATAGACCAAAAAAGGACCTTGAAACTACCCTTAAGGACTAGATCCTGTGTAAGATGCTCCCTGCCCCCTTCCCAAAAAAGAGTCCATGTTCTTCTGTTACCCAGTCCATTCCATTTGGCTCTTCCCAGTCAGGACAGAGACCCAAGTGGATCACCTACTATGTGCTGGCCCTGATGAGGCTGCAGCGGTCAACAAATCTCTACCTTGGTCGATGCTGCCATCTAGTGGCAGACTGAGATATTACACTACACGCCGCCCCAGGTTTTGCTATGTCAGCATTTAGGGCAATTAATTGAGCCAGGACAAAAACAATGCTGTGGAGAAGCTCGTTATTTTGGGTAGGGGGCTCCATGCAAGCATTCTGGGGAGGTGACATAAACCAGGGCAGGGACGATGAGAGTCGTCGAGGCAAATGTCCACTCAAAGAGAATTCGGGAAGCAAGGAAAATCTTGGCTGTTTTGAGGAACAGAAAGATAGTCTGTGTCCCACAAAGGCCATCAACTTCCCCAGGGCCGATATAATGTGGCCCACAGAGGAAAGAACCAAAGTTGAGGTCCCTGGTTCTATACCTGCTTTGCTTATCAAGTGACAGGATTCCAAAAATGCCAGCTGGCTTGTGCAGTCCAGCAAGAGACAGTAAGGGTCTGACTATAATGCTAGGAATCAAGAGGAGGAGGCAGGTCCTGAGTGCAGAAAAGTCTAAAATAGAAACAAGTGTGGATTCATGGTTTTCTTTTTTCATTCCTGCTTCTTTAACTCTTTCTCCTTTTTTTGCACTCCACAAATACAAAGGCCTGTGGGCCAGAACCCTACACTTGAGGATGAAATTAGTCAGTTGGGCTACTAAAAAAATAATAATAATCATAAAGATTAGATCTGCGTATCCCTTTATTTTCAGAACAGACTGGAAAATTAAGAATTTCAAGGCTCTTATATAAATCATAACAATGATTATTCATCCCGAGAGAGAGACCTCTGGCGTCTCTCTTTTAGCAGTCACGTTCCTCAAAGCATCCACTTTACCCGGGAACCTGGTATCAGCTTTTTGGTTCCACTAATATCTCAGTCTGCAACTAGATGGCAGCATCGACCAAGGTAGAGATTTGTTGACCGCTGCAGCCTCATCACTGCCGGCACATAGTAGGTGATCCACTCGGATCTCTGTTCTGACTGGGAAGAGCCAAGTGGAGTTTTGGGCATAGCAAGTCCTTCAAGTGGTCATGATACGTGTAAAAAATTAAAAATCACTATGTGGCTATGTGGGCCTTGATTGGATGTTGGAAAAAAATCCATGCTACACATGGATCAAATGAAGGGCTTTTCTTAGTGAAGTTCTGAATATTTAAAATACGTATTAAGATGTTCAAGGGACAAATAAAGGAATTCCAGTTTAGTACTAAGCATTTCCAACATGGCATTAGCTAAGAATTAACCTCTGACAGGTTGCCTAGTGGCAAAATTGCGAGCAGGTGAAACCAATTGTCCCAACTGTTCTCGGAGTTTTGCTCTGGAGAGTTACAAAGAAAATGTAATGATTCTGGAAGCTGCTTACTCCAGGCCTCTTATGCCAGCTAGAAAGCTGACTGTTCAGAAAGAGAAGCGTTAAAGGCAAACACCCGCAAGCTCCTGTGCTGCTTCCAAGCCAGGAGCTGTGAAGTGGAGCCTCGCCAAGTGCTTCAGCCCCAGAAATTCAATGAGCATGTTCTTATAAGTGATGGATTCACAAGTATGTCTCGAGACCCAGGGAAGGCGGTTTCCCTGGATACACTCATGCGATGCATTTCCCTTTTCTCACCCAAGCCATCTTTAGTACCTGCAATAACAAGCTGCTAGCTTCTAATAGATAGTAATAATAATAAGCTGCTCTGCTTCTAATGAGTCAAGCAAGACCCTCCCCAAGTTCCTGAAGTGATGGGTTATCCTGGTCACCTGACAGGCTTCAGTTATAACATGAAGGGGTTGGTCCTCACACAACTTCCTGCCCCCAGGATGGATGTTGCCCTGAGCTCTGGCCAGATGAAGGCTCGTCTGGCCTTCGGAGGACTGTTCCTCCTCTCTTCTCTGGTCTGGACTTGCTCTGGAGAACAGCCAGGTATTCGCTAAGGGACAGGTGGGGGCCGCTGAGGATCAGCGATGAGGCTAATTCTGACTTTCCAATCTAAATGCTTTAATCTGCTTCTACACCACTGCCAGCTAAGGGTCTGTGCCAAAGAATCTGCTTTGGACATGTGAGGGTGGACTGTCCCCCAACCTGGTCCCCCCCACCTGGTTTCACCCCTGGTATCTTCTTTTGTCCCACAGAATCTCTTCCCCCTTCAAGATTACCTTGTTATAATGTAAGCAAAGTGGGGTTGGTTGATGGGGTAGAAGAGGTTCCCATACACCTGAGCGGGAAGGGTTATCTAGCAGAATGATTATCTTGAAGGGTTACCTCAAACATGAACCTTAAAGGGAGAAGGTCAACTATACGACATGTACATGTATCAAGTGCTTGACTCTCTAGTCTCAGCTGTTTCAGAGGGGGTCTTTATTTTTCATCTTGGTAAAGCAAGATGCCAAGTCATTTGAATTATTTGTAATAGAAATTCTGACAATGAAGCCAAGAGAGGTATGGCCCCAAAACATCTCCAAGATAGAGTCTGGTTCACCTCTAGAATCCTTATTTGAAATACACAATAAGGACGGCTGGGAGACGGTTTATCGTGCTATTTCTAGAGAGAAAACAAATGTCATCTCACAACTGGAGAGAGAACCAGAACTCTAATAACAAACTCAAGTCCCAAATCCTTCAGTGGTTTGAAAACTTCTTGTATAGAGAAAACGGGGGGGTACACCATCTCTCGAGGCAGGATTGTGAGAATTGGGCCAAGCAACTTGTACATTTAACAAGCACTAAAGGTGCCACCTTCTTTAGTAAAAAGCCAGAGAGTTTATTACTTCTTGCTTCTAACCAGAATTGAGATTTGATGTGAAGTCACCTAGAGTGGACAAAATTGGAACTCAAAAGATTTGGCTAGATCCTTCAATTCCACATATGTATCCACTTTATGCTAAATTACCTGAGGTCACCCTCCCATCCCCCATCTGATAAGTCTCAGGAATCTCATCAGTTCTCTCTCAGCTGGTCCTGGTCTCTCTGCATTTCCTCATAGCTGCTGTGTCGGATTCCAAAACCCACTCTCCCCAAGCCACCAGAGCGAGCTTTCTAAGTCATAAGTCAGATACTATCAACCCCTGTTCTGGAAGGTGCCCATCAGAGTCTTTGCACTTTTTTTTTTAAAGATTTATTTATGCATACAAGAGTTGGGGTACAGGCCAGAGATTGGGGGGGGCGAAGATTCACCAGAGACAGAGTGGGGAACAGAACAGGCAGATTGACTGAAATACACTGCTGAGGGGAGCAGCAGGCGAGACAGGAGAGGTCTGCTGCGCCATGTGGGTCACCTCTCTTGCCAGGGATCGAACTTGTGCTGCAGTGGCTATGGGTAGCTTCACAGGGCTGTGTCTTAACCCCTTGAGCCACCAGGGAGGCCCCCAGAATCTTTGCACTTCTTAACCCCACAACCTGGAGCAAGCCACGTGATGGGGGCACAGCTTGCCTGCCATCCCCCTCCACGACAAGCACGGTCAAGCCCATGGGTTGATGGGAACGTGCTCATCTTGATGGGGTGCTGAGATCCTCCAGTGGTTAGAAACTGCCAGCAGCTACTGAGGGCTTTAAGGCTGTGAAGAGTTTGCCCCTGAAATCTAATAACTCCCACCACGAGTTACCTTTTAGGGGTGCTTTGCCTGCTTCCTTAAAAGAGCAAAAATTCCTTCTCAGATTTTCCAGTTTTCCCTCTAACTTACCAGCAGCCCCAAAGTACTCTGGGATTTAACTTCCAGGGTTCATGGCCCTGCTTGACCTCTGGCAAACTTTAGTACTTCAGTCAAAACTATCAGGGATTTAGTTGTCTTTTGACTGACCAGGTAGCTCTTGCAGCCACTAGCTCTTTGCAATCCTTTACCAGCAACACGTGAGAGGCTTGTCTTCATTGCAAGTCCAAGTTTAACTTCTATTTTAGTTCTCCTGAAATAGCCCATAGCAATCAGGGGGGGACTGTCAATGGGTCCCTCTTTCTGGGGAGGCGGGGGATGCTTTATATATTCAATCCCCAAATAGCTATTGACCATTTATTGTGGATTTGTTCTTGACACTAGTACAGCCACAAGCAAAACCACACCAAATCTCCATTCTCACCAAATCTCCGTTCGGGGAGCTTGCATTCTCATGCAAAGAGGACAAAGTTTCAAAGAACATCATCACTACCTCTCAATGAGAAGTCAGAGCAAACGAACATTTAAAAGCGCACTGGGTGAGGCTACAGTCTCTAGACTTCCACCTCACTTTGCTAGCTTTGATTGGTCAAGTTGAGTGTGTTGCTTCAGGAAAAAACACCCCCCATAAGCTGCCCACTGGACTGAGTCATCTAGGGGGAGGGGGGAGGCAGGCCAGGAGGGAGCCAAGGTGGGGGGCCTGGCTGTTCCGATGGTGAGTGCCCTCCAGTGTCCACACCCGAGGGGGAGAACCTGTCCTTCAACAACCATGTAAACCAATGGAATGACAATTTAAAAAAATGAGAAAAAGGAAAATACCAACATTAAACATAGATCCTGAGATGAAAACACAGGTTTTGCTTTCTGTGAGTTCTGACTGGCAGTAAAGGTGGGCGCTGCTGCTCATGATGACTGACACAAGGCCCACAGGGGAGATGACTGTCCACTTAGAACTGCTAAATGGATCATCTCGGCTCCTGCTTGGGCTAATCCTCGTGGATAGCATCGCCTGGCACCCTCGGGGTGGGGGGCACAGCGGGTGAGAGGAGGAGGTAAGATCAGGTGTTTCCGGCTACCAAGAGAGGGAGGGACTGTGATTAGCTGACTGAACCGCCCCGACCGCGACCACCGCTGTGTTCTCTGGCACTTTCTCCTCTCCCTCCAACAGTGTATGTGCGATGCAATCCCGACTTGCTCTTTGTCAGGGTTAAGCCAACTGCCTTTCACAACGATCTACCCGTGGCCCCCGATGAAGTGTTCCTGGGAGACTTATGTCCCGTGACCAGGGTGTACATAGGATTTTACGAGTTTCAGTATCACCCCACCGATTGTGACATCAGGATTGAGGTAATCGGTGTCTGCCACGCTGACGGCAGCACCTCAGTCTTTCAAGCATATGGTTTGGGTTTTGTTTTGTTTTCCTTCCTAATAGGCTAACCTGATTTTACCAGGGTCACAGCCAGGCCATAGGCCATGGTCAGTGAGGGAGGGGAAGGAAAATGAACAGTTTCTACTTGCCAGTTAGCTGTACCTCCAGCTCCCTCTAGGGAACGCAAAACTAAAGAAGACACAAAAGTTGTCCTAATTTCAGAGAAACTCTTCTTTTTCTCTGTAAAGCAGGCATGCTGCCCAGAGCCGGCCTATTTATTTTTGTGTGGCTCGTGAGTTAAGAATAGATTTTTATGTGCAGAATGATTTATAAAAATGAAATAATGCCAGTTTACGATAGGTAAAAAGTACATGACATTCACATTTCAATCTCCGTAAAGTCAGTGTTGCTGGCGCCTGGTGGAGCCCGTCACATACACAAAATTCGTAATTTCGTCAACTCGCATCTCCTCTTTGTCTCCTCAGGGTCTTCCGGGGCATCGTATGATTTTTCTAACTCAAATCGTCTTTATGTCAAAGTTATCAGATCTTGAAGCGTCTTTATCTGTCGCCTGCGAGGTCCCGTGGTGAGTCAACAGCCAAACTGGCTTCCTGTCTTCCCAGTGGCCTTTAGCTCGTCGGGGTGGGGAGGAGAGCCGGGGCAGCCTCAGGCGTCTCATCTCTACAGAGGAGCTCACAGTCCACTTCCCAGATGTGTGGTGTGGGCTAAACGACACAAAGCTGCCAAGAGGTCAGAACAGCGCTGGGCTGCCAAACCCGGGGCCCATCCCTCCTTACACCAGCTGGTTCTCTTCAACGCGGGATGGAGCTGGGAGAGCGCTCAGCCTAACTTCAGCTCTTAGACTGCGCAAGTCATCTGTTCTAGTTACTTTTCGTGTCCCTATTGCACGTTCTGTTTCTTGTCTCTTAGCCAAGACCAACCGGGAATATCAGATGTCCTGATTCAATCAATAGGAGGGACTGATGACAGAATTTATAGCTTAGGGAGAAAAGTTTACCAGGATTGATTTTAACTAGTTAAATATTAAATAGAGTAACTTTCTCCGTGGTCCATTGGACAGAACTCTCATTGTTTCATTTAGGATCCACACTTTCCAGATGGTCTTAGAGTCTCAAATTTTAAGTTAATGACTTTTGATCAAATCTGGTGGTATACTTGGGAGGGACTTATCTTACATAATGTTTACTAAGTTTAATTATTGAACTAATAACTCATTTTAACTCATTTTCTAAAATGAGGACAGGATGGCCTCTCTTTATAATGTTTCTCCCACTTGTGGGCACAGATACTGGTGCAGCAGCAGGAAAAGCAAGGAAGGACTTGCCTTCAGCTTCTGATGCTCAGGCACCAGGACTGGCATAGCGCTGAGTCCTGGGCCTCTCTCTAACTCCTGTTCCCTTCTGCAGCCAGCTACCTCCCGTAAGAGTCATCAAAGGAAATGATGGGAATAACCAAAGTGGACCCTCAAAAAGACCAAGACTAGCAAACCTATATATTGGGAATACAGCCAACTGGAGGGTTAAGGTAAGGAGCTTAAAGAACATGGATTAATGCTGGTCAAGGATATTTTCTACAACAGACAAGATTTTTATAAGGAAAATGGAGAAATGCCTGCCTCCAACTCAGGAACGGCTGGTTAGTGCATCCCTAGCTTACTAGAGGTGATCATTTTGGTAGTTCCTTGACTGTTGGACATTAATTGACCATTAACCAAGAGATTCAGATTGCTCCTCCAAATCCATGGAGGATAAGGCAATCAATGAGAATTTTTACAAGGATCAACATCAATAGAACACTAGAAAGATTTTTTTTTTTTTTAATACCAAGACCACAGAATATGGGCTTTGGGTATGATACTGTGATAGATAAGAAAAATATATATTCCATCATCCATCATATATTTGGTCTCTGCCCGCAGTTTGTTGCCCAAACTAAGTGTTGAGAGTGATAAAGGCATCTTCTGTTGTGTGAATGAGGTGACTTTTGGAAGCACCACGAGTGGGGCTGGCTTCCTGGAGAACCATCCATGGATCTAGAGGGCTGCAGCTCTCAGTGCCACCCTCAGACTCTAAGGAGGCAAAAGGGTAGAGTATTGAGCTCAACTGCCAATGATTTAATCAATTGTGCCTTTGTCACGAAACCTCTGTAAAAACCATGGGACAGGCTTTGGAGAGCTTCTGGGTTGGGGAGCAGATGGAAGTTTGGGGACAGTGGCGCCAGAGAGGACTTGGAAGCCCCAGCCCGTTCCCCACAGCGTGCCCTGTGCACCTCGTCCAGCTGGCTGACCCCGAGTGCCCCTCTTTCACAACAGATCAGTGACCTAGTGAATGAACAGGTTTCCTGAGTTAACTGAACCTGAGGAGGGGGTGTGGGACCCTCTGATTTATAGCCCCTTGCTCAGAAGCACAGCTAACAGCCTGGGCTTGTGACTAGGGCCTGGGCTTTGGAAGGCAATCTCGGGAGACTGAGCCCTTGACCTGCAGGATCTGCTACTACCCCCAGGTAGACAGGCCAGAATTGCGTTGAATTCTCAGACTGACTGACATCAAGGATTGCCTGCGGGCGCACGCTAGCCTCCCCACACACCCCTGCTGTGACTGGGTCCGGGGCCTTACACCCTGTCCTGAAAGATTAAGCCTTTCTGCCAAGGCGTGTATTTCATAAATCATGTGGAACGTTCCTTCCTAGGCAACCTGGAAGAAAAATTCTGAATATTCTGAATATGTTGCCAACTTTGGGTGTAGCTCTCCCTGAAGGGAAAGAGCTAGAGAGAACTTAAGCACGCTTTAAAATTTGGGAGTTAGCACCTATTTCTGCTTTCCTTCATAGTCAGAAGGAGCAAGTGTATTTATATGTCTAGACATATATGACTCCCAGATTCACGATGAGGGTCATGATGGTGAAGATTTCCTCTCACGCCCCGCCTCTCCACACCTCCCTCTCAGTAACAATACTCAGTCCTCTGAGGCAAAAAGTAAGTTACACCCCTGCGGTTTCTGTTCTTTTTCCCTGGGCAGACCACCATCTGAACGTGCAGTTTCACTCCACAAGGGATCACAGAGATCACCTTTTTCCACCTGAGAATCAGAAGCTCGTCTAATCCTCATCCTGCGACGTGCTGGGAGCCACATGCATTGAGGGTCCTGTCTCTTCTCTTGCCTTTTAAACATTTTAAATGTCTCGATTTTAAATGGAATGGCCCTTTCTAGTTTTATGATCCTCGATGAAGAAGGGTCCGCCTCTGTTTTTAACTTCATATGGAGTTATAATAAACTGTTTTGCTTTAATGGATTATCTATTATTTCTTAAGACCGTCCATAGAAAAGAACTTTAGTACCATTTGCGTGTAGTAGAAAGAAGGAAAGACAAGTTTCCAATTAAACTTTTCTAAATAAAAGTTACCTGTTCCCTCATGAGTAAATGCCCAGCCAAACGGGGTGGCCCAAAGCAGGGCTGCTGAGGTGCCACACGCCTCAGGCACCTTCTGGAGGGGACCCACAGGAAAGGGCAGAAGGGGTCAGGCAAGTCTGCAGAAAAGGAGCAAATTCGAAGTGGAAGATAAAGGGGGCTGCCGTCCGCCTCCCCGCGGGTCTCAGCATGTCTCTTCCAAGTGTCCGCTCCCATGTCCGCCAAGTCCCTGGTGCAAGTCCAAGGCTGAAAAACAAACACAGCTTCTTCACAGCTTCTCTCTGCTCCACATGCCTCCTCCAGGCCTTCTCCCTGTTATTTCTTAATACACTTTACCACGCTGCCCCATCATATGTAAAACTGCCGCACAGAGCTTTTGTTTTCATTCATGCTTTAGTGTCTGCAGGCCAAGGTTGCACCTAGTCACGCTGATGACAGCCTAGAGGTCCAGCTACTCCATCTGGGGCTCATGAGAATACCATACTGGGAAAGGGAAGAGTTGGCCACAAAAGGGGACATCTGGGTGTTCAGAGAGGAGACACTAAAGACATCACTACATTGTCAAGAAAGGAACAAATACTTTCTTGGTTAGTGAGCTGGCTCTTTGCAGTGAGGAACTCTGCAGGAAGACAACCTCTCAAAGCAGAACTTCAAGTTCAAGAGTCAGGGTTTTCCTTCACATTCTAGTTCATTCTTCCCACGGTGAGGACTAGCACCCTGTCCACCCCTTCCCAAAATGCACAAGCACTCACAGGCAGGAACATAGAATAAACACGAATATTAGCTTATCTGGGGACTTTACAACCAAACCAGGTGTCGTGAGCTGTCCTCCCTGCAAAAGGCGCTGCGTCTAAGTTTAGAAGGAGACAGGGGGCCTTCTGGAGAAGAGTCTGGCATGAACTTTCATTCACTCATTTAACCAATATTGGAGCATCTGCTCCACTCTTTCATCGACTAGAAAATAGCAAAATAATTTTTAAAATTATTTTCATTGAAGTAACATTGGTTTGCAACATACTATGATTTTTTTTTTAAAAGTTTACCCTTTCAGGGCCTCCCTGGTGGCGCAGCGGTTGAGCGCTGGGTTGCGAAACTGCCCGCAGCCTCTGCAGTGCTGGTTCGATCCCCGGCCACCGATCCCGGCCACCTGCGAGGGTCCCACATGACGCACAGACCTCTCCTGCCGCCCGCTGCTCCCCTCAGCAGTGTACTTCGGTCCTTCTGCCTGTTCTGCTCTCTACTCTGGCTCTGGTGAATTCTCTCACACTCCCGCACTTCTGACTGTACCCAGTGCTTGTATAAATTAAAAAAAAGAAAATAAATAAACCAAGCTTAAAAAAAAAAAAAAGTTTACCCTTTCAAACATTTCTTTTTTTTTTTTTTTTAAGCTTTATTTTTTATTTATTTATTTATACTACCACTGGGTACAGTCAGAAGCGCGGGAGGGCTAGAGAATTCACCAGAGCCAGAGCGGGGAGCAGAGCAGGCAGAGGGACCGAAGTACACTGCTGAGGGGAGCAGCGGGCGGCAGGAGAGGTCTGCGCGCCATGCGGGACCCTCCTCTGGTGGCCGGGGAGCAGCCGGGGATTGAACTGGCGCCGCGGAGGCTGCGGGCAGCTTCACAAACCAGCACTCAACCACTGCGCCACCGGGGAGGCCCCAACATACTATGATTTGACATCTATAAATACTACATTATGACACCCAACAAAAGCCTAGTCTCCACCCACCATAAGATAGTTGGTCCCCTTCCCCCTACGTGCCCGCCTCCCATGCCCCTCCCGCTCTGGTAACCACCATTCTATTGTCAGAGTCTTTTCTGTTTCGTCTTGCTTGTTCATTTCTTGTGTTTTATCTTCCACATATGGTCTATCAAAATAGGACAGAATAGATCTCACGTACCCATGTCTTCAGCTGGTTTATAACTTCTGTAAAGATTTACGGTCACTGTGCCTCCACTAGGACCCTGCTGAGTCCCCATTCTCAGTAGGAACAGAGTGGGGTCATCTGTGCTCAACGGGGAGCACCTGCCCTGGGCCATGTCTCCTGCTCTCCCTAGGAATCCTTAGGACCTTGTCCTTCTCTGCCCAGAAGCCTGAAAAATCTGGGTCCTACTAGCCATGTTGGTGCTTGGCTCACTCCCCAATGTTCACCTTCAGTAAGTCCAGCAAATGACTAGGGTTACACTAACTCTTACTTATCAGTCCAGAGAGAGGTAAACAAAAGGAGTATAAATTATGTCAAAGTGGATCTGCTTGATTTGATAATGAGTAGCTGAATAGGTGACTAAAACATGCTAATTACTGGGTGACCTTGACTCCAGGCCCCAGATGCTTTAATCCCGAATTCTCTCAGTCCTGATGGCCACCACTTCAATTGCTGCATTTTATTTTCTAGCTTTCTCCCATATAAACTTCTAATATTTATTCCAGTAAGATTATCTACCACTATGTGTTATTAATTTATCACTTGGCATAAGGATCTGAGGTGGCTTAGCAAATATTTGACGGCCTCTTATGTAATAGGTATTTGCATGTCCCAGTAGGAGACACAACACCGAACAGCTCTGAGGAACTCCATCTGGCACATTCAACGAACACACTTAAGAAATCTGCAAGTAACTAGCTGCAGGTCTCATAAATGCTACAGAGGAAAGTACAGCCAGGAGAGCAGATTGCAGGGGGGCATGTCCAGGTCTTGGGGTGCAGACAGGACGTCCCTAGCGGAGTGGTATTTAAGCTGAAGGCTGAGCGGGCTTTTTGAGGGGATAGGAAGCAGCAGCAGCTGAAAGGGATTCATGAGCGGAAAACCAAGCTTGCAAGTAAACCCTGAGGCAGGAAGGAAATTTGCACAGTGATTGAACTGAAAATGGTGAAGCTGGAGGGTAATGAACAAGAACAGGGAGATAACTCTGAGAAACAAGCAAGGATCAAAAGGTACCTGTTCATGGCCTTCATATTTAAAATATGGAGTTTTCTGCTATGGCGATGACCCCAGCAGCTCCTGGAGAAAGATCCCTGCTGTGGCTGACACCCCTGCACTCAGGTCTCCAGCACCCCTCACTGCTCTTGTTATATGCCAGTGGTTGGCACATTCACTGCCTTATTCATACTAGCATGTTAATGACTAAGATATGCATGTTGTAGAAGAAAATTGTGGTGCTCCTTAGTTAGGGAATGAAGGCTCCATCTGCAGCAGGAGACAAGTGCAGGGAGATAGGGAGGAGGGCCCCAGGGAGAGGAGATGGCAGCACCAACATCTAGAATGCAGCAATAGCTCAAGGCCAGTAAACAGCAGCTGCAAAAAAAAAAGAAAAATTGAACCGACTCCGCCTCACACACACACACACACACACACACACACACAAGAAAGAATAAAGATCAATACCAAAAAACCCCTGCAGATAAAGGCAGCCTCCTGAATTCCACTAATCTCAACTCATTTCCTTTCCAGTCCCCTCTTGGCAACTAGGCCTTTGCTTTGCCGCTTCTGCCTTGCTTTGCTCCAAATAAACTTTTTGCTGTGCACACTTCACTGTCTTTTCTCCTACTTTCTACACGGTCTCTGGCTCCCTGTCCTTTCTACGGTCTAGGGCACCCACGATGGACCACCTGTTCCACTCCTATCTGTTCTTCAATTAAAATCTTCCTCTTTGGGGCCTCCCCGGTGGCGTAGCAGGTTGAGCGCTGGGTTGCGAAGATGCCCGCAACCTCTGCAGTGCCGGTTCGATCCCTGGCTGCTCCCCAGCCACCGGAGGAGGGTCCCGCATGGTGCGCAGACCTCTCCTGCCGCCCGCTGCTCCCCTCAGCAGTGTACTTGGTCCTTCTGCCTGCTCTGCTCTCCCCTCTGGCTCTGGTGAATTCTCTCACCCTCCCGCGCTTCTGACTGTACCCTAGTGCTTGTATAAATAAATAAATAAATCTTTAAAAAAAAAAAGAAAATGTAGAATGTTTAAAAAAAAAAAATCTTCCTCTTTGACTGTTGTAGTACTGAAGATCCTTATATTACCAAGTCTAATGTCTAGGTCAGTTATATTATTCTTTGGAGATTAAACTGTTTTAGCCTTTAAAAAAATCATTTATATTAAATTGATAACCGTAATACCTTCACTAGAAACTTAGCCTTGAAATTGTGAACTCCTGGAAAGGGTGTTCATCAAGTTTGCTACTAAATTAAACCTGAACAATTATACTGGTAGTATTCAAAAGATGAATGAAAAATAAATATTTCCTTCCCCACCCCCAATGAAATAAAATATGAAGTGTTAAGGTACAATAGAAGCCATCAAGACTTCAACCAGAAAGCAAATAATCAGAGTTATAACGGGGTTGAAAGGCCACTGTAGGTATGAAACTGAATACTCAGAGCCCAGAGTCAAAGACTTGCTTTTTCTGGGTACATAACTGGGACCATGATCAGTGCGTCTGCCCTTCTGTATTCAACAGGGGAAATGCTAGGAAGGAAAATTAGGGTTGGCAGATTCTGTGCCTTAGCCTGTATGTCTACAGGGCTTCTTGATGTGCCTTCCTCAATAGGGCCCTTCTTGGTGGCTTCACTGGGGTTTTGAAACCTCCTCCGTGGATGGTTGCTAAATTATTGTTGCTGTGAGTAGGGGCGCAATATGAGTGGGGGCGGGGGCACCTTCCATTCTGCCATTTTGGTGACCCAGGAAAAAGAGTTTAAAGCCTAGTATTACTAGTACTATTACTAGTATTCTTTAATGTTCTTGGAAGACGTATGGCAGGTCTGAGAAATGACAGGTTAAAAAATCCACATTTGTTATATCTACCTGTGGTTTTCCTCCTAGAAAATCCTGTGTGAGCACAGGTCTTCCTACTGCAGTGTCAGTCCTTTCCCATGGGCTACTGAGCGCCAGAAGATGTAGTCACAGATGGTGCCGCATGGTCATCTTCAGGCTGGTTTCAAGTTCAGTTGCACACAGAAATCCTCGTGCATCTATCTTAGGGGGAAATTGTCAAAAACCACGGTGCCACAGGACGTCCTGTATCCCAGGTTTCTCAATCTTGTCTGCTCAGTTTCAGTCTTACAACTTCCACTTCCGATTTTATATGTTGAAAATCCTTGCTCCACTAAGTGCAATCTCTCGGGAGACATAACTAGAGCATAAACAAAGTACAATGGAAAGAATGAAACATTACTGAAAATAGTAATTCACCTTAATTTATTTTCATTAGGCTGACGGCAAGCATGCAATGCAAATTCTGAAGGTTTGGGATAGAACACAAAGGAAAATCATTTCCTCATTCTCCCTGACCGAACCTTTCAAGTCTTCTTCCTGGTTTATCACATTACTTGGACGGATGTACCTGACTACACCTCCTGACATTGCTCAATACTCATTTCGGGAAGGCAAACTAAGGAGAAGCTCTGCCCAGCACCCAATAAATAGCCAGCCAAACCCCGACCATGCCAACACACTTGGAGAGATGAGACAGTCACACCAGCTGCCCCTTGTGGGGCTCCTCATGTTTTTTCTTATTCCAAGTCAACTATGCGAGATCTGTGGTGAGTATGCTTTGAGTTAAAATTATTCATGTGCTTATCTCCTGAAGGCTACTGACAGGGGGCTTTGTGTAGAGTTAAGATCCTCCTCCAGTTCGACATGTGGTCAGATTCTCCGAGAAATGCAGAGGGTGACAGGAGATGGTGAGGAAAGTTCCACCATGTATGTTGTTCCAAGAGGTAGCACAGGCAGTGCTCTACTCTTCCTTTTCCCAGACCCTCTCTGCTACGGCATCCCTGCCAAGTGAATACTCCTGTTCATTTCAAAGACAGAAAATTGATGATCTCAGAAATTTTTCATTTCAAATGATTTTGATGATGAGATACAATCTACTTTTCTAAAGTTTAACCCATAGGTTTTGGTTTAATCCCTTGAAAATACTCAGGAAAAAAAACATTAATAATCCCTTTCAATGAAGATTGCTTTTTTATTAGAATTTACATGTTCCCCACAGGGCGCAGGTATAGGTGCCACCATCTCTCCTCCAGGTACTGTCTCCAGAGGTTGTGTGGTTTTATTTAAAAGGGCTAACATAGGGGAAAGAAAAACTGGCCTTAGATTTAGTCGGATCCATTAGAAGTTGGATGATCCAGTGTTTCGAATATTTTTTAGCTTCATCTATAAATGGAGGGTAACAATGGGAGGGACTGAAACAGGTGATTTCTTGAAGTCTGGCATAACCCTCAGGCACGTGAGCTTACTTTTGTAAGTCTTTATCCTGCAACTGAACTTGAAACCAGCCTGAAGATGACCATGCATCACCATCTGTGACTACATCTTCTGGTGCTCAGTAGCCCATGGGAAATGATACTGCAGTAGGAAGACCTGTGCTCACACAGCGAAAGCACAGACTCTTCCAAATCTTTTTTTTTTTTTTCCCCCTGTCCTGTCATTTCCTCTGTTGAATCCTGAGAATGGGGATGGGAGGTATTATGGAGGCTGTGAAGCTCAATTCATTGTCAAAAAATAATAATAATATTTAAGCTTGTCTTCACTAGGCAAGGAAGCTGATTGAGTTGTTGACCAGGAACTAAAAGGTCTATTTCATTGCCAAAAAAATCAACTGAATCAAATCCTTCCACAACATCTTAAATGGGTGACTCACAATTGCCCAACACTGCCTGTGACAAACCATGGCCTTCTACAATCATTTACTCTGAACTTCTTGACTTCTTATGTGGAAAAAGAAGGACAAGAGAAATCACATATCCAAAATTCACTTAAATATAGTGACAGAAATCCAATTGAGCTAGAAGTAATAATATATACAGTATTTTAAAGTTTATCAAGCTCTTTCTTGTCTAATATCTGTGAAGTAGATGCCAGTATTTGCAATTTTAGATTGAAGAAACTGAAGCCTAGGAAAGTTACATATTTAATCATGATACTAAATCAAGGAGTACAAAATCGAGCCTGGTCTACTCGAACCCAAGACTCAGGCCTCACTATTCCATTAGCTTACGAGACAATCTGGAGATGGGTAGTATTTGGGGGGGGTTGGGATTGTGGGCAAAGGATATTTAAAAATATGTTAAATGGTAACTAGTTCTCCTTATTCTTCTCCAGTTATGGGGGTGAGGGGACTATGGATTCTCTCTTTACTTCCACAGTATAATGTGACTTCCTCCCATCATTGCCCCTGGGACTTGGACACGTAGGTAAAAACTGGAAGGTTTTTCAAAGGGTGTGTCTGTAAAGTAATGGCAATCAAACAATGCAGCACTGAGATCAATCACTAACCAAACAGAACTTTTGCCTTCTTTCCCCTGGTATTAACCCAATTATGTTAGAAAAAGATGAAGAAAACTGAATCCAGGAAGTAGAAAGGGCAAAAGAGTGGGGATTAGCAAATGTGTCTTTAGTGGTCTCCATCACTGCAGTTTCTTTAAGGACACCCTCTCGAGGTCTCATATTCAAAATTAGGGAATGATAGTAGATCTCTTAGGCAGGACGGCACTCTGCCAGCACACAATGGCAAGCATGGACCACTTGTTAAATAGTAAAACACTTCCATGCTGGTTGGTAAAGGGGTAATACCTGGCATAGCAGGGACTCCAAGTCCACCTTTGTAATGTTTCGGCAACACAGCCAGTGACTATTGGCTGGGCCTACGCCCATCCCATATTTTAGTGTTAATTTAATTCCTAGCCTTAATGTTTCATAAGTGTATGTTTCTTATTTCCTCCCTCTCCTACCCCAGAGGTAAGCAAAGAAAACTACTTCCGTCTAAAACCTCTGATAAGCACAATGGTCAATTCCAAATATACCAGAGGAGTCCAAGCAGCTTATGTCCTGCTGTCACTCAGACTTGCCGGCATCCAGAACCAAAGCCTAGATCAAGAGCTGATCCAACAAGTCAAAGACAACGTGGACAGGAACAGTGAGTACCTGTCTTCTCTGGAAGATTTAGGGAAAGACTTGCCTATCTAGAAATATTGTCTCCGAGGGTCCTAAAAATTGGGTGTCCAAAGTATCCCTGCTACATCGTTCCTGGCTAGACAAAGTGTGCAGTGACAGCAAGGCACCTCAGACACCACTCTCGAGCCATTTATGCTAGAGCTAGAACTTACTTGTCTGCGTCCTGAAAACCATTTTCCTTCGAAAAGGAAAAGCAAAAGAAAGTGTCCACTTTTGTCCATTAATTCTGTTATATAAACCCGCTGAGTTCACAACCACACAGGGATAAGGACCACAAAACTAAGAAAGCTGATGACAGAGAGGCAGCCATAAAACGAAGAGATTCGAACTGGGTTTGAGTCCCAGTTGCACCTGAACCTTTCATGTCAGTGCTGAGCTTCATCTTTCTAACTAATATGGCGCGGGCGGGGGGGGGGAGGCAGATGAAACCACCCCTAAGTATCTCATGATATTATCGTAAGAACTGTTAGGTTAAAAATCTGACTCAAGGCAAAGTTACGACACAAGGCAAAGATTACAAGTCAATTATTACCATCCTGGCAAGCGTCAGCCACAAAGGGAAAGAAAACCCACAGACTTATTATTTATCTACTTTTCCTTCTTTTTCATTTTTCTGTAAGGATTGCATGATTCCAAAGCTATCTCATGATGTCATGGAAAAACCTAGGATCTCTCTTGCATTTATATAACACTGCTAGAAGAGCCACTGCTTTGGCGGTGAAGAAGGGAACAATAAAATATTAGTATAGCGTCAAAGAGAAGGAAGAAATGGCAGGCAATCTGAACCTCAAAGAAGAGGAGGAGCAGGCCTCCCCGGTGGCACAGCGGTTGAGCGCTGGGTTGCGAAGCTGCCCGCAGCCTCTGCTGTGCCGGTTCGACCCCCGGCTGCTCCCGGCCACCGGAGGAGGGTCCCGCATGGTGCACAGACCTCTCCTGCCGCCCGCTGCTCCCCTCAGCAGTGTACTTCGTCAGTCTGCCTGCTCTGCTCCCTGCTCTGGCTCTGGCTCTGGTGAATTCTCTCACCCTCCTGTGCATCTGGCTGTACCCAGTGCTTGTATAAATAAATTAATTTAAAAATATATATTTAAAAAAAAAAGAAGAGGAGAAGTTAAAAATATCACAAGCACATACCTTGCAAACCTTGAACACTTTTCTTTTCAGTCTCAACTTTAGCTTCGGGAGAGCTTGCCGTGATGATCCTGGCTTGGGGAGCATGTCGAAACCCCAATGACGCTTATCGATATGATCCTCAACTAGTTGAACAGCTGGAAAAGAAATTCCAAGCAGAAATCGAAAACATGGGTGAGAATCAAATGGTCAGAGACCTTGGACAACCGAGTACTCGCCTCCAATGATCCAGAGTTACATGAAACACCCCGCCCCACTTTCCTACTCTCCTTCATTCCACTCATCCCACTACATCCTTGCACAACATTTTTCCTCCTTCCCTCGTTCAGCCTTGGAATTTCTTTTCAGGCATCAACCCTGCATCAGGACCTGCTTTACAAATGATCACACATGCACACATACACACACGACACAACTCTCTTGTCCTCCGAGAGAGCTCAGTTTCTAGACAAAGAATTACAGCAGAAATAGCTGAACAATACAAGACACTGTGTCCCAAGTACCAAAGTAAGAGCTGAAGGTGTCCACATTTCTTTAGGTTTGCCATGGGGGTTGCCAGCGAGGCACATTGTTTTTTTCAATTCCCATTCCACATTTCTCCTGTGACTCATTAAGTGTCTCCATCCCACCTTCCTTCAGGATGGCCTCCTGTCCATGCTTCTAGTTTCAGCACATGGCTATTGAAAGGGCAAGGGACCTGGAGGTAGGACATCTCTGTGCTAGTCCTAGTTCTGTAACCACAGGAAACGTGGCTAGTATTCCAATCTCCTTAGTCCTGGGTGCGCTCCATTATGAAATGGATGGAGTTGAGTTGGGTGGCCTTTGAGTCTTTAAGTGTCTCAGATTTTCAGATTCTATGAATGAACTCATCTTTTGCTCACTTCTCCTTAAATGTAAAGAAATGGGAGTAAAATAAATAGGAATAGATTAAAATTGTATTACTCCATACCATTTCTATAAGAAAAGCATTTCTTTTCTCTTCGCAGAAGCACACGATGGCAACCCACTGACTAGCTACTATCAGCTGAGCCTGGATCTTTTGACCTTGTGTCTGTTCCACGGGAACTACTCAATCACCAAAGTTTCACAACTCTTTGCTCCTGACAATAAAAACTATTATTTTGGTGGTCAGTTTTCAGTAGGTGAGTCATTTACCCCAATTCCTTCGGGATGGAGGACACAGTCCCCAATAGCTCTGCTCTTTGAGTTTTCCTACCAGAAAGTATATAGACTTTTTTTTTCTATCCTCTTCACCCTTGCCTCCTCAGAAGAGAATTTTCTTTTCATGAAGAATGACTATTGGGTGACATTTAAACCTGATTCTAGTACAGTGGAAAGACCCGGTCCTGTGCCAGCTCTGCTCTGAGTTAGGTAACAGTGCATGTTAACTCTTGGCTTTCATTTTCCCATCTCTCAAATGAAGTTCAAGCATGAGAATCTTCATATAAGACATCTTAGGAAGTATAAGCATTAGAGAAACACAGTGCAGTCAAATTCATTTTTCTGAATGTTGCTGCTTTCTCTGATTTATGGGAATCATTTGGATGCATAGGTTTACTTAAACAACTCAACCTCTCCAGTGACATATTTTCATCAACACAGAGCATATTTACAAAGGAGAAGGACCAGAAATGTTCTGCTGGGTCAGCTTACATGTCCAAAAACAAGTCCCCTCTAGACAGCTAGTATTGCACTTAGCCCCTAAGGATCCAGAATCCAAATGCATAGCTTCACCTTTCTCCAAAAAGCTCCAGGCAAGTCACCATTGAGTGTCTCTGGGTAGTAAGGAGATTGTGTGAGATTTCTCGTACACTTATCACTATGAGAGAGGAAAGACACCCACGCGGGGGAACCAAATCCCTTCTTCCAGTCATTTTTGCCCTTCTGGAAAAGGAGGTTTATGGGAAAAGAATTCTGTATGAGCTATTTTCTAATCATTCTCATTGAACCCTCAGAAATTTACATGGACATTTTTTTACTGGTTTATCTCCTATTCTTTACCAATATGGCTGAAAGATGAGAGCAACTAAGATGTAAAAGCAGAAAAGTGCCCATGTGTATGCATCTGCAATCCATATGTTTCCATGAGCAAGACATGCGGTACTGAGTACAAGGTACACGGAAACTCAGCAAAGGGAAAGAATCTAGAAATATCTGAGTGGCTGGTATTGGAAATCTCTGGAAATACTTCTCTCCATTCATCAGCTAGCAGGACCAGCCATCCCAGTTTGCCTGCAAATGTACCTGCTTTAACATTGGTGGCCCCACAGGCCAGGAAGACCCTCCGTCACAGGTAAGCAGGAAGGGTAGGCCACCCTCTCACCGAGGTTTTGTTTCCTGACAGATACCGGGGCAGTGGCTGTCCTGGCTCTGACCTGTGTGAAGAGGAGTGTAATGAACGGGCAGAGAGAGACAGATAAAGAGTATCTAGACAGTATCAGCAACCATATAAAGTCACTGGTAGAAAAAATCCTGTCTGAGAAAAAGGAAAATGGTCTCATTGGAAACATCTTCAGCACAGGAGAAGCCATGCAGGTGAGTCAGAGGTGAACGGGATGGAAGAGGGTCACGGAAGAGAGCAGAACACCCCCCCTTTTGAGTTTCATTTTATTTCCTCCAAGTATGTTTATTGAGTAAAGCTGGTTTACACAACTGTATTTGTTTTAGGGGTTGCAGGTTCAAACCTTTTCAAATGTTCCCTTTCACACCTGCTCCTCCTCTACCCCCCACCATGTTCTGTTATTTCTTGACCCTTAATTGCTGGCCTCCAAGGTCTTCTTAGCCAGCCTGTTTCCTCCATGCACTCTGATTGTCCTCATAGGATTCCCCTCCCCTGGCTGAAATGTATCCTCCCCTTCAGACTGTACTTTCCGGATCCAAAGTTTCTATGAAGCTTCTCCTGATTATAACTTAAGAATTCAAGACGCTACTGCAACCTACCTTGCTCTACCACACGCGTTTTCACACCTTACCAGATTCCACTATTCTGTGCGGTCCTCTTACCTCCCAAATTAGATTACTGTTGGGAGCAATAAAGTGGCAAGTAACAGCCGTGAGTATTTAGCGATGTTAACGCACTAAGGCACGCAAACCCAGTGAAGAGAGAATGATCACTTCATTTCCCAGAGGAAGAGTGTGAGTCTCAGAGTGTCAGTAACTTTCCGGATGGGACAGTGCCGGGAAGTGGTGCTGATGGGGTGGAGGCCAGACAGTTGCCCTCACACCGGCCAGCACCGCACTGGCATGCAGTTGGTCCTTGAGGTTTGGGACACTATTCCTACATTTACCCTAGGAAATTTAACTTAATTCTAAGAAATAACTCTAGGAAATAGACACAAAAGAGTTGAAGGAAGCTTTACAGAAAAATCAAGTCTTCAGGACAAATAGGGGTTCGTCAGGTTTACTCAGAGTGAGGATCTAAGGGAAAGCACTCTGGATGCTTCAGGAAGATGGATGCATTCCGCAGGTCAGAATAGGGGCCTCGCGTCCTTGGGACAATTACAAGACGAAGCTGGGGATGAAAGCGGAGACTTGTAGGGTAAAGAAAATATCAGGCTTTTCTGCCCTTCCGCCATCAGGATAGATGATGGATCCTTGTCCTGAATGCATGCCTGATGGCGGGCACCTGGAGTAGGGTGTGGGCATAGGTAGATAGGATTCAGCTGAGCTAAGACTGTGCTTTTAAGGGCGGCGTCACGGGGGGGACGCCAACAGCCCCAGCAGCAGCAGCAGAACCTGAAGGAGAAGCTGAAGCAGAAGCAGAGAACGCCAGAGAGCCCAGATAGAGTAAAGACTTGCTGGGGGCTGGGAGGCCTGCCAGCCTCCCAGCCCCCCAGCCAGCACCCCTGCCTGCCATATGCCTGGTGAACCCCAATAAAAAACCTGCAAAACTACTGAGAACTCTGACTCCTCCTTTACCCGGTCTGCATGGGATCAGAAAACCTGCACTGTGCCCAGTTCTGCCCTTACAATTGGCGTAGTCGGCAGGATCCATGCAGACGGGTATTGGAGCCCTCCGAAGACCTGGAGGGACTAAAGAGAGCAGACTTTGCCTGTGACGACGCTGGAGGCACCATGGCGGTATAGAAGATGGATACATCCACGAGCTACAGGATGAGACCTGGCGTGAAGGAGACGCCCGAAAGGACCAGCCAACGACACCAGAAAGGACCAGCCAACGACACCGGAAAGGACCAGCCAACGACACCGGATAGGACCAGCCAACGACACCGGAAAGGACCAGCCAATGACCCCTGAGGCAGCAGGCCATTGCTGAAGCAGGGAGAGGCCAATGGACTGATAGACTGATGAACTGATGATTTTGGACTGACAATCCCGCCAGAAGGCGGAGGACCTTAGCAGGTTATGTTTATTTTTTGAGAATCTGGGGGTGGCCAGTGGGCCTAGATGGCCAAAAGCAGCCTGTGTATGCCCAGTGGCCAGGTGGAGGAGAAAAGCCAACTAAGGTGGCAAAAGCTGGTACTGATGCTAAGTTGAGAAGCCCTAAAGCGGCTGTTAAGCAGCCTGGGTATGCTGAAGCCCTGTGAGTCTCGTAAAATCACCTGTGGGTGATGCCCTGCTCATTCTTGAGTGAGGGTGAGGAGCTGAGGAGCCCGTCCTTGGGGGATGGGTGGGGAATGTGGCTTGGGGTGGAGCCCAAGCCAAATGCAAAGTTTGGATCCCCAACCCATGTGCTTGTGCAGTGGGTTGGCTTGAGAGCAGGGGTCTGTGAGTCGCATGGGTGGCCATGAAGGCCGAGTGTTGGAGCGACTGCAGACAGAAACCCTGAGGGTTGGCGATTACCCCCAACAGAATAAAATTGCCAATCCCAGAGCTAGTGCATCCTGGGGGTGGATGCTGTGTGTGCCTTGTAGCCGAGACTACAGCCAGAGAAGGCCAGGAAGCCTGACGGCTCCTGGTGTGTTATAGCAGATGCCGTGTGTGATTTCCCCTCCCTCGTATGAGCAGTGCCTTCGGCAGCAGATTTGGTGGCTCATCTGCTGGTACCAATAATTGTCTTTTGCACTTGGTTGGTGCCCTGCCTGGACTTATTTGTGTTCTGTTGTATTTTGTTATGTTGTATTTTGTTATTTGATGTATTTGCTTTTGTGGGCCATGGCTGCATTGTTTGTTTGCTTAGAAAATTGTATATGTATGTATAGACTGTGTGGCAGAAAACCCTGAGGGGGTGGACTGTAGGGTAAAGAAAATATCAGGCTTTTCTGCCCTTCCGCCATCAGGATAGATGATGGATCCTTGTCCTGAATGCATGCCTGATGGCGGGCACCTGGAGTAGGGTGTGGGCATAGGTAGATAGGATTCAGCTGAGCTAAGACTGTGCTTTTAAGGGCGGCGTCACGGGGGGGACGCCAACAGCCCCAGCAGCAGCAGCAGAACCTGAAGGAGAAGCTGAAGCAGAAGCAGAGAACGCCAGAGAGCCCAGATAGAGTAAAGACTTGCTGGGGGCTGGGAGGCCTGCCAGCCTCCCAGCCCCCCAGCCAGCACCCCTGCCTGCCATATGCCTGGTGAACCCCAATAAAAAACCTGCAAAACTACTGAGAACTCTGACTCCTCCTTTACCCGGTCTGCATGGGATCAGAAAACCTGCACTGTGCCCAGTTCTGCCCTTACAAGACTCCATTCCTGTTGCTATTCGTGTTGTCTGCCTTCCTGAGTGTGGACTTGGCAGACAACAACAGTTTCCTGATCTGGCCACACATTTGATCACCTAGAGAAGCTTTCTCAAAACACTAACATTTAGCCCCACACCAGCCAGTTAGTACAGAAATTTAGGGGAGGAGCCTGGCCTTGGCCTCGTGGAGAAGTCCTGGCGGTGCTGTGAATACACAGCAGGGTCCAGAGCGACTTGCACCCCTACCTCAGCGCCGTGGTTGCATGATCCCTGTCAGCACAGCGCCCCTCCTGCAGGACAGCCTAAGTGGACGCACACCAAGGTCATCTCCTACCACCTTCTTGAAGCTTCCTCAGCCTCACTCAGTGTGTACGAGGGCTTCCTCCCTGAAGGGTCATATCACCGGATGCCTCTCTTAGGACAGTCTTCTTAGAAGACTTTGTTAATATTTACTGAACGCCTCCTCTACCACTGCAGAGCGTTGTGTGGTGTCAGGGATACAAAAGTAAGCGCAGAGGAGGCCTGTTCCCTGGGAGCTAGTGCGGCTGGTGTTATTGAGCAAGGCCCCACCTCCCCACCCAGACTAGCCAATGCACTTCCTGAGGGCAGGCTGGGGAGCTTCCTTGTCTCTGACGCCTGTGCCCGAGTCAGTGTTCAATAAATACTTACTGAATTAATTAGATGTGGGCTTGGCCCTTATTTGAAGTCTCTCATTCATTCTCCCTCTCACTAGGCTCTCTTCGTCTCATCAAACTCTTACAAGAAAAGTAAATGGAAATGTCAGCCCACTCGGAACACGGTGCTCAAGGAAATTGATCAGGGAGCGTTCAGTATTCCGACTGCTGCCGCCCAGGTGCTGCCCGCCCTGGTGGGAAAGACCTACCTGGAGGTGAACGAAGACTCTCCCTGTGTCTACGGCTCAGGTACAGCACTGAAGGGCAAGCTATGTTGTCTCTCGGCACCACACCCGAAGCCTGTGAGCTTGTGTCCTAGAGGCCCAAAGGGACCAGATAAACCTCCACAGTCTAGGGCCTCTCCTGGTGGTGCAGCGGTTGAGCGCTGGGTTGCGAAGCTGCCCGCAGCCTCTGCAGCACCGGTTAGATCCCCGGCCGGCGGGGAGGGTCCCACATGGCGCGCAGACCTCTCCTGCCGCCTGCTGCTCCCCTCAGCAGTGTACTTCGTCCATCTGTCTGCTCTGCTCCCCGCTCTGACTCTGGTGAATTCTCTCACCTTCCCGCGCTTCTGACTGTACCCAGTGCTTGTATAAATAAATAAATATTAAAAAAAAAAAAGCCTCCACAGTCTAGCAGTTCCCAGACAGGATTCACTCCTCCCTCGGGAAGCAGCGATAATAATCGCCTAAAGATTTGATCTTTAGTTGGCTCAGTGAGGGCTGGCTGCAAGGGGGCACCTTCTGAACGCGGGTTAGGGGACATTGTGCTCATCCTTCCTGCTCTGGACACAACACAGCGCCTCTGGCTTTCCATTAAGCGCAATGTGTGATCTCTCAGGGAAACAGGACATCTGTGTGGGAGGAACACAGCCGTGTTATAAGAAGAATGGAAAGTCTTTCTTCAAACAATTGATTTTGCAATTAGGTTTAAAGAAGATTTTTTTTTCTATCTCATTCATTCCTGGTTCAATTATGAGTTTAGAGACCGTGGACCAAACGTTTCACCTCTAGACTTCAGGTTTTGAATGTAATTAAATTAGAGTGACAACTGTATCTAGCAGAGTTTTGTAAGGGCTGAGTAAGATGATCCATGTAAAATGATTAGGACAGTGATGGCACTTAACATGTTTTCAATCGGGTTAAAAGAGTTAGATAGGTCAGGTGAAGGACAAAACTGGGCCTGAAGTGGTTGGTTAATGTAGTACATGCACAATGATTTTTAATGATGCCCACCTGTAACTCCTGTACTGTTATAATGCAAAGTTACGTCAATTAAAAGAAAGAGAGATGGAGTAAGATAGGGGCTAAAAAGGACCCAGTTGATTTAGCAGTTATAAAGTCACTAATTGTACAAAAAAATGATTTTGTGCAAAAACAAAAAGGGGGGGGGCCTCCCCGGTGGCGCAGTGGTTGAGCGCTGGGTTGCAAAGCTGCCCGCAGCCTCTGCAGCGCTGGTTCAATCCCCGGCTGCTCCCCGGCCACCAGGCAAGGGTCCCACACGGCGCACAGACCTCCCCTGCCGCCCGCTGCTCCCCTCAGCAGTGTACTTCGGTCCTTCTGCCTGCTCTGCTCCCCGCTCTGGCTCTCGTGAATCCTCTCACCCTCCTGCGCTTCTGACTGTACCCAGTGCTTGTATAAATAAATAAATAAATATTTTAAATAAATAAATAAGGGGGTGGTAGAAAGAAGTACCGTGAACCAAAGCAAAATAAATAAATGAATCAGGCACCTCTGTGAGAGGAACAAGGAGTAAGTGAATTGTTTCAACAGCCGGAAATTGAATCAAACACAAGCAGTCAGCTGCCCCTAGTTTTCATTTCTGCTTTAGTCACAGGAAAGACCTGCCCCTGGGTTGGTGATACTTGTTCCTTGCAGTAAATTCTCTTCGCATAAAGGAAAACGGTCCTGGGATAAGTGTTAGATCAGTGTGCAGATTCTAAGGTCATGTGTATTGTTCGGAATATCATTTCTCTCTGCTTTTCCATCTTTGACAGGTAACTTCAACATCACACAGGGGCCCAAATCTGTGACACCTACTAATTCACCCTCAAGTATCTTAGTCCATTACTGTGTGAGAATCAATAAACCCTATTCCATTAATGTCACCGTGCCCGATGGTTCTGTCTTCCTAGATGTGATGGAGGCAGCTCAGAAGATAAACAAGACTGCATTTCGGTATGTCTGTCCATAAATAAGGTTAAGGTGCTTGATGTGCTTTTGAAAGACTTAGTAAGAACTCATCTGCTCCTGAAAACAAGGAAGTTTTAAAATATTTCTTAATCCATACCTTTGCTAGCCACCCGTCTATTACAGCAGGGGTTAAAAGAAGGAGGTGAGACCTTTCATCTTCTAGCACAAAGTAGGTATGAAATTAACATTCACTTAGTGGATAAATAAGTCCCTTTCATTAAATACTCCTTAAGTGGCTAGAACCTCTTACATCAGGTATTCTGGATCTACAGTAATGGCACTTGACTATTTTTGAATCACTGATCCCTTTGAGAATCAGATGAGGGTGATGGATGCTCATCTCAGAAAAATGAATATATACCCAAAGATTGTCATTCAAACCAGAGGCTTCACAAAACACGCCGGCGCTTCTCCATGCCCCCCTTTCAGGAGATTCATATACCCCTCGACTAAGGTTCCCTGACCTAGAGAGGTCAAGTATTAACATTGAAATTATTGGCTTTGCCCCTGAAGGGTATGGTTTATTTGAATCCTTTGGTCTAATTGACAATTATTTATTGTGTCTAATAACATGATGTTAGATGCCAAAGAGAAAATTATGTGTGTGGAATATATATATTTGGATACATAGATATATAACATACATCCATATATAGAGAATGTCCACATATATAGTCTATATGGAATCCATATATGTGGAATATATTTATATAATATATATTCCATTTAGTATGGGAGATATATATGGAATATATGTATCTTATATGTGATTATAATTATAAAGGTTGTTTTCGGGGACTTCCAGGAAGGTAGAGAAATATGAAACAAACATGAGCCATGTCCCTTTTTAATAAACAAACATGAGATGTGAAATTATTCTTTCCTGTTCCCCCTGGATCAGGGAAAACCCACTAACTTAGGGTACCCCGAAGACACCAGCATAACACTCCCGTCTCCACAGTCACTCCCTTGCAGACAGGAAGCTGCTGACTGCCAAGAATCTACGGCCAGAGGCGAGGGCAGAAACCAGGGTCATCTTTTCTGTAATTGAGCCTGGAAGGTGGGGTGGCTGCCTCAGAGCCCCCTGAAATATTTGTAATTCACTCATGCAGCTTCTGGGTCCCAGCCCAGATCTTCAGAATCAAAGTACTTGGGGGTAGGGCCAGGAAATTTGCATTTTTATGATCAAGATGGAGAAACGCCCATGGAGAGTTGCCTTTGCAAGCTCTAAGTTCTGTAACCCTTGCACTCCCCTCACAGTTTCACAACGGTGGAGACATCGTATGGCCCCTATATCAACTCTGTTCAGGGCATAAGTGCCAACACTAATGACAGAACCTACTGGAAACTTCTGAGTGACAATAAACCACTGGCCCAAGGTAAGGGGGGGTGCCCAGAGCATCAGGGGTGGGCTTTGGTGGGGGATGTGCCAAAGAGTTGGGAAATCGCTCTCCGTGATTTGGTTATTTGACCCAGTTCTCTGTCGTCTTCCTTTCCAGGAGCTGGCAGTTACGTTGTCCATGATGGGGAAAATCTGGAGGTTCGCTGGAGCATATATTAATAAATTCCAAGCTTCCCCTGGAGCATATATTAATAAATTCCAAGCTTCCCCAGAGAGATCTAACCTGCTTGCGATGGAATTTCCTGTGGAAGTTGGCTTCACACCTGCATTTTCATTAGTCTCCATCTCAACAGGAGAGTCGACACCCTCCCCTTCGCTCATTGACAGTTCAATAAAAGATCAACAACTATACACAACTAGCATGTTCTACTCAGTTCATTCCAAATGGGGATTATTGTTAGCGAGAAGGCTACCTCAGGAAGAAGCCAAATGGTAAGAGATGAAACCACATGTCTAATAAACTGAGTTCAAGTTTCCCCCACGAACTATCTGGTGACCTGGACAACAGAAGGGTGGAGATAAGGTTCTAGGGCTAATGCTGCAGCAGCAAAATAAGATCAAGCAGAAAGTTTGCAGGGCACCCGAAGCCAGGCGCACGGGAGGAATCAAGTGGGCACTCACGCAAGGAGTAGAAAGAAAATTATTGTTCTGGAGAAACGGGGCAATGTGAGTCTTAAACATAAAACCAATCCATAAAGTTTGAGGAAAAATATCACCCCACCCCCATCTCCAGCTGTATCCTTTGGGTACCATTTGTTTTCCTTCCACATATATTTTCCTCTTACCTCCCCACAAAGATCATCTTTTTTTTTTTTTTTTATAGAGGCATGTTTTTATTTATTTATTTATTTATTTGTTTGTTTGTTTGTTTGTTTGTTTTAGTTAATACATGCACTGGGTACAGTCAGAAGCGCAGGAGGGTGAGAGAATTCACCAGAGCCAGAGTGGGGAGCAGAGCAGGCAGAAGGACCGAAGTACACTGCTGAGGGGAGCAGCGAGCGGCAGGAGAGGTCTGCGCGCCATGTGGGACCCTCCTCCGGGGGCCGGGGAGCAGCCGAGGATTGAACCGGTGCCGCAGAGGCCGCAGGCAGCTTCGCAACCCAACGCTCAACTGCTGCGCCACCGGGGAGGCCCCATAAAGATCATCTTGATCATTCATATCATCAAAGTACACATGCAAAATATCACCTCCTACTGTTCAAGTTAACAGTTTTTTCAAAGTTGAATCAGGGGACTTCCCTGGTGGCTAAGGGGTTAAGTCTCAGGGCTATCACTGCTACTGCCTGATCCCTGCCAGGGAGCTGACCCACATGGTGCAGCAGACCTCTCCCGCTGCTCCCCTCAGCAGTGTATTTCAGTCAGTCTGCCTGTTCTGCTCCCCACTCTGTCTCTGGTGAATCCTCTCACCCCCCACATTTCTGGCCTGCACCACAGTTCTTCTACGCTAAAATAAAAATTTAAAAAGTAAAAAAGTAAAGTTGAATCATATGTAAACAACATGAGCTGGGGGACTTTTTACCAAGTTAGGGAGTCCCTGAGCTACAAATACCTCCAGGCGGGAACCAGACATCCTTTTAAGACACCAGTGGACTAAAGGTGCTTTGGATAAAGCAGAAAGTAACTCATGTAAAGCCACCCCCCAAAAGAAGGGAAAGAGAACAAAATGGGAGGGAAGAGCACAAGGGAGTGCGGTGCTGGATCCCAGGGGCTGCGGATGGTGAGAGAACTGAGTGGGGAGAAATCAAATACTGTCCAAAAGTGAACAAAGATGTGAGAAAAGAAACAAATCATATGTTAAAAGAGAGCGAGAAAAGTTTGACCTGTGTGGTTCCTGTTCTGAAAGATATTTGCTAACTAAACCATTGTGTCAAAATCAGTCTTGCCACAGCAATGGCTGAGTGGCCATTTGCAAGGGAGTGCGCGTGCAAGGCGCGGGCACACCAAAGTTGCATGACCACCTCGGGGTGGTCCTGCAGGGACTCTGGGATCCAAGGTCAGCACCACACCAAGCTCCTGATCTGACATTAGATGCTTATTGCTACTGAGACAAATCACCACAAACACCAGCTCCAACAGGAGACATTCACGGCTGTGCAGTTCTGGAGGGCCCAGGAGCAAGTCTCCTTCCTGCTCACGCAGTAGCCAGACCTCCCAGGGTCTTGGTGACAAGCACTGAGCCGCCTCCCCAGCCCCAAGTTTCTCATATGACCGCGCTGCCTACAAGTCACCTTCAGACAGCGTGGAGGGTCTATGGCAGGTAAACTTAGATAAGGAAGGGACATGAGTTCTATCGGGGAGAGAGAGGTCGGTAAAGCTGAGTAGGAGTGGCTGGCAGGGAGGAGGGCAGCCTGGGCTTCCACACAGGGGAGCATATATAAGACCAGGAGCAGAGCCCCACCAGCCACACCGGGTTTCGTGGACTGCACGGGAGGACACAGATGGCCTGCTCCGCCCTCTGCCTCCTGAGCCTGCTCTGGGCTGCCGCGGGGACCAGCGCCCAGACCCAAAGCTCATGCTGTGAGTAGGGCCCAACCATAGCTCATGCTGTGAGGAGGGTGTCTTGTCCACAGAGGAGGCCAGGAAGCCTTCACCTGAGGCTGGGGGGGAACTTCCGGCCCGGAGGTCGGCTGATGAGAAAGGGAGTGCAAAACAGGCCTATCAAGCTGTGAGTGCTTCATCTTTCCTGACTTCACAGAAAAAGTTCTTTCAGGGCCTCCCCTATGGCACAGCGGGTTGAGCGCAGCGCTGTGAAGCTGTCCACAGCCTCTGAAGTGCGGGTTCGATCCCGGCCAGCCAGGGAGATTCCTACATGGCGCGGCAGACCTCTCCTGTCTCGCCCACTGCTCCCCTCAGCAGTGTATGTCAGTCAGTCTGCCTGTTCTGCTCCCCGCTCTGTCTCTGGTGGATCCTCTCACCCCCCGCCCCCGTGCCTCTGGCCTGTACCCCAGCTCTTGTATAAAAATAAATAAATCTTAAAAAAAAAAGTTCTTTCAAAGGCTAAGTCTGCATATTATATTTGACTAAGTGACCTTGAAGGGCCACTGAGGGAAGGGAGGTTGATGGTGGAAGGACGCTGAGGGCTGTTCGGCCTGCGCCACACTACTCAAGGAGTCACTGGCCTGCGGAGGACAGGTCACTTCCCAAATCTTGACTATTCATCATTAAGGAGAGAAAAAATGACATAAGGAAACTGGCGATTTCTAGGCGGGGCTAAATTAGTAGCGAATGCCTGTGGGCCACATGGCTTAGCGTTGCTAAGTGAGACGTCACTTCCAAAGCGAAAGGTGATTTGAGAAGGTGCAGGTGTTACAGGGTAGGGAGAGGGGCAGCCCAAACCCTACAAAACCTGCCTCGCCGCATCAACACAAAATATATGAGACTTTAATGGGAAGAAACTTTAATACAACTAGGAAACAAGACAGGAAAGGCAAACAATCTAATTTCTAAATCAAGCACCCAAAGTGACCCGTCCCCTCGTGGGTAAAAGTCCACCCAAGCAGGATTGGCCCAGAGCAAGGCCCCAAAGCCTGCCACAGTCTAAAGCATCTTCCAGTGGGGACCCACAAAAAAGGGTCATAAACAACCAGACAAGCCTGGAAGGAAAAGAGCAAAATCAACATCAAGATAAAGCCTGCCATTGTCACCTCCCCACGGGTCTCACCCACATCTGTGTCACCCAGTCCACGACCAAAAGACAAGTGCAGTTTCTTCACGTGTCTCTGGGCTCCATGCGCCTCCTCCAGGTCTCCTTCTGGCTTTATTTTGCTTTTTTTTCCCTCAGTCTCCTCTGCATCCTCTTCTCTTCCTGCTCAGCTCCACCCTCCCTTGGGTGGGGCAGGGAACCTGGAAACTCCCCCTTTCCTGGGGACCCCCCTGTTACTCAGGGACAAGCCGGTCACAGAAGACAGCCTCCACCGTCGTGCCCTTTCCACCAGTGGCCGCGTCCCAGCGGGCATCCCTGCGGACAACCGCGCTGACCCTGCCTTCTGCTGAAAGGCATGCAGGACACAGGAACCATGTTTCTGAGAAGAGGTAACTAGGGGTTCAGTTCATGACTCCTCTCTTCTCAGCCGTCCCCCCGGCGCAGCAGCCCCTGGTTCACGGCATCCAGGCGCTCATGGAGAGCTCTGCGGCCAACGCAGCCTTCCCGAACCCCAGCGTCCTCATCGCCATGAACCTGGCTGGAGCCTACAACCTGGACGTCCAGAAGCTCCTGACGCTCGAGCTCATGGCCAGTGACACAGCCGGTGAGGGCCAGAGCCCCCCAGCCTGTTCCCTGAATCTCACCCCGCTCCCTACCCTCCCCCCCACCCCCCTCCCCAATGCCACTTCTGATTGTACCTGAGTCCCCCAAACACCTTTCCTGATGTGTCTGGAACATTCCTGGAAAGAAAAACTGTTTGCAGTCAGAGCAGTCACAGAGGCGGGGGGTAGGCAGAAAGCCAGAGGGAGGTAAACAGAGCCAACTTCCTGCTCCGCTCTGCCCCTCATGAGCTTTGTGACCTTGACCAGGTCACGGGACCCCACTCAGCCTTACTCTCCTCCTTTGCAAAGTGCAGATGACCCTAATAACGGGACACTAGTGGTGATAACAGCCCTGATAATCACAAAGCACCTTCTCCCCAGCACAGCTCCTGTCCACCTCACAGGAGTTGCCCTGAGGCGCCAGTTACAGGACAGAGATGCATGCGCCTCTGCACCCGAGTGCTTGCTGCTGTCCCGAACGGAGCAGGGCTTCTGCATGAAGCCATCGAGCCATCCAGAGGCCACTAGATGAGACTTCCCTTCAGTTTTTCTCCACACTTCTTTCCTTAAGAAAGACAGATAGAGGGCCTCCCCGATGGCACAGCGGTTGAGCGCTGGGTTGCGAAGCTGCCCGCAGCCTCTGCAGCGCTGGTTTGATCCCCGGCTGCTTCCCGGTCACCCTCACGGCGCGCAGACCTCTCCTGCCGCCCGCTGCTCCCCTCAGCAGTGTCCTTCGGTCCTTCTGCCTGCTCTGCTCCCCGCTCTGGCTCTGGTGAATTCTCTCAACCTCCCGTGCTTCTGACTGTACCCAGTGCTTGTATAAATAAATAAATAAATGAATCTTTAAAAAAAAAAAAAAAGACAGATCGAAAACAATCTAGTCACATTCTTTCATGAAAGCCAAGCTGATCTGGGTAAGAAGCAGACGGCCGGGCATCCTGGTGCTCTCCCCGGAGCGCACCTGGGTTACCTGTTCTGTTCTGTCCCCTACAGACCTGACCGTCGGTCAACTCGCCCTCACCATCATGGCCCTCACCTCCTCCTGCCGAGACGCTGGGACTCAAGTTAAAAGTCTACGGAGACAAATGGAGACCTGGGCGCCTTCAAGTACGGCCTCATCAGAATAGAGGGGTGGGGGGCGGCGATGATCCTTCCAGGGGATTCTAATCCTAGGACAGGAGGCAGGAAGCTTAGGGAAGAGACACAAAGCCCCTCCACTCAGGTGCCCTCTGACAATCCCAGGTGAGCTATTCACCTGCAATCCCAATTGAACGGGGAAAGGCCACTCATTGTCAGGCCCTCGCTGGCCTCCCCAGGGCATTTCATCCCATCCTTGGGCCAGATGACTTTCTCGTTCTGACGCTGATGTTACTTTTTCCAATACCGTGCTTTCTTTTTGGACAGATTTTCTAGCAATTTCTATGTAAAAGGCTTTTCCTCACAAATGTCCCCATAATGGCACATGATTATCTTATAAAAAAAAAATCTCTCCCCCCTTCCAGGCCTCAACGCGCCAGCTACATCCTTCTACGGGCCCAGCCTGGCCATCTTGGCTCTGTGCCAGCAGAACTCTGAGCTGACCTTGCCAATAGCAGCCCGCTTCGCCAAGGCCCTCCTGGCCAACGCCTCTCCCTTCAATGTAGGTAAGTAGGTCGGCACTTTCCAACACTCTCCTGAGCTGGGAACACTGGCACCGAGCGGTGGAGCTGGAGGGGCAACGCAGGAGGAGCGGAGGGTCGTGGAAATGACAGCAGACCAGAGAGATCTGACAACTCCTTGTTGGACATGTGAGTTCGGGAATAAATGAAAAGGAGATAGTAAAATATAGAAAATAGGCCAATGCTTGAATGCCTGGCATTTACAGAACCTCACTGGGGGAAAACAAATAGTCTCCCAAGTCAGGAATGCTTCCCAGGAAAACGACGAAATTATTAGGTCAGCGTCTAGACCCCTGATCCTGCGCCTCTCTGTGATCACCACCGGAGCGCCCCCTCTGCTCTTCTCAGTGCGTCTCCTGATAACATCCAAACCGTCTGTCTGCGGGAGAGCTACGCCCTGAACCCTGCCCTCATGAGGCCCCCTCCGAGGGCACCCTGGAGCCCTCTTATTCCTTCTCTCTGCTGGGAATGGGGAGTCCTTCCTCCACAACACCACGTCCTCCTGCCCGCGCTCTGCATAGAATGACCCCGTCTCTGCCCTCCGGGAAGGCCACGGCCACGTCCCTCACTCACAGTCGCTTTTCCTCGCCTGCCAGTCTCTAAACAAGAGCATTATCTGTCTTGCACCCCCTTTTCCATGCTTCCTCAAGGAAACCTTGCTTCAGGATCTAGCAGACAAGCAAGTAGATATTCACTCTCATACCCTCCCCGGGGGTCAAGAACAGACGGCCTCCGCTTCCCACCCGAGACCTCACCCACGACAGGGCATCTGTGCCAATTCAGGAAACTTGGGCAACACTGATTTCAAACACACGGTCACCCTTAATAAGGTTGGGCAACCTCAGGTGACATGATGAGAGTGGAAGGGGGCAACCAATGAAGGAAAAGAGGCCTCCTGGAAGGTCCTTGACTGTGGTCTTGTGGTACCAGAGCTTGCCATTCAGTCCATGTGTGTTTATGGAGCGCCGACAGTGGGAAGCCCCTGTGCTAGGTACCTGGGGGGCACTAAGTGCCCACCACCCAAGAGCTCGCAGAGCACAGTAACAACAGACACAGCAGACAGTGCTGGCGTGGTAAGACAGGTGCAAGCAAAACCGCTCAAGGAATTCAGAAAGCCATCGCCGAGGCCACCAGAGAAAGGTGGTGATGGCTGGGCCTTCAGATCTGGCGACCTTTGGAAAGATGACCATTGAGACGAGAGAGGTGGGGCTGGATATACTCCAGACGCCGTTAATTACAAGCCTGAGCTGTGGGATCACCCAGATCTGGGTTCGGGTCCTCGGGGCTCCCTGCTTAGTAGCAGTGTGGTCTTAGGTAATTACTTAACCTCTCTGAGCCTCCATGTCCTCATCCCCTACATGCAGATAGTGTAAGGCCTATTTCACACGTTGCCCTGAAGAGAAAGGAGAATGTGTACCCAGGGCCCGAGCGCACCATCAAGGGAGGACGCTTGTATGGGGCTGGTGGTTGTCTCACCTCCCCTGTGATTTGCAGACACAGGAGCAGTGGCGACCTTGGCTCTGACCTGCATGTACAACAAGATCCCCGTGGGCTCAGAGGAAGGTTACCGAGTCCTGTTTGGTCAGGCATTAAAGGCTACTGTGGAGAATATCAGCACGAGGATCAAAGACAATGGCATCATCGGGGATACCTACAGCACCGGCCTCGCTATGCAGGTAAACATCACTGACGCTCTGGCTGGGTCCTGCCCATCAGCCTGGACCATAGGATCAAGAATCCAGGCCTCTGCTAATATCTCCAGGAAAGACCAGCTAGTGTGACCCGAGGCTCATTCCCTGTGCTGCCTCAGTGTCTGTACTGGTAAAATGCAGGTAAGTGCTAATTCCTCCCTACCTCATAGGTAAGGTATAAAGCAAATCTACATGAACTCTTTTCCCTTCCTTGGGGAAAGAAAAACAAATAAAATCAAGAAATTAAGAGCATGCCCGGGGCTCAGGGCTAGAGAGCTGTGTAGAGAAATGAAGACAATTTGGAAGAGATATAAGACGGGTTTATTTGTGACTCACTTAAAATAACCTTGTTTCACCTTAGTGCCAGACAGAGAAGTGTTTGCTTTTGCTAATTTAGTTTGTGAATTCTAGTTAGGATTTTATCTCCTACAGGGTACATTCTGATAAGCTGTACTTGAGAATTAAAGTTTTTCCCATGAAAAGGCAGGACTTCATCCAAACCCAGATATCAGGGGCCTCATGGGTTTCTTGTCAGTCAGAATACATAACCTCTCCCTGCGCCCTTATGGCCCATATCCAAGGTGTAACCAGGCAGCCTGGAGTCTGAAAACACCAGCTGCCTTAACATATAACCTTTTTCTTGTTAAAATATTCTGGTATAGAGAAAAGCAAAGGAATCTGGAGCTGCAACAACTTGGGTTTGCATCCCAAACCTGCCACCATCTTGGGCAAATATTGACATTATCTGAATTTCATTTTCCCATAATAACAAGGTTGCAAAGGTATTTGTTTTTAAAAATCACAGCTACCTTGTGCTGTGCAATAATTATCTGTGGTCTCTCCCCTGGAAGAACGGTGATATTAAACGTCCTTTTCACCCTCTTCCAGGAAGTTACCCTTTTTCTTTAAGTGGCCTGGGCCACCCACATTGCTTCCCAGAGACACTCCTGAGAGCCTCCCCCTTCCCAGAATTTCTCCTCCTTCTTCCATCCATAGTTCAATGCTCTCAGGTTTCCTCTGACAGGAACATCACTTGGAAAGGGATCTGATAAACTTCTCTACTCAAAATTATGAGTGACTTCCAACAGCTTAATGTGTCACTCTTCTCTGGATTGTTTTATCTCAACGGGCTACATCTCACTTGGTGGGATTCGGGGGGTGAATCTGGCAAATGACAAGATAGGGTTGCTGACAAATTTCTGCCTGATATCCCTTAAGCCAAACTGCCTTGTAAAGTAGCCTCTGGCCAGAGCCACAGTTCAAGTTGCCGAGGTTAGCAGTGATGATGTGGCTGTGCCTGGGCTGGTCGCTGTACTGCTGCCTCTGCCTCACAGAGCCACTGCTAAGCCCTCTCTCCCCTCCCATTCCCCACCCCAAGCTCCAGGGAAATGGGTCATCAACAAAGCCATAACAGTCACACACCCTGATGGCCATGGTCAGGACGACCCTAAAGGGCGGGAGGGGTAACACCAGCTTACACATCACACTTGACAAAATGCTTTTGCAAACCATCCTATCTGAACCTCAAGTGACCCTCCAAAGGGAGGCAGGATGATTTCTGTTTTACACACGGGATAAAACTTAGCAAAGTGGAGCAAGTTGCTTGGTGCCTGAATCAAGAATCTTTTCGCAAATAACAAAAACCTAAATAATTTTTGCTTAGGAAAAAAAAAAATGGGGATTTGCTTTCACATAAACTGGAGGGTCCAGGGCTAGATTAGGTGGTTTCAGAATGAACCAGAACAAAGGGCTCAAATCATGACATCAGAAACTACTTGTTTTCATCTCTCAGTCCTAGATTTCCTCATTGGCTCCTGCTGCAGGGCTTCTTCAAAGTGGCTGATCACAAGCATCTCCGCACTTACATGGTCCCAGATCACTAGCAAGGGGGAAAAGTGTTCCTCTCTCCCAATGCGTGTCCATCAGGGAAAGACTCCGATTGGTGCCAGTGCCCATCAATCACTGTTGCCAAAAGGATGGCCCTCTAGGATTGGCCCTCTGTGATTAGTTCGTGGGTCCAGCCCTGCGGCCAGGGTGTGGCGCCTCAGGCTGATGGGCCTGACACCATCATAGATCGTGGGAGGCATCCACTGAAGGTTGCGCAGGACATCGTAAAACAAAAGAGGTCTACTGTGTTTAGATGGCCAGGCTGTCCTAAGTGAAAGCTCCCCCTAAGCTTGCTTTGCCCAGATCTCGGTCTACATTCAAGAAATGCTAGTCAGTACAACAGCTCTAACAATTTCCCTGAATCTGAGTTGCATAGAGACCTGTGGGGTGATTACTATGTGATGGATGTTCGTGCAGCGGTGGGGATGCAGTGGTGAGTGAGATAGACATCCATCATCTCAAACCTTGTGCAGCTGCAGTTTGGGACTATGGGTGACCCCAAAGATCAGTGATCAAGTTTATCCTTCTACAAGGTTAATAAAGATGAACTCGCAACTGTGCCTAATCTCTGCCTCTCTCCCTCTCCCTGCCTCTTCTTGCCGCAGGCTCTCTCGGTGACCCCTGAGAAACCTAACAAAGAGTGGGACTGCAAAAAGACCATGGATATAATACTCAACAAGATTCAGCAGGGGAAATTTCACAATCCCATGGCCATCGCCCAAATTCTTCCTTCCCTGAAAAGCAAGACATACCTAGATGTGACCCGTGTTTCCTGCAGCCCTGGTAAGAACGCTTAACATCTGCTTCTCCCTGTTCTGTAAAGTGGCAACTTAGACCAGAATGACATGTATCGATAGATCGATTTTAAGTAGGATATAGACTCGTGATGGACATCACTACCATGTAGACAAAGGCACATCTGACTTCCGATTGCCAAGAGCTGTTTGCTAACGCACAGCCATACCATCGTGCCCTCAGAATTCAGCCTCTTGCCTAATTCATCCAGTACACATTTACTGAGCTCCCACTATGGGGAAAGCATTCTGTGGGGTGGTGATGGAGAGGGAAGGCCCATGAGCCCAAGTATCAAATAACATATAACGTCATTCATTCCTTGACAAATGTACCAAATGTTATGGACTATCTTGTAGCTGATCTTTACAAAGTCAGCAGATATGTAGAAACTACATTTAAAAACTACAATATTTAGCATAATAGAGTAAAAATTAAATAGAAATGGAAACCACAGATAGTGCAAAAGCAAAGTGTAGCCAATTCTTGATTTTTTTTTCTGGATGGCTTAAGGAAACATATTTCAGTCAGGTCTTAAAGATCTAAATGTGGGGCCTCCCCGGTGGCGCAGCGGTTGAGCGCTGGGTTGCGAAGCTGCCCGCAGCCTCTGCGGCGCCGGTTCGATCCCCGGCTGCTCCCCGGCCACCGGCGAAGGATCCCACATGGCGCGCAGACCTCTCCTGCCGCCCGCTGCTCCCCTCAGCAGTGCACTTCGGTCCTTCTGCCTGCTCTGCTCCCCGCTCTGGCTCTGGTGAATTCTCTCACCCTCCCGCGCTTCTGACTGTACCCAGTGCATGTATAGACAAAACAAACAAAATAAATAAATAAAACATGCCTCTATAAAAAAAAAAAAATAAAGATCTAAATGTGCTTGCAGCACACCAAAGGAGCGGGATGGCATCCTGGCATGTCACCTTTTTATCTGAAATATCTTCATTTTACCCAATTACAAGGAGGTACTTGAAACTCAAATATTGCAGAAATATGCATTGAGAAAGTGGGAGTTCCACATAAAAATGTTGTCACTACAGAGGTAACTAGTGCTTGGTGTAGATTCCTCTTCTTTCTAATTACATACTAATATAAGGTATGATTCATCATAGGTTGCATGGACTTCCTGAAATAAGCAGAGATGAATAAGCTCTTTGTCTATGTTAGTATAAATCACAGGGCCCACATTAAGCAACCTGATTCCACTCATTTCAAACACAGCCACATCCACCTAATTCCTTACGCTGCTTCCCAGTGGTCTCCCAACCTTAGCGAAGATCCATGGAGTCCTTTCTAGATTCTACACCAGTATCCTGTTAAATGGTCTAAAACTTTACTATCTTTGCTTTCAGATTCTTAGGATGAACAAAAAATCCTAGCTCCTGAAGTGTATCAAATAAATGCATGACTTGGATCCTCAAGCTGCCTTCAGTTTACAAATTCTTTTAACAAAATAAGTGTTCACTGTAAAACCATCAGTCCTTCAGCTGTCATCCCTTCTCTAGATGAAAGTGAGCACTTCGTAGATTACACTGGTTCCGCTCAATAATCTGCCATTTCTGGACATGTCTTCTGGGATGAGTTGCCAACAACGAAAGTTTGCTCCTAGATTCCTAACCCTATAATCTTTAACAAGCATGGCCTCTTGGCTCTTTACAGATCATGAGGTAAAACCAATTCAACCCAACCATCCTAGCCCTGCTCCCACCTCGGCATCCAACATCACTGTCACATACACCATAAATAACCAGCTGAGGGGTGTGGACCTGCTCTTCAATGTGACCATTGACGTGAGCGTGAGAAGCGGCTCGGTGCTGCTCGTTGTCCTACAAGAAGCAGAGCGCAAAAATCCCATTTTCAGGTGAGCGCACATGTGGCTTTCACCACTCCCCCAGCCAAAACCGGAATTTCCATTTTTTTCTCTCTCCTTTATTTTTTGTACTATTTTTCCTTTAATTTAACAGATTTTTATTTATTAGCCCTTTAGGGAGCCTGCAATCTAGTTACTAGCCAAGGCTTTCATGAAAAATTAAAACCATACAAGTCAATATACAATATTTTAAAGATGGGAATTCAAAGGAGAGAGTGCATTATGGAGTAGACTAGTCAAGGAAGTCTTGTGGCTTTGGGCCACATTCCAAAAACAGGTACTGCCTGGAAAGTATGGAAGGATGGTATCTAGGAAGAAAATGGCAAGAACCAAGTGGCTGAGACAAAAATGAGCAAGGAATTCAGGGTAAGTGAGCAGCCAGCTTGACCATGAAGGGGAATTCGAGGATATGACTCTAGTAATGAAGCTGTTAAGTGAGGAGAAGTCCATCTGGGGTAAGTGGAGTCACACCAAAGAAGAGTCCTGATATCACTCTGAGTGTGGGATGTGGGGGCCCAGAGAAAGAAGTTTCCAAACTACTGATAGGAGTGTCAGGAAGAAAGAATGGATTTCAGGGCCTCCCCGGTGGCGCAGCGGTTGAGCACTGGGTTGCGAGGCTGCCCACAGCCTCTGCAGCACCAGTTCGATCCCTGGCTGCTCCCCAGCCACCGGAGGAGGGTCCAGCATGGCGCGCAGATCTCTCCTGCCGCCCGCTGCTCCCCTCAGCAGTGTACTTCGGTCCTAATGCCTGTTCTGCTCCCCGCTCTGGCTCTGGTGAATTCTCTCACCCTCCAGGGTCCAGCATGGCGCGCAGATCTCTCCTGCCGCCCGCTGCTCCCCTCAGCAGTGTACTTCGGTCCTTCTGCCTGTTCTGCTCCCCGCTCTGGCTCTGGTGAATTCTCTCACCCTCCCGCGCTTCTGACTGTACCCAGTGCTTGTATAAATAAATAAATAAATAAATCTTAAAAAAAAAGAATGGATTTCAGGGGAAAAAAAAACTTCTTTATATCTATTTAATTGTAGGTGTTTGAAATAGAAAATTAGGAAGCTTTTGGATACATAGGTAGAATCCTAGAAAAAAGAGGCTAGGACAAGAGAGACATTGGGGAGTGATCACATAGAGGTGATTGCTGAAGTTAAGGAACTGTGCGGAAGGTGGCAGATACATGCTCCCAACCAAATCAGGAGACTGGTCAAATTGTTCCCATTTTACAGGAAAAGCAATGTAGTTCCACAGACGTTAAGTAATATTTGAAAGACCACAGATCATGTGGCTGAGAGATGAACCAAGAGTCGACTGACTTTAAAGCTCATGTTCTTTCAACTGCCCTGCACGGAAAATGCAGAATGCAGAAATTAATCACAGAGAAGACCGAACAGGATGTTGATACTTACAAAAAGGGGAAGCTGCAGGGAAATAGGGAGAAGACAAAGACACAGGAGGAGTAAAGGGGAAACACTGGGTCAGGAAAGGAAAAGAGGAGACACTGCAGAGACACCCCCCACATCCTGTAAGATGTCAGGAGAGACTGACAAGGGCCAAGAACTTGACAGTGAGCTGATTGCAAATGTAATAAAGTCACCTCACACAAATTTTGAAAGGAAAAAGTATAAAGAAGAAAACAAAACATCTACAGTCCATCCAAATATAGTGACTACTGATATATTTTCATTTTGTGGGTGTTTTTCCTATGTGTATTACAAGTGCTGGTCATTCGTCATATACATAGGATCAGTACGTATTTCATGTGAAATCTACAGTCTGCATTTCCACTTAACATGATTACATAATCATTTACCATGTGACTGAAAATTATTGAAGACTACAATTTTCAATTTTGCACAATTTTTAGCTATTCAATCTCAAATACTCCCATCATTCACCCTACCTGTCCATTGGACATTTGTGTTTTTAAAACTTGTTTTTTGACAATTAAATCAATTAAGTTGATTTAATTTAAGTGAAATCACTTGATATTTACTATTTGCATTTCTCTTTGAAGCACGATTTTATCACATCTCTAAAGCATTTGTAATACCTCTGCCCCTTCATCTTAACTTATTATCTGACTAAAGTGAAGTGCTAATCACATATAATTTTATTCTTGCAGATTTAAAACCACGATGACATCTTGGGGTCTTGTTGTTTCATCCATTAATGATATTGCTGAAAATGTTAATCATAAGACATACTGGCAGTTCCTGAGTGGCAAAACACCTTTGAATGAAGGTAAGAGAAGAAATCAGGGCATCTCCTTCACAGTTTGAAGCTACATTCCTTCATTCCCTTATATAATGCGTTCTTTTTTTGAGTTTGTCTGTATATATGCAATAATTGTTAATACAGTGATAACATGTATATGTACATAATATAACCAGCTGATCCTATGGGAGGTGGGATGTTTACATGCACCACGTGATTCTCTGTTTCCAGGAGTTGCTGACTACATCCCCTTCAACCATGAGCATGTCACAGCCAACTTCACCCAGTACTAAGGAGGAGGGGGTCTGACTGCTAGTAAATATCACAAAGGATGGTTAGAATTGTTTCACTTCATTTTAAATCTGCACCAAAAAAATAAATCAAGGACACCTACTATGCTATCGTGTTTCTGATAAAAGCATGGAAATCATTACGTAAAATAAATGATGCAAACTTCTCTGTGTCTCAAGAATATGTAATTGTTCAAGGCAGTGGCTTCCAGTCATCATTTAGGAGTGAGGGTGAGGGAGATGCCCACGGATATTTTTGGAGATCATTCTGATCTTCTTCGTTAATTTAACCAACACACTAACACTCCTTTATTTATACAAAATCTTAAAAATTTCATTTCTCATACCAAGCCTTCCTTTCCAAGTCACCCAGCATAAACACATACACATACATGAAGTGACCAAAATTATTTCATAGGAAGCTCCCAGATAGTTTGGAACTAGGTAAATGATGCTAAGACTCAATGCTCCCCTATCATGTCCAATATTTGTTTTGAGTAAAATCAAGTTGAAAATATATTTTATATAATTCACATGTATAAATACTTTTAATAAGCATAATTTGAATATACATTTTAATATATTTGTGGATTAAATATGAACCTATAACCCCACCCCATATATGATTTTCTAGATTAAATATAATACAGATCTATCGATATAACCTCACCCCACAGATAGAGTTAGAGATCTTTGAAAGCCAAAATTGAAAGGCAGTCATTGGCGGCTGCTTTTGACCCCTATCAACGCTGCTTCAAACTTGCAAAAAAAAAAAAAAGTGGGAAATTTTGTATCCAAAGACTCAAAACATACTCACTTTTGACCCCCCCAAATCCCAATTCTGGAGACTACTGAAGGGGAGGGGGACATGATAGGACACGGATACACCAGCGTCAATGTCAGCTGGGACAAAAAGAATGAACCCCACACGTGCAGCCTCCGCCATCCCCTAACACAGACCCTAGAAGCAAAGCCACTTAACCGCCCTGTCACAGGTCTCCCACCTCACACTTCAGAGCAAAGCCCTCCTCTTTGAACAATCCTGTCCCAGGAAAAAAGGTGTGAAGCACACAGGCTGAGATTTTCCTCCCAAACAGTACCTATTAGAGAGAGGTTGCATATATGAAACCTGCCTAGTAATTAACTGTGTGTGTCCCTTTGCACTGGCAAGGTCAGGGGGCAATAGAGTGAGGTTGGTGTTGGACCTGCATTGACAAGTAACAAATATGCTTTGAAGCAGGATTAAAAAAATCTGGTCACGCTGGTGATTATGTAATGCCTAACCCCTAAGCCCACGGGTGCTTAAGGTTTCAGGGACCATGGCAAGCCCTTTCATGACCCCTAGTGGCCATGGCTGGTAAAGCCCAAACTTTATTAACAGTTGTCAATGATGCATAATTAATTTTATGAAGAAGAAGGGGAGATTGAAGGGAAGATTACTACCAAGGAATTATATGTGGTAATACTCGCTTTTCATTGGAGTATGAATCACCTATAACAAGTGCATGATTGACACCCACACACCGATTAGGAAGTGGAACAAACGTACAAAAACTAACCTATAACCTGTGTACATATATTCACTACCCGAATGCTCTCTGAAATCAATTTACGTTTTCCCTGCTCTTGCCCTGCTATTGCTTATCCAAACCAACTGTGCAAGGCTGGCTTTTTTTTTTTTTCAATCATTTCAATTTTTTTTTTTAATCATTGCTTTGTGTCACTATGTATGTTTTAAGAGTACCGGCTCACACTTCTTGAAATATGTTACCAGACAATACCCACCACAAAATACTCATAATCCTCCACCAGAGTCCCCAGGGGCCCTCTCCACCCTTTGCTTCAGTCACCCACAACAATTCTCCTCCACCCCAGTTCTGTTGTCAGAACCCACAGGTTTATTTTTATTTGTGCTCTTTTTTTTTTTTTTGTCTGTCCTTTTGCTTCATTTTTTATCCTCTACATATTGTAAACACATTTATGGATTTTCTCAACACTCTTTAAAAAAAAAGTTTGTGTTGTTACTCCTAGTGACAGAAAACATACTTATTTCAGTAATTAAAATGTCCAGGGTGGTGTATTACTCAAAATCCCGAGTTCCATTTGAGGGTAAATTTGGTTCCTTTCCTCAGCAAAGTGGTAATTCAGGTAGAGAGATAGTAGTGAAAACAAAACTGGAAGGGGGGGGGGGCTCTCTATTTCCTTACCTCGCAGTTTTACAAGATCTTTTCTGCCCAATCGCTCGCTTTTCTGACCCACCTGTTTCTGACCTCTCTAGGATGAGGAACAGCCATGGCACCTGTCACTGACGCCGGTGTGCGCTGTAAATTTAGCCCTTGAACCACCGCAGGTTCTTTTATCACAAAGTCGTAAAATGAAATTCGCAGAGTCTTTAGATAACTAAGCAGAGAGAAGCAAACTTTAGTCAATTAAGTAAAGAACAGTTTATTTTAAAGGAAGAAAGCAGGTCCTCCGAGGGAAGGGGCAAAGAAGCTTTTATGGGCCCGTGTGTAGGCATATTTAAACCTTTTTTTCTCTACTCTAAAATCTCATCATCCTACTTTGTAATTGGCTCTTTCTCCTAGTGGTTCTACTCCTTCCGCAGATGTGCCCATTTTCCCAACTCAGAGTTTCTCCTTTGCCTCCCCTGTCCAAGGTCTTGTTCTCTCAAGTGTTACTATCCTTGTTTGTTTAGTGCTCCTGGACTTTCTGACCTCATCTCTGGAGTATGTTTTGGTTAGCACCTCTTAGAATTTACTGAACTTGTCTCAGAAGCCTCTTTAACTCTCTTCCAGCCCCTGCCTGTACTGTCCTGAGGCTGCCTACTTAACCCCAACTTGCCCTAGGACTCAATATGGAAGGTAAACTCATATAGAAGCTAGTATTAACAAACGCCTTGAGAAAGTCCTGTGGGCTTCCTAGATCAAAGAGATTCCATGATGATTATTACAATAATTACAGTTAGACTCTGATGAGCAAAACCCCAAATGTAGCATTTTATTGTCCATTCGCTCTCTGGCATCACAAACACTGCTCAAATTCTGATTCTACTGTTTATCTGCTACGTGACTCTGGAGAAAACTCAAGCCTTTCACCCTCTGAATGGAATGTGCAAACTGGTAGTAATGACTTAACATCTCTGCAGGGTAAGGTAAAAAGTATCAGGCTTTTCTGCCCTCCCGCCATTAGGAGTAATGGATTCCTGTGGTCCCAAATGCATACCTGATGGCGGACACCTGGAGTAGGGTGTGGGCATAGGTAGATGGGATTCACCTGGGCTAAGACTGGGCTTATAAGGGCGGCATCACGGGGACCCCAGTAAAGCAGAAAGAGGAAGAGCTCGAAAGAGCAAAAGGAGCAGAAAAGGCCACGAGAGAAGGCTGGAGAGCCCAGAGTGAAGACTTCTTGGGCGCTGGGCGGCCTGCCAGCCTCCCGGCCCCCCAGCACCCCTGCCTGCTGTGTACCTGGTAAATCCCAGTAAAAGCCTGCAAAAGCCACCAAGGGCTCCAGGACTCTCTCCTCCTTTACCTCGTCTGCTCGGGTCATAGAGATCCTGCTCCGTGTCCTCCTGCCTTTACAATCTCCCATGGATTTGTCAGGGGGGCACACCGCCAAGCAGACATTGCACACGCCCAGCAAAGGTCAAAGCAATGACAATTCATTCCCACTTTCCTAATGTCTCTGGAGGGCGCCCCAGAGAAAAGGCATGAGAATGCTTTGAAGGTGAAATCCAGCTTTCTCAGCATGGTAGCCTGAGCAGAAAACTCCCCTCGGGGCCGCCTCTGTGGGGATTCACAAGGGAAGGGGGGCCCCACGGGGCCAACATGGCGTCCCACGCCGCTCCGGAACCCCAGCCCCGAGGCGCGGTTCCTTCCGCTTCCGCCGGACTCTGCCCGGGAGGACCAGCGCCCGGGCCGCTTCCGGCGCGGCTGTCCGAGGCCGGGCCGCTTCCGGCGAGGCTTCCCCACCCGCGCGGCGCGGCGCGCGGGGCCATGTGGCGGCTGCTGAGTCGCGCCAGCCCCCTGCGGGCGCCCCTGGCAGGTCAGCGTCCCCAGGACTGGCCCCCCGTACCCCGGCGCCCCCACCCCGGGCCTCGCAGGCTCAGACTCCGCGGGCGGCGGCTGCTTGCGGGCGGCGCTTAGGGCTCCAGCGCGTGGGGGCGGCGCCCGAGAACCCTGGCTGGTCCCTAGGGGGGCGGGGGGCAGGGCGTTTGCGCCCGGTGAGTGGACTCCCCGCCGCCCCCCGCGGGCGGATGCCCCCGGCCTGGGGGGTAACCCGGCTTGGGGTAACTGGCTTGGTATTGCAGGTGCCTGGGCCGCGCCGCCCGCCCGTGCCGGCCTCAAGACGCTGCTCCCGGTGCCAACTTTCGAGGGTGAGCGCTTGCCTGTCGTCTGCGTGTGTCCGTCTCTTCTCCAGTGGAATCCCGCAGAGGGGCGGCGAAGATGCAGGAGCGCCCCGTGCTTCCCAGGCCGTCACTCTCTGCCAACTGCAGGCCAAGCCTTGTCCCCCACAGTGGCCAGCAGGGACCAAACGAGGTTCCTGCTTTTGCAGAGCAGATGTGTGAGGGCCTGGCTCGCCCACGGCCTCCCACTGGTGTGCGCCCCGGGTTCCACCCTCAGCCAAGGCTAACTGGCCTCAGGTTTTGGCCTTTGAGGTTCTTTCCAAATAGGGTTACAGCTCGGCAGTCATTTCACGATATTATGTGAAAAGCTTTATTTTGTTAAGTGTAAACATCTCAGGTAAGCCAGTGTCCTGAGCCCAGTTTACCATTTAATATATTGGAAGTATGAACAAAAATGAAAAGGGCCTGGACTTCCATGAGAAGCCCCCGCATATGGTTAAAAAGAGAGCCCTAGGTTTTAAGTTTCTCAGCAATATCGTGGTAAAGCAAAGAAACTGGCTATGTTTGCGTCGGATATAGTATTCCATTCGCTAACCCCATTAGTAATGGAAAAGAGTAGTTTTAAAAAAAAAAGTGCTGTACTGTTTTAACTGCTTTTTTTTTTTTAAACTGGATGACCTAAGCCAAGTTTTAAAATGTCTCTCAACCTCAAGTGCCTCTATAAAATGGAGATTAAACTACCTGCCTATCATCCTGCTTCTTGATAATTATGTGGGTGTGTTTATGAGTTCACATTGTGATAATTCCCCTAGCTGTGTATTTTTTATTTGGGCCTTTGACATGTGTGTTTAATAAGTATTACCTAAAGTTAGCTGATGTTACTCTGACAGTCTCATATCTCTCTACCTTCCCAACAGTCCCTTCTATAGTGTTGGGCCCAAAGTGGGCATTTAATAAATACATTTTGGTTTAAAGATTAAAACTTTGGTATCTTCAGGGGTTCAAAAACCTTTGTATTAATCATTTGTCATTGCCAAAAGACTAATGTCAACAAGAGCCCCTACAAAGGAAATCTAATATACTTTTGGGATTACTGCCCAGTGGTAACTTTGACCTGACTTTTTAAAATTTTCACCTGTTAGCTGTAAATCTTGAAGGAAATGAATCTCTGAGCTGTGTAGTTTTACTTAATCTTGGTTGTCTCTGTCCCTTGTAGATGTTTCCATTCCTGAGAGGCCCAAGCTTAGATTTGTGGAAAGAGTACCGCTTGTGCCAAAAGTAAGACGAGAACACAAAAACTTGAGGGACATACGGGGACCTTCAACTGAAGCTACTGAGTTCACAGAAGGCAACTTTGCAATCTTGGTGAGTTCACGTTACAGAATGGAAGGCAGGGATTAAGCAAACGCTAATCTAGTTAGTTCTAGTCTCTTCTGCCACAGGTTTTATTAGAACTGTCACCAGTTTCTCTTTAAACAGATGTGTAGTACCCGGTAAACATTGGAGTTATGTATCGCTTCATGCAGAGTGAACATGTAAAAGCAGAAGGAAGAGGCCACCTAATTTACCCTATAATTAGACCACAGGATTTTCTCAAGTCTCTGGTAATAGTGTAGCCAGGATGTAGGATGTGGGACACTTTTCCTCAGTGACTACACAGGTGCGGACTAGAATGTCCTCAAGTGGTGACATGCATGATCAGCCACCGCCCGCCTGTTAGAACCTCCGCCAACTCCCCGTCCCTTACTCTGCTCCAGCCACATTGCGTTTGCTCAGACTCACCTTCGCTGCTGGTTTTCCCTTGGCTAGTTGTTACTATTTTAGTCTCAGCTTTAAATGTCACCTCCTCAAAGAGACCTTCCCTGGCCACCCTCTGAAGCAGGTCCATCTTGTTCTTACTACTGTACTGTACCTTAGACTTTCCCACAATGGTACTTCCTAGAACCTCAATTTTTATATTCACATGCATCATTCAAGCCACTGTTCCCATAAAAGATGTCTAAGTCCCATGTGTTTCTAATTCTTCCATTTACTTCTAGGCGTTGGGTGGCGGTTACCTCCACTGGGGCCATTTTGAAATGATGCGCCTGACAATCAACCGCTCCATGGACCCCAAGAGCATGTTTGCCCTGTGGCGAGTACCGGCCCCTTTCAAGCCCATCACGCGCAAGGGCGTGGGGCAGCGCATGGGGGGTGGCAAAGGCGCCATTGATCACTACGTGACCCCCGTCAAGGCCGGCCGCCTCATTGTGGAGCTGGGCGGGCGCTGTGAATTCAAAGAGGTGCAAGGCTTCCTGAACCAGGTGGCGCACAAGCTGCCCTTCCAGGCCAAGGCTGTGAGTCGCGAGACCCTGGAGAAGATGCGAAAAGATCAAGAGGAACGGGAGCGGAACAACCAGAACCCCTGGACCTTCGAGCGCATCGCCAGTGCCAACATGCTGGGGATACGGAAGGTGCTGAGCCCCTACGACCTGACTCAGAAGGGGCGGTACTGGGGCAAGTTCTACCTGCCTGAGCGTGTGTAGTGAGGGCGTGAGATGTGTGCACGGGCTGAGGAGGGATCTGAACACTACCCTTAGCCTGCGGCTAACCCTGGTGGCATGTGAAGGAGATCTGTGAAGCTGGTATCTTCTTAAAGTGCGATATATTTATATTAAAGTTTGAGCGTCACCTCAGGATTTAACTTCTCGTTGGTGAATCTTGATTAAAAATGATTGAGAAATAGGCCTGATGGGCTGTCGGGGGGTTGGGCTCCCCTCCTTGGCTACACACTCCTCAGGGAGGAAGCAGATGTCTGCATCTCTGGTCTGGGACTTACCTGTATTACCTTTTATATGTTCACACCTCAGCAGCTAGTTCCTAAGACGTTTTGCTAGTTGCCAATACAAATTACACGTTTTGGGGGAAGCAAAGGAAAAAATAGTCCACGGGTTGATTCGACAGGTATTTGTGCCCAGTAACCACTTGCCTCAGTCCGGGAAGGGGGGGTGATGGACAACGTAGCAAGGAACATACCCTTGCCTTGTAGCGAAAGGAACTGATAAAACCAAAAATCGAAATTGTGTGGCCTTTCCTAGGCCTGAGATTCTCCGCGGGAGAGGGTGGCTCTACCTCTGTCGTGCAGGTCGTAGGCCACTGTCACTCGATGGATGAGGGGCCCAGGACTCCCCTGCTTGGCTCCAGCTCCTGGGTGGAGGAGTTTCTGAGCTAGCCGTAAGCAGCAGTTTTCTATCCCCTGCTCAATTTAAAGGAAATAGAAATTGATGTAAATACTGAACTATTTGCTTTTGAGAGTGGACAGGAAACTGCACGCTGACTATAAAATGTCAGTGCTTTATCCTTTTTGAAAAAGATCTGTGGCAAAGGAAGTAATTTTCCTCCAAAAGTACAAATTTATCTGATGCAGTCATTTGGGCCTTAAGAATTAGATGCTGTGGGTTTTTTTTTTTTAAAGTATTTATAGTGACCCTCTTGTCACTCGTCTCCAAACTGTTTGCACACATCTGCACCTCCAGTTGGCGGTGTCTGGAGCTGCTTGTTGAACACACTTGGCCAAGGAGCCGGTCCAGGCCGGCGGCGTGAGTCGGGTGAGAAGGGACGCGCGTCGATGGCCTCGCTTCACCCTTCTGCTCTAACATCATCTCTTCCTTGTGATGCTTCATGAAACATGGTGGCGGCGGCTGGGAGTTCAGTCACTATACGAACCTGTTCCTTCTGGGTTCATGTTCAGTACTGGACCACAACCCATGGAGACTCTTGTCACACAGCAGAGGCTGTTGCCAGGACTCCACCAGCACTGCCCACGGAGAGGACTTGGAAGCCTACGCTGTGCTAACGGAGGCTCCTGTTGTATTTCTGCATAAGTGCGTCAGCCCATTCCCGGGCATTTTTACACCATGTCAGATGCCGCCAAACTATTGCCTGGTGATGGTTTAAAGGCTTAAGAGTCAAATCCAAGTCCAATCCATGGGTGATTGTGCTCACTCGTGAGCAGAAACAGAGCTAAATCACAGGTAATTGAGTCAGCAGGTGCTTGTGCATCTGTAAGTGGGGGAGCCACCGCCACATCTCAGTGCCCAGGTACTGTGGTGAGCACGGGCATGGCAGTAGCAGGACAGCTTCACTTAGACCCCGAGGAAGGAAGCATATGTAGGGCAGACCAAAGGAGAGACCCAGGAGAGCAGAAGTAACAAGTACCCTGATCTTGAGCAACCTGGAGCAGGTCCTGAGACCGTGGGTGTGCTGGGACACCTGCATCTTCACAGCCACAACCTAGTACAGGCCCAGGTTTCTTTTCCCAATGGGTACCTGCAGGCTTCTCTGCTCTGTAGTCCCTTTAAGCCACCTTCCGGCTCCACATTGCTGCACTCCCTGTTCCTTCACCCCCCCACCCTCCACCCAATCCCGCATGACTTCTACTAGTGATGGTTGACACTGAGGTTTCATAATGGAGAGAGAGGTAGGTGTTGACTCTACAGTGAAGAGTGGTGGCCCCACAGAGTTGGTAGGAGGATAATAATGCCCGCGGAAGGCCCACCTGTGGAGGCTGAAGGAAATAACAGAAAAATGAAGGGAAAAAATCATAGATTATACAGCATGATGTTCAAGGTCAGGATCAGCAAGTGTCTCCCATACAGCAGGATGTTCAAGGTCAGGGTCATCAAGTGTCTCCCGCAAGGTTAAGGCGGGCCTCACAAGGCTGTGCTAATCTACCCTGACCTTGAAGGAAGGGAATTCATTTACTTTGGATTTACCGTATAAGCTCCCCGAGTTCAGACTGCTGCTAATACCAGAGCTGATGCTCCTGGGCCAGTCCTAGATGCCAAGTCCAGTTCCACTGTGGGAAGTCCTCGTCGTACACTGCATCCTGACACCAGGTTCCAGGACACAGCACACCCCCCCCCCCCCATCTACCTGCTACCAACTCCTCATCCTCTCTATGAAATATCTCTCCTTTAGTTGCTCCAGCCTAATCCCACCCAGGCTAGGGTTTCCACGCACGCCCTGGACGGCTCACCTTTTTCAGGCAAAGATGCCCGCAATGGTAGAGGCTAATATGACTGCAAGGACAATGCAGCAGATCAAGATCATGATCTTCTTCTGCTCATTGAGGCAAGGAGAGAAAAAGCACATGAGAACGTCACCACCGTGCTGACAGGTTTCCAAAGAAGGGAGACAAGAGGACCTGGGCACGGGAGAGGGTGAGGAGGAGGAGGGAGATGGATCTGGCTTCGCTAACCCAGAGATGCAAAACAGATCAACAGCTGTCCTGGAGAACATTCTATGTTCAGAGCCAGATACTCTGAGCGAATGAACCAAATTCTTTTGCAGCGAGCATCTGAAATCCACAACCCAGATACAGTCACACAGTCACTATGCATTGAACCATTTTCCAAAAATCAGAAGTTGCTCCAGCACAGGGCTAGACAAAATCTGGCTCCTTTCCAAACCCTGAACCCAAACCGTGCGTGGTGATGCCCATCACAGAGTGTGGGCAGGGAAACAGGCAGCACTGTTTCACAATCAATATAAAGTCATTTATTGTTAAATTAGCAATAAAATAATCAAGTTTACATTAAAAAAATACAATGACAACCCCTTCACTTGTGTCCCAAGCTATAAGCCCCAGGCCCCAGCTCAGAAGAGCAGCAGCCTGCGGTTACCGCCCGCCAGCCCTTGCAGCTGAGCCAGCCCACTGCCGACGTCACAGCCGCGGGGAGGGCGCCCGCTGCTCCGTCAGCACTGGGCGAAGACTGGGAGTAAGTGCCTTTTGCAGGAAAGCCATGGCAGAGATGGATGAGGGGCCTCCCCCTGCCCTGGAAAGCATTCAAGTGGAAGCTGAAACAGCAACCAGGGAGGCTAGCAGAGACCCCCAGGGAAGCAAAGAGGGTCATCCCTGGGTCAGCGGTCACTACACTTGAGACTTCCCCGGCTGTTGCTTCCTCCAGATAAAGAACCATCCGGCTTATTCGCCCGGCAGCAGGAAGCACTACGCTGCAGTCCCTGGTAGCCCTGTGAGCTCGGCCCTGGGGACAGGCCCTCCCAGGAGCACGTGAAGGAAGCGGAATCCCCGTAGGGTGATCTCGAGACAAGTCGAGCCTCGGCAGCAGGAGGGGAGAGGTGTCAAAATGTCTCACGGCGTCCGTCTGCTAAGCAGAAACTCTAAGCGGGATCAGCTTGGTCCTCACCCCGAAGATCTGATTCCCCAGCACTCATCCAGGAAATGCACGTTCTCAAGGATGTGGAAAAATGGTGTTTCCACCAGGACTCACTTGCAGGCAAGCAAATGTCTCTAACCTAATTTGTAGCCTAGTTCTAGGAGTTTGTGTTTGTGTGTGTGCGCTGAGGTTATAATATCCTGCACTGTGTTCCCACTTCCCGAGAGACCCGGGCATCCATGTACACACATCTCAAACACATGATCACGAAAATACACTTGGAATATGTGAAATGAGTGACAAAACACTGGCACCAGTCTGATGTTTTCAGAGCCTGAGACTCAAGCACCCTGTCCCTGGTCTGGTTAACTGCGGTCTCCAGGCAACGGCTTCAGGAAGCATCACTCACAGTGAACAGCCAGTTTCTAAGACGCACCCCTGGAAAGAAACACCAGACCCTCAACCCTGACCCGCGGTCACCCCGAAGGGCCGCGCCACCCTGGAGCCCCGTGAGTAACATGAGAGAACACAAGAAGGAAGATGGTCACAGGCGGACCATCGCTTGAGGCTGAATTTCCAGTGGGGCAGCTCCTAAGGCCGACGCGCCACCTGCCGGCGCATTTCAGGACTGGGGACAACACACGGTGAGGGCCGGGCCGCGCCAGGGGACGCTGGGCTGCGAGCCTTGGAAGAATCCCTTTGCTTTGTGAAAGACAGTCCCTAAAAACACACTGCGATTTCCGGGAGAAGATTCTCCATGAGGTAGAAAAGCGCCTTGGGAAGGCCTCCCACAGGCCTGCTGGGTGCACAGCAACCCCGACAGGGCACAGGGCACGGGGGCAAGGGTCGCTTCATCGAGGCCGGGGTGGGCATCAGGCACATCAGATTCCTCCAGGGCATTGTCTGCGGGGTCAGGTCCCAGGGTGGTGACAAGGAAACCCGTGTGTGGGTCCCCCTGACTCAGGAAGGCCATTCAGACTCCATTTCCATATGAAGACAAGGGAGGCCTCCAACGCCAGGCTGGAGTAAAATCAGGCTCTAAGAGAGGCAGGGGAAGGAGAGGCGGATCAGTGCACAGGACATGGGTGTGAAACAAAACTAAGACTCAGCCACAAGCCTAGAAGGTGGAGAGGAAAGAGCAGCACTAATTGCAAAAGGAAGAACAGAAAAGTCAGCGCTACACTTGAGACACCCAACAGACACAGGCAAGACAAGACCTGGAATTAAATCCTGTGCTCCACTGTACTCTATTATGACGGGGAGAATGGAAAAAACCTCTGGTCCTTTTAGAATCCTTCACACGGGCTGTCACACACACGTGGAGGGCTTGCGAGTATTTGGGGGGTGGGGGGTTTGGGGATTGGTAATCACTGTCTGGAAACACCTGTTCTCTGCAGGGTGCACACCAGCACCCTTCCAGTACCCTTCCAGTACAAGTTTCAGATGCATTCTAGTACCTGAATCTGCTCTACACCCCCCTCCCCACTTACTTTATTTTTTTTTAAAGAATTATTTTTATTTATTTATGCATGCAAGAACTGGGGTGCAGGCCAGAGGTGCAGGGGGGTGAGAGGATTCACCACAGAAAAAGTGGGGAGCAGAACAGGCAAATCTACTGAGATGCACTGCTGAGGGGCAAAACAGGAGAGGTCTGCTGCGCCATGTGGGTCATCTCCCTGACCGGGAAGCTAACTGATGTGGAATGATGCTAAGCAAACTCTTGGCGATGATCGAACTCTTGCTGCAGTGGCTGGTGCTAGCTTGACAGCACTGAGACTTTAGCCCCAGCGCCACCAGGGAGGCCCCTTACTTCCTTTAGAAGGCAGAAAGGCTCAGCACTGAGAACACAGAGCAGGGCAGGGGCGGTTCATGGCGTGTGGCCTTACAGCTGTGCAGGCTTGAGAAAGCCTCTTAATTTCGCTGAGCTTCCAAGAGCTTCACCATCTGAAGACGAAAGAACAGGTGCACCACTGGGGAAGGTCGTGACCCTCCCCAGCTCACATGCAGGAAGAGGGGATGCCAGACCCAGGGGCTGGATATAACAGCAAACGGAACTCCCCACAGTAAGCAACCCAACAGTGGCTCGGCTCAACAACTTAGCACTTTAGATGATGGATAAATCCCCTAAAAACAGTGTACTGAGTAATCTCAGTTTAAAAAAAAAAAAATTCATTTACATTCTGAATTCCTGGAGTTAAGAATGGAAAGGGGCTCACGACAAATCTGCCATCTTTTCCTCCAAGGCCATGGATGTAGGATAGGGGAAGGTATATAAGGTGTTTAGTATGTGGCCTCCCACAACTCAACACTCAAAAACATGAGCTGGAAGGTGAGTCAAGAGCCAACCAGCCAGCTACTAACAAAACCCTACAGACTCAAATTCCAAGTCAAAGCTTCAGCTCCATTGAAAAGGACCAGAAAGCCAGTTAGAATTCAGAGGACAAAGCCCAGATGCAAGACACAGAGTGCGCCCAACTCAGAAGCAAGCGTGCTGAGCGAGGAGTGGGCGTGCTAGGAGGTGGGAGAAGCAGACTCCACAACAGAGCACAGGGGCAGAGCAGGCGGGGAGACAAGTCCCGTGTGGTGCGACCAGCGCCCCAGAACAGGTGGTTAAGGAGACAAAAGACTGCATAGGTCCCCTGAGGCTTTAGAAGGTTCATGTGTCCAAGGACAGCCACAGAGGGGAAGCGCAGTCCCAGAGTCCAGGGGAGCAACCCAGCGGCCCCCGAGCACCTTCCATTTACTTACATTTCAGTGCCGCAGCCTCTCAGGCCACCCTCATTACCGCCCAACGGTAAGGCCAATAACCAAGGCCAAAATGCCCAACAACACAGCTACTATCACAAGGATGATTATCAATTTCTGGAGAGAAGAATAAGAGAAACAAACAAAAAAAACCCAATATTATTACAAACAACCCAAAACAAGCATCATTCATCTAAAACCAACCCTTCTGCCCTGTACACAGAAAGAATTTTATCAATCCACACAAGCAGCGTGCATTTCCACATAAAGACATTCTGTAGGCGATGCTGTATTTCTCGCAGTGTTCTTGGCATAAGGGCTTCAATCAGCACACACTGAGGTTGTGCAACTGGGGCAGGCAAGGGCGAGCTCATGGGGTCGGCCAGCTGCCATGGCCCAAGATACAAATTGGCTGACTTCCCCTTTTCAAGAAGGAGTAAAGATACTTTGATACAGTCCTAATTTCAAAATTCTGTCCATCTCTTTCCCAAAGCACATTCCCACCTGTCAGAGCCACTCAGTGATGCTGTGGACCAGCCTGGGTTCATCCTGTAAAATCACTTCCCAGTCCCCCATCCCTGCACAAGAAACAGACAGAGTTGGAAGAAAAGAAACTGAAGAACAAGATCAGAGCCCGAGAAAGAGTCGGGAAATGACAGTGGACAAAGCAGAAGAGCTGGCTGCCACCGTGCATGGGGAGAGAAGCCGGAGTCCAAGGAGTGGGTGGGGGGGGTGGTTGGGGGTTGGGGGGCGGCGGGAGTGCGTGACCACAGAGCAGGTCTGCTCCTATGCTCCCCGGGTGGCTGGAGCCAATTACGTAAGCTGACCTGCTCCTGTTTCATCCATAAAGCAGAAATGGTACCTGCTCCCTAGAGGAGGTGATGTTTACATCGTGATCAGCACAAAGGGGGTTCCGGGTAGAGAAAAAAGGGCAGTAGGAATCGGGTCTCAGAACTCGAGTGAAGACAGCAAAGAGTGAGTCAGGGGCAGCTCACGGCGACACCCTCAATGCCCCATCCTACAGAGCCACCCCCGAGTGTGGGTTCTGGGGTACATAACACGGGAGCCAGATCCATGCCTGCCTGGGAGGAAGGGAGCTCGTGTCCGGGAGAGGCGGACTTGGGGTTTTGGACGAGGCAGGGACAGAGAGAGGCAGCACGGGCTCAGGGACACGGTGGGGCGACCGGGGAGAAGCAGGAGCCGCTGAGACGCAGGCGCTCACCCGCCGTGCTTCGCTCTGATACTTGACAGCCTTTTTGGTGTCTGCCACCGCCCGCTCCACGAAGCCCACAGACTGGTCCATGTTGTTCTCGATACGGTCGATCATGGCTCCCTTTCCCCGGAAGCCAGGGGCGGAGGCAGCAGAGACAGACGCAGGGAGAGGGAAGAGAGAAAGCACGAGAGGCAGAGAACAGAACAGTCTCCTCTCTGCAGGCAGCAGGGGAGACTCACCTTCCGGGCCTGGCCCTGGTACTTCACGGCTTTCTTGGTCTCATCCCGCGCCTTCTCCACATGGTCCACCGTGTGCATGACGTTCAGCTCTATGTTATCTAACATCTCCCCCTGCAAAGGAGACATGCTGGTGACCCCCGGCCAGACACCCGGGGGTCTGGTGGGCAAGGAAGGGGCGTCTCTGGCTATCATCATGGGTGCCCCGGGGAGCAGCTGGAAGCCCTGCTGAGCAGGACACCCCCACGCTCGCACACACCCTCCCCTGGCTCCCAGGGCTGGGGTGTCATCCCTCAAGAGAGGATGAGAGACTCAGGGACTTGCTTCTTGTGACAGGCGCCACCCAGACACCTAGAACACACCATCTCGATGCCACACACAGACAGGTGTTTTGCTTTGTTTTTAATTCAGCGTGAACAAGAGGAGCCAAGATAAAGAAGTTTGTGTTCTTCAGGTGGCACCAGGATGCCAGCCCCGTCTTGGTCATCGCCTCTGAACTGCTTTTTCCCACTGCTCTAGGGCAGATGCCCAGCCTGGCGAGTGACCTTTGGGTCTCTGAGGCTGGGGACAGTCGCTCCTCTGAGAGGCCCAGGCCTCTAAGGAGACAGACGCTGGGACGCTGGGTTTACCTGAGCTCTCTGGTCTCCTGATAAGGGCCCCGCACTTTCATAGCTACCACTCCTGACAGGGGGGTTGGTGGTTGCACTCAGGTCCACTTATGGCCCCTCCCAGACCCAGCCCTCCCTCCACGGTGGCGCGCGGCTTTCCAGCAGTGTTCAAACAGAAGGCACTTACCACCACGTGGACCTCAAGCCAGTTCCTCGGCAAGGCAGTGGGGAGAAAAGGAAGAGTGGGGATGGGGGGCTTGAACAGCCACAAAGACCAGCGGGTGGAGGACAGTCAGCTGCGCCCAGAGCCGTCAGGGCCAGCCAGGCGGGGCCCGGGCTCCGGCAAGGTTTGCGGCCCTTCTGCACAGGAAGCAAGTCTCCAGCCCTTTCTAGGGGCTGAGCAGCTGGAACTTCATGGTAACAGGGACACAGCCCATGACACTGGCACAGCTGACTGCACCCCAAGGAACCACTGCAGGTGACAGACACTGAGGTCCCTGAACGAGGACACCCAGGGACAAAAGCTGTGCAGCTAAGTGCATGGGCAAGGCTTTCTGTGCATGAGTTTGCTATACCTTCACTTTCATTTTGTTCATGTTGTTGTTTCTTAACAAAAAGTACCAAAATTTGGGGGTAAACAGAGAAGAACAAAAATGAAAAAAAAATTTTAAGCCTCTGCTAAAATCTCATCTGTAAGAGCATTCATCTCAGGAGACTGTTTTAAGGCATTAGCATTAAGAACCCTTATTTCCAGGCCTCCCCTGGTGGTGCAGGCGGTTGAGCACTGCGCTGTGAAGCTGTCCGCAGCTTCTGCAGCACTGGTTCGATCCTGGCCGGCCAGCGAGGGTCCCACATGGCGTGGCAGACCTCTCCTGTCTCGCCCACTGCTCCCCTCAGCAGTGTATTTCTTCAGTCTGCCTGTTCTGTTCCCTGCTCTGTCTCTGGTGAATCCTCTCACCCTCCCACACATCTGGCCTGTGCCCTAGTAGTTGTATAAAATAAATAAATAAATATTAAAAAAAAAAAAAGAAAGAAAGAAAGAACCCTTATTTCTAATTTACGTAATGAGAGAGCGAGCTCCGGAGGCCTGAGGGAGCCGGGCAGTCAGAGCAGCGACTCCCACTACAGCTATTGCAGGCTCCCAAGGAAGCCAAAGTAGCAGACAGGATGGGCAAGGAGGAGCTTTTCCGCATGGTCAGCATGCAAAAGTGCATCTTCTCCCAGAACAGGAATTCCTTAACCACCAGGCCAATGCCGGTTGCTGCGCTGCCCTCCTCAGGAGGACACCAGCTCCCCGTTCTGGCCGTTCTGGGGAGAACCCGCGCGCCGCAGGGCTGCAGTCACCTGGCTCTCCACCAGCATGGCGATGTCCATGAACATGTCGTGCAGCTCCTTGATGCTGCTCTCTAGCTGCACGATGTCCTTGTGCCGGCCCTCGATCTCACTCAGGGCTTGCCTGGAAATCTGAGAGTCGATGATCTACAGCGGGGGACACAAACAGACCCTCAGCACTGAGCCCCACTGTGCAGCCTCCCAGTCCCAGCCCTGCAGCCCGCAGCCCACCTCCCCCACCAGGGCCCCCTTTCTCCGCCGCTGGGCTGTGCCCTGTGGGCCCAAGGTCCTCACCCCAGAAGTGAAGATGGCGGGGTTCCCGCTCTCCAGCATCTCCTCCAGCTCCTCATCTGTTGTTTTCTTGCCAGCTTTATAACGAAAGCAGAGTGTGAGACATAAACATCAAAGCACGTTGTGCTAAAAGTTCCCTGAAATCGCGACGTTCACTTTGAATCCCAGGCCTTTAGCGCACAGACGTGGGCCCACGGCACGACATTGCACAGCCCAGCACAGCCGGCAGACGCTCGGCCTGCCTGGGTGGGGCTCAGGTGGGGACAGGAGGCAGCCCCCGCAGGGCTGTGCCTGTTCTCCCAGCCCACATCTTGGCATGGGCACCCAGCGGCGGGCATGGGCACCAGGCGGCAGACACGTACTGATTTCCAGCTGCCTCTGGATGCGCCCCTTGCTGCGTTCTCGGAAGTCCACCTGCGCCTCGTTGTATCTGGTCATCACCTCCACAAACTTGCGGGAGAGGACGGAGTGCTGCAGGAGGGCGAGGTGCAGAAGGGCGGGCAGTGGTGAGGGTGGGAGGGCCGGGTCACGGAGAGCCAGCGCCCCACAGCCTGGTCCTCCAGCGCCGGGTGGGGTCTCACACCAGGTGTGGGACCCACTTCTTCATCTCCTAACAGGCACCACCCAGAGGGTCCGTTGACCTTCCAAACCAGGTTTTCAGCACGTTTACCTGCCCTGCAGACTGGTAATTTCCTGAGGCCAGGGAGATAACCCCTGCTATGCAAAGCTTCCCGAGCCCCTTCCCACACCCGGGACCTGCCTGGGATCCTTGTGTCCTGAGCCAAAACCATCAAACCCATCTCCCCAACCTTTCTTGCATTTACTACCAGGCACATCCAGTTAAAATCCCTGGTGTCTAAGTTCAAATCTCGTGAAAATGTTTATTCCTCGTCCACCTCCCAGGGTGGTCCTCCTCCTGCTGGCTTCTCCTTGGCAAAATCACCAGTATTTGCTTTTTACAAACCTACTACCATTAAAAGTCACTGCAAGTTCTGGGCCTCCCTGGTGGTACAAGGGGTTAAAATGCAGCACTATGAAGCTATCCTCAGCCACTGCAGCAAGAGTTCGATCCCCAGCCAGGGAGCAACCCACATGGCACAGCAGACCTCTCCTGTCTCGCCTGCTGCTCCCCTCAGCAGTGTATTTGAGTGGCTCCACCTGTTCTGCTCCCTCTGGTGAATCCTCTTGCCCCCTGAACCTCTGGCCTGCACCCCAGTTCTTGTATGCATAAATAAATAAATCTTTTTTAAAAGTCACTGCAAGTTCTCCATATATGAAACAAGAGTTCTGACAAGATTTTTTTTTTTAAAGATTTATTTATTTATACAAGCACTGGGTACAGTCAGAAGCGAGGGAGGGTGAGAGAATTCACCAGAGCCAGAGCGGGGAGCAGAGCAGGCAGAAGGACCGAAGTACACTGCTGGGGGAAGCAGTGGGCGGCAGGAGAGGTCTGCGCGCCATGTGGGACCCTCACCTGGTGGCCGGGGATCAAACTGGTGCTGCAGAGGCTGCGGGCGGTTTCGCAACCCAGTGCTCAACCGCCACCACGGAGGCCCTCTGACAAGATTTTTAAATGTATGTTTTTCTCACATAAGGATAGCATGATGGGCACTTCCTTTGTCAATATACTCTTCCAAAACATCATTTTTTATGACTCTGTGACAATGCACTTTCGTGAGACCTGAATAACGCATCCTCGTGGTGTGAGCACACGGTGTGAGCGCCAAGAGCTGTTTGGCTTGATTTAAGCTCTTTCTGAAAACAAACTATGATGTAATTAACAGGGAAGAAGGAAGCTGGTGACCACAGACACATGATTCACCGAATTCTACTAAATGGAAGCAAGAAGAAAGTCTTCCCAGAAAGTAAAAATTTTTTTTAAATCATTGCAAAAATCCAACTAGAACCTTGCCTGCCTCCTACCTCTCCTGCCTGGTCCAGTCTGCAAAGGCTAAGGTGTTCGACCTGGAGGCAGCTGCCCCCCTATCAGGATGCACCCTAACCTGGGGCAAACTGTGCACTCACCCAAGCTGCTGCTCGGGCCCCCCAACTGGTGCTCAGAAGCCTCTGGCATAGGGCACCACATTCTCTGCCAAAAATTCAAGGTCCTCTGTCCCACAACAAACAGATGTTACACTTCATGTCTGCCCCTCATGCCCAAAGTCGCCGCTACCCCCACCACTGCTGTGCAATGAAATGCGCATGCACATGCACACATTCACACACATGCACACATACACACACACACTCTGGCCCCCGTGCCTCTAAGGGAGCCTCTACCCCGAGGGTTTGGTGGTGGCATTCTTGCACACTCAAGGCTACCCCCGAGCCCTCCTGGAGCTTTCAATGCCGAGAGCACAGGCCCTGATGTCTCCCCTGGCCTTGTGCGGAGTGACCCTGCCCTGCACTTCTGCCAGCTCCTCAAACACAAGGACCAAATCTTTGGTGACCAGCAGTGTCTAACTCCAAACCGGATGACTAATGAGTGGAGATGGCCATCTCCTCAGCTGGAAACAAGGAGGCAGACCGAGTCCTCAGCTGTGCTCCCACAGAGGGGGTGTGAGGGAGGGACCAAAGGGGTTGGACCCGCCACAGTCCTGCCTCACCCTGGACACTCGCTCCCTTTACCATCCTTCTGAGTTCCAAATAAGAATTGTAAAGGGTGGGGAGGAGGGGGAGAAAGGCTCCCCAGCTAAAGGCTGGAAAAGACACGATTAGACTAGCGGGTGGTTAGACCAAGGAAGCCGTACCTGGGACTTTCGAATGCGAAGGTCGGCGGACGACCGGACATCGTCGTCCTCAATGTTCCTCTCCATGCCTGGCGAGCAGAAAGGTTATTCAAGCAGCACGTCTTCTGCTCTAAGAGAAACACTGTTCCCTGCAAACCTCCCGCTCAGTGTCTCATGCCCAGTGACGCCAAGCAGGTGCCACCCCACAAGGTCAGCGCATGCGTGAGCCACCTCTCTGGGCCCCAGGTCTTCTTGGAAGGTCCCTTAGCAGAGCTGGCCACCCACAGGAAGGCCGTGAGTCTCTGCACTGGGAGACTTCGGCTCAGACCCCTGCCCTGCCACTCTGGCTGTGTGACTTGGGTAACACCTCACAGGGTCCCCGCTCTCCCCACCGCATGAAGAGCAGAGGAGCATGCAGACACCAGCCCTGTCCAGTGCCAGGCACACCAGCATCACTCCTGGAAGTTGCTGCTATCTCCGCCCCCATAAGCACAGGCATTGCAGTCTGTTTCTTGGGAAGAAACGACTAGCTGGGCTGAGCAAGGTGGTCTTTGCCCTCTGTCACTGCGTGCACCCCCCCAAATGCACTGGGCAGGAACACAGACTGTAGCCAGGGACCATGTAGCTCGCCAGACCCCCGGGGAAATGACCCCAACAGGGGCTTCATCGAGCTACATGCCAGACTGAGGGAGGCGGGGCAGTGAGACAGTGGCATGTCTGACCCCACCCAGGTCTGTCTGCAGGCTGAGCCACAACACGGCTTGCCTCCAGGCCTGCAGTGTTGTTAGGGGGAAAGGATGTCCTGAACAAATTCCACAAATAGGTTCCATGGACTTCACCCCCACTCCAGATCAGAGATCCAACAACCAAGGATTACAAAACCTATAATGTCATCATCGCCCGAAGGGAGGGCTGCTGGGACCCGAGAGTGGGGTTAGGTAGCCAGCTTTGGTATAAAACCAGAGATGTGGGTCTTGGGGGGCTCCTGGCTTTTTGCCAGTTCTCAGCATGCCATTGGGGTTCCAGCTCAGCAGAACTGGCAGGACACATTCCAATTTCTCTCTCTCTTTCTCTCTGAGTTACTCATTTCTTCATTTCCCCTTTTTGTAAATAAACCCTTTATTACCCTTTTTGTGTGTGTCTGTCTGCAGTTGAGTCTCATGATAAATTCCCTTTTAAGCGTGCAGGTCAGGCCAACCCATTTCATAGCAGGGTTGCCCTGGAACAGTATATCAGTGGCCAGAGGGAGGCGGGGGGAGCAGGACACGTGGAGAAAAGTCGAGGGACTGAGACGAGACAGTCCCGCAGCCACTCAACAGCTGACAGTAGATGAGGCCCGCCCCCCGCCCTCTTCCCCCAACTGCACCCTGGACTCCTTCAACCGCAGTTTTGAGTCAAGGGTGGGTGAAGGCTGCGGGGCAGTGAGAGGTCACTCCCAGAGATGGAGCAGGAGTGCCACTCCCCCAGGCTGAGCTTGGTCCAGAAGAGCCGGACCCTGTGTCAGGGGCTGGGGGGCTGGGAGGTCCCCCCATCCCTTCTTACTCTTCAGCTTGTTCCGGACGTTGTTGGCCCTTTTCTTGATCTCAGCCGTGAGCTGCTCTAGGTCATCCTTGGTTCCTGGGTAAACAGAGGTGGGCAGGGTCAGTAAGAAGAGGCTAGTTGCTTTGTATGCGACAACTCACAGACGTGGGTGGCGCCTTCCCAGACGCCCGTCCCACACAGTCCCGTTTATCTCGGGGTGCTTCCCAGAAAGCCTCACAGAGAACTGATTGTTATAAGACATTTTCATGGGCTCCATCTCAGACCTACAAAATGAAAACACCCAGATTTGGAGCCCACACTCTGCCTTCCCAACAAGCCTTCCCAATGCCCAAAACTTTAGAGAGCCTTGCTTTTAGAAGGAACAATCATCTACTATCAGCGTAGAAGGTAGGGGAGAATCTTACAGGATCTCAAGGGAAAAGAGATCTCAACCAAGGCTCATCTACTTAGAATGAAGCAAACTATTTACGACATACCTACTATGTGCCCGGTGCAGCCCTAGGTGTACGAGCTATGACTACGGTTCCACGCCCATCCCTCAGCACCTACGACAAGCTAGAACTGAGGCAGAAATGAAAGCATCAAAAGAAGATCCAGGCCCTGCCTTTGAGGTGCTCAGTGTCCAGTGGTTGAAAAAGTAAAAAAATTCAGTGGTAGGATATGCATGTGCAATATGGTGTGCAATCTGGTCAAGGTCACAGCCGAGGGGTAGAAACCAGGCACCACCAAAGGGGCCTGGAAGGCATCTAAAGACAGAGGGTGCAGGCAGATTCTCCAGCAAGGACCAAGAGTTAACCAGGTAGAACAGGATACTAAGAGTGAATAATACCACGCGCGAAATGAGGGGACCACAAGCATTTGGGGCACAAAGTTTAGTCTGGCTACCGTGTGGGTGACATGGGGGAGCATGTCAGGAGCAAAGCGAGGAGGGCACGTCGGCAGGTGGCCGGGAGGGCTCCCACGTGCTCCGCTAAAGCACTTCACCTTCCATCTTTAGGAAACAGTGAGCCACTGACAATTTTAAAGAGTGAAGTGACGGTGTGAAGTTTGTTCTCTGTCCTTAAAGAAGTACCTGAAGCGCAGCTCTGGACCAAACCCTAAAGATGGGAAACAGCGGGGCGGGGGTGGGGGTGGGGAGTATGGGTGAACAGCAGGAATCCAGGGGTGGGAGGGACTGATGGGCCATTTGACAACACTCAGTGGGTGACAAATGGGCTTGATCTGGTAGGATGTGAAAAGGGGGACTGGGAAAAGCATTTCAGTGGGGGGACTCGCGGGAGAGAGGCGAGGCGGGGAGCAGAGGAGACGGCATGACGTGGCATGTCAGAGTGATTTATGCCAACACCCACACCCTCCCCCGGCTGACAGGAAAGAAGAAAGGAGGCTGGCTCAGACCAAAGGTCCCGGCTCATCACGGGGTGAGCCCGCCCCAGGGAGCACTCACTTGGCTCTGGAATGGGTGCAGACAGAATGATACTGTAGAGTTTCTTGGCCCCCTCCACATGCTCGGAGATCTTGTCAATGTTCAGCCGGGTTTCCTCAATCTAGAATCAGAAAAACAACAGCCTCTGTCATCCCAGAGGAGGAACACAGCCAAGGCGGAGGGTCAAGGTTGGCAGCACCCCCTGCTGGCCGCTGCCCACATCAGGGATCCAGTGTGAGGAGCATCTTTGAGGTCCTCAGAGGAAGGAATCTCAGGGAGGTCAGGAGAAGCCAAGCTCCCTGCGGGGGACACGTTCACCACCTAGAGGGGAGGGAGCAAGCCAGCGCCAGCAGGGCCAGGAAAAGCTGTGCAGAATAAGGACAGGGAAGGGCCAACAGAACTTCTCAGGCCAATCCTTTGATGCCACCCCGCTCCACAGTGAGGACAGAAGAGAGTGTGTGGGATGGGGGGGAAAAGGGGGAGAAATAAGAGGGAGGAAACAAACCTAGAGCTGAAATAAAGGGAGAAAATGATGAAGAGAAAGAAACAGAGAAACAGTGGAGGAGAAAGGAAGAGACTAGGAACGGCCCCTCTGAAGACAGTCCACACTCCTCCCCTGGACTGAAGCTGGGCCTCTGGGTGGGCCGCTGGGTGGGCCTCTGGGTGAGCCGCTGGGTGGGCCGCTGGGTGGGCAGCTGAGTGGCTGCATGGGCTGCTGGCCGGTCACAGGCCTTTCCACCATTTTGAACGTTGTGTCTTCGTGACTTCTTGGAAGAGCTGGTTTTCCCAGCGGTGACTTTCTGGGTATTTATGGGCAGCTACATGCAATTTCCTTTTGTGCATTTGCCAGATAACCAAAGAATCATGGCGGGGGAGGAGGGGACCGAAAAGAAAATCTAAACACTCAAGGGCTATTTGCGTGTGTGTTTGGGGTTGTTTTAAGTCTAATGATATTATCCTGCATGATCATAAAGAACGAGGACTGATTTACTGACCCCGGGATCAGAAACAGGGCCCTTCACAGCACGTCTGCAGAGCCAGCGTCCCTCCATCCTCTTTATACATGAAGACACGAAGGCTTACGGCCCAAGAACTCACTCCAGGCCATTTTGCAAAAAGGCAAAGTCGAGGCTTGAGCCCAGGCATCTGCGAGACTCCAAACCTTGTCTCCTGGAGCTGGGAAAGGCTGAGAACGGCCTCAGGAGGCTCCTGTCTTCTCTCCCGAGTCCCTGCACCTTCAACCTGCCACAGGTGCACATGCCGCTTGACGCACTGTCCTTGTGAGGTGGATGCAGGTGCCTTTCACCGAGATCGCAGGCCTTGACGCTGATACTCTAACCAAAGCTCCCAATAGACAGCTTTTTTAGACCAGGAGCCCTCAAGAAAACTTACTATGGAGGGAAAGTCTGAAAGGTTTTTTGAACCGCCAAGCTAAGTGTGCAGCAAATAGTCCTCAACACCTTACTGCGTGTCACTTTTTTAAAGGTGTTTTTTAAATGCTTTGTCGATAAGGTGGCAATGGGGGTGGTGTCGTTTAATAAGGTAGAATCAGACAGACAGGTCCAAGTTTTGGCTCCACCTCTCAGCCATTTTATGACCGTGAACAAGTCACTTACTCCCCCTGTGCCCCGTCTCTCATCTGTGAAATGAGGATTATCATAAAAACTATGAGGTTTTTATGGGGATTAAATGAGAGAATAAATACATGCCCGGTGCTTGACACAAGGATAGGTAATTTGGAGATGATGGCAAGCGCAAACCCAGTCAGCAACCACTGCCAGGGGACGTCGAGCCAGGTGTGCAGCCAGGCAGGATAAGCCAGGGACGAGCCCAGCTCGTGGAATCTTGCGGCCACCCGATCCTCTGCCATGCTGTCAGAGCCACCAAGTGCCCAGGGCGAGGGCCGGGGCATTAGAGGGTACCTGCCTCGTGGAACCAAGGTAACTACCATATTCTGTGACTCACCGGGATCTAACTAGAAGGAGGGAACTATTTTCAAGGCATGGATGGCTTCTTCCCTCTGAACTTAAATAGCAAGAGGAATCTAACCACACAATGATAAACAGAGAAAGTACTACTTGGGTAACAGGTAGGTATCGTGCCGGAGGACCCGTTGATTCCACATAAAAAGTCTCTGTGTCCCCCAACAACGTGCCTCTAGTGAGGCAGTAATTCCTGCATCTCTAGTTTCTGAAAACGCATTATGTGCCCCCCTCCTTTTAAGTATTAGGTGTGTCCACACCATAGACACACCTTTGCTTTTCCCCAAAAACAGCATAATCATTAAAGGGGTTCAGCAAGTCGCCTTCAGTATGTTTGCTTCTTTGCTTTGGACAAACATCGATGAGAAGGAACAGAGCCGTCCCTGTCAACCAATCAACAGAAGCCAAGTCCCTCAAGGGTTTTATCAAGATGGGGACCAGGGCTTCAACTCTCCTTTTAGAAATCAAAACAGGTGATTCCAGAGCTATCCTGACCAGTGAAAGCATAGTTCTGAGACAACAATCTCAAATCCATGGAAGGGGGATGCAGGGTGAAAAATTTAGTCAGGAAAACAGAAACCTACCTAGTAACTTTAACCAAAGTCATGCGTAATGGTGGGAATTCTTTACGTAGAGCTGGAAGGACCGAGAAGCCAAATGAGGCTGGTGAAGCACTCAGGAAAGGAAGAGCAGCAGGTTGGAGGGACAGCCAGGAGAGGCAGGGGCCAAGGCCATAGACTCGGGAGCCAGGCGCTGGGAGTGACCAGCAGAACGAGCTCTAGAAGCAGGTCTGCCAAGAGAAAGTTGAGGAGTAGACTTGTCTGGGGTAAAAGAAACCCACAGTGTCTCCCCCCATCAAGTCTGCTGCCTCCCCAAGGTCAAACATACCCACAGCCAGCTGGCACGGGAGCCTGAAGGATGCAGGGTGCCTCCAACACAGAGCGCGGGAAGGGTGAGGACAGCCAAGAGCACACGGGCAAGTGACTGGCAAGGGCGTCCTCCTGCTATGAAAAGAGCCCGCAAAGGCAGAACTTGCCAGCTCGCACAAACGTCTTCCTTCACCAGAGAACTAGGGAGTATTTAAACCTGCTTGATGCAACTCAACGCCTAGAATTCCAAGGCACATTCACTTTGAAATTCTTGGTTTTAACCAAGGTCAAAGCTACCTAGCGAATCTCTAAGATTTCAGGCTGCTCACCTGCAGCCTCTGAACAGGCTTCAACCCACCCGCCCAGGCATGCCTCCACACTCTCTACCTGGCGCCCGCTGGACTCAAGTCTTAAGGGCTGGGGCACACGCAGCGCCTCTCAGCAGAGGTGTCTGAATGAACGACCGAGTACAGGTGATGCCAGGAAGCGAGCATGCTTCTTCACATGCCGCTGCAGAGCAGTTCTTAAGCACATTCCCCAAAAGAAAACTTTATGAAAATTACTTTCTCCCAAACGCAGCCATTGATCCTTATTAATATAGAAGTCAGAGGTCAGAAAGGGCTGCAAAATACAGAAGCTGAGACAGCCGAGTCAGGCAGCTCCTTTCTATGGGACTCCCTGGAGTCCCATAACGCACATTTGAAATTTCCATGGGAGGAAAAAGGAGTGAGCATCTCTCAAACATACCTGATCACACCACCATCCAGGATAAGCCTGTGACCGGTCCCCCCAGAGGCACCCCTTACCCCTATACTTTCTTCCTATGAACTCAGATCTTCTAGGGGCAGAGGATGAATCTGATGTCCCATCCCCTTGCTAAGCACCCACTGGCCCGGGGTCCCTGCAGCTAAGTGGCCGCAACTGCCTGACCACAGAGGGAGTCAGCTTGGAGGACTGACTTTTCCTCCCTGAAAAAAGGACCTGAAAAGCAGCCTGTTTCTTACTGATGAGGTGCCAATGCAGGGTGGTGGCACACGGGGAGTCTGGGACCCCCAGCACTGACACGCCAGCTGCCAGATGGTGAGCACCCCATCACCTTTTGATAAAGGGATGATGAATCCAGAACAACGAGCCCCTGGGAGTCAGCCTTCTCGGGTAGATTCTGTTGTCTCTGAACCTTGCTCTTCCCCAACAACTGAGCAAACAGCCAAGAAAATGGGAATTGGACAAAAATCTGCAGTTTATCACTTACTGGGCCCTGGCTTAATCCGTCACGGCGGCCTGGAAACCCAAGGGTCCATTTTTTTTCCTGTCACGACAGAGCAGCTGACAATGTCACTGCTGAGTTTTAAGGCACAAGCACAACTTGAAAAGGCCCTGGGCCAGTGACTTCTCCTGCGCCTGGCAGACGCCTCTCTGCCTGTCAGCGATCCATGCTGTCTCAGCCAGTACCCCTGGTGACCTGCCTGCCGGAACCACTCCAAGCAGCAAGACTTATCTCGAGAGCTTTCCTGAGACAGCCAATCCACTGCACGCCCACACAGAGGCCTCTCATGCCCCGGGTCCCCATCCTCCGGGATGGACCTTACCCCACTTTCAAGGCTATTTCCAGGCCACATCCTATACAAGAAACTGCACAGTGTAGTTATCCGCAAATATACCATGCAGCAGGGTGGAGAGAACCGAGGGTGACTGGACACACTCCCTCCATGTCAGAGGGCGGGCTGGGCTCAGCAGGGATTTTCTCCTCTTATACTCACCCCACCAGCAGGTGACCTTGTTACTCCTATTCTGGAGGAAACTGGAGTTCAGAGTGTTACCTGACTTTTCCACTTTCACCACTGGGCACGGGCAGAGCTGAGGTTAGACCAGGATGTGTGGGTGCAGAGTGTGTGGCCTCTTTCCATGACCCACGTGCCCCCTTGCTCCTGTCCCTCCAGCACTCAGCCTCTCTGCCCCACCTGACAAGCAAGAGGGGAAGAGACATCCACAGGGGCCCACTGAGGGCCTCCTGCACCTTCGCTCCTTCAGCCCCAACCAACCTGTGAAGTGGATGTTTTTCTCCATTTCACAGATCAACCCACTGAGACATGGAGACATCCAGGGATGGGCCCAAGATCACAGTCAGTGAAGGGTGGGAAACTAATCTCAAAGATAGAGTTCTTTGCACCCCCACCCCTTCGCCACCCTACATATGACAGAAAGCACTTGACAAGTAATAAGGAAAGCAGTAGCCCTCAAGGTCTTGCTGAGTCTCCAAAAATACCCATGACCATCCGGAGCATGACAGGTTAGGTAATACTTTCCAGACCCATGGTCTTCGATCCTCACGGAAGCCTTGAAAGGTAAGCACCTGCATCCCTGACTTCCAGACCAGGAATTAAAGCCCCAAGGGTTAAGTTACCTGACCAAGGTCAATTGCTGTTAAATGCCTGAAGATGTGGGCCTCCCTGATGGCTCATGGGTTAAAGTCACAGCACTATGCAGCTATCACCAGCCACAGCGGCACAAGTTCAATTCCCAGGCAAGGAGCTACCCACATGGCGGGGCAGGCCTCTCCTGTCTCGCCGCTGCTCCTCTCAGCAGTGTATTTTAGTCAGTCTGCCTGTTCTGCTCCCCACTCTGTCTCTGGTAAATCCTCTCACCTCCCCCCCACATCTCTGGCCTGTACCTCAGCCCAGCTCTTGTATGCATAAATAAATAAATCTTTATTTAAAAAAATGTCTGAGGGGCCTCCCCGGTGGCGCAGCGGTTGAGCGCTGGGTTGCGAAGCTGCCCGCAGCCTCTGCAGCGACAGTTCGATCCCTGGCTGCTCCCCGGCCACTGGAGGAGGGTCCCACATGGCGCGCAGACCTCTCCTGCCGCCCGCTGCTCCCCTCAGCAGTGTGCTTCGGTCCTTCTGCCTGCTCTGCTCCCCGCTCTGGCTCTGGTGAATTCTCTCACCCTCCTGCGCTTCTGACTGTACCCAGTGCATGTATAAACAAAACAAACAAACAAACAAATAAATAATAAAACATGCCTCTATAAAAAAAAAAAAGTATTAAAAAAAAAAAAAAAAAAAAAAAAAAAATAAAAATAAAAAAATGTCTGAGGATGAGATCAGATGGTCTTGCCCATGTCAAAGCCCACATCTCCCCAGCCTGCAGGCGGGGGTGGGATGGGAGGGGTGTCACTGCCTCTCAGGGCTCCCTCGCCGCTTAGGGAGAAGAGGGAGAGCACAGTTATTAGGGAAGAGTCCTTCTTATAAAGAGAAAGTTCTCTGTTTTTATTTCCTCAATGTAGTCCAAATTCATTTTTTCTAAGTGGTTTACAACCCTGTGCATGATTTAGGGGTGTTAGTTCACACCTCTTCAGATGCATGTTACCATCACCAAAGCACCCACTCTCCACCACCAGTCCACTGGGGCTCCTGCACCCAGCCGGCCCAAACGCCTCCTCTTCTGACAGCCAGGATCCCACAGTCAGCTTTCTAGGGTTTGTTTGGGTTTGGCCTTGTCTGTTCCCTTGTTTGGTTCTCTGTGGTCCACACAAGTGAAACCACCAGGTATCTGTCCCTCCGAGTCAGCACTGTCCCCTCCAGGGGGCAAGAAATTCTTTCATGCGTCTGGTTCTCCAAGGCAAGATCAGAGGCCCAAACTCAGGGTGGCCCTGGCGTCCGCCCCACTACAGAACAGAGAGACAGTTTCCTCCCGAGACCCGCCTGGAACAATGCTGGACTCACAAGACTCAGGTGGCCTTTGATCTCCACAGAAAGGAGGGCGCCTCCCACAAGGAGGGAGGGATCTGCTGCATGGTCCATAAACTTCCCTGTGGGGCCAGCAATGCTCATGTTCACTCCTGAGCACGCTTGTTACACCCACAGGTAAAGGGGCAGGTGCTATCCAGGCCCGTCCACTCCATGTACCCCCTGCCTACAGGCGATTTCTGCACCCCCATGCCCTGCCTCCCGCCACCCCCACTCCTCCTGCCCCCACCCTTCCTGCAAAGGGAACACGATGCCTCTTGTCCCCGGTGACAGTAAACTTTTGTGGTTTGTTTTCTTTTTTCAAACACCAGTCCCTGAACACACACGTCACACTGCATGTGTCAGAAACATTGTCCCAGGCCATCCTCACATGGGCGCATCCACCCCCAGGCACAGGCAAGAGAACCACGTGGTTAAGAGGCAATCACAGGAGCAGCAGCAATCACAGAGGCAATCAGGAGCTGGGCTGAGACCCGAACCCGGGGTGACCTGGCTCCAAGCCTGAGATCTCCCCTGACACTTGCCTCCCTCAGGCTTCAGCCTCCCCCTCACCAGGGGCAACACCTTCCCAGCTTCAAGATCAGAGAGCTACTTGAACCTGTAGGCTGGAACGCCCATCCTGGGCCATTAAACTTCAAAAAAGAAAAGAAAATAAGCTGGTGGTTTCTCGGTGTCTCAGCTATCAGAATGAAGTCAAAGAGACTTGCCTTTGGCAAGAACAAACCTGATCCATCTGAATCACATGCCTGAAGACAGGTGGTTTTCACTGTCTGGCTGGGACCCCATCCTTGACTCTGTATTTAAATCACATCATTTGAGCCTCCCTGGTGGTCTAGGGGTTAAGTCTTAGCACTGTCACCACAAAGACCTGAGTTTGATCCCCAGCCAGGGAGTGACCCACATGGCACAGCAGACCTCTCCTGTCTCGCCCGCTCTCCCCTCAGCAGTGTATTTCAGTAGATCCACCTGTACTGCTCCCCACTCTGCCCTCAGTGAATCCCCACACCTCTGGCCTACACCCCAGTTCTTCTATGCCAACAAATAAGTAAATCACATAATTTATGCACCAGAGGTCGTTATTAAAGTACAGTCCTGCAGCCCAGCACTCTGAGAGTGTGTCTCTTAGCACCTGTAATTGACCTTCTACTCGTACCTTTCTTCATAAGATCGAAAATCCAAATCCTCCCAAATAAGAATTAAAAGGAGACTCTCCCTTCCACTTCTGGGCCCGAGCATCCCTCCTCAGCACAGGGCCACCCGTGAGCAGCCTGAGGCTCTTTCTAATCATGAAGATGCTGTGCTTCCCTGTGGACATTCAGAAAAAGCCACACAGAAATGTCGCCTACCTCGGAGAAGAACTCATCCATGAAGGCCGTGTTGTCGATGGCGATCTCCACCTCATCAGCATCGCTGTCCTGTGTCAGCTGCTTCTGGGCAAGACAGATAGGAGACGGTTAGACCAGAGGCCCGAGCAGCGGCCGTGGCACTCCGTGCCCACTGGGGTTGGCCAGCTTGTCTTCCCCAGGCGTTTTATACACACAAGTGCCTCTAAAACTCAGAACTCTGTGCAGGGGGGCCTCCCTGGTGGCCCAGGGGTTAAATCTCAGAGCTATCACTGCTACGGCCTGAGTTCAATCCGTATTTCAGTATATCTGCCTGCTCTGCTCCCCACTTTCTCTGGTGAATCCTCTCACCCCCACACCTCTGGCCTACACCCGGTTCTTCTATGCATAAATAAATATTTAAAAATAAAACTCTGGGACACATCAGCCCCTGACGTCTAGTCACACTGTCTGAATTTAAGCCCTAGACCCACTGCCTTTCTGGATTTTTTTGCAAGGGGAGTCAGGGGGAAGGGAGGGACTAGAAGTTACTGACCAGGCTGGGCCAAAATGCTAACAATAACACCACTTACACTTCATAAAATCAAGAAATAATATACAACACTTTTGCACGTGTGAGTATCCTGGCATACTCAATAAATGCTGGGTTTCATGAGCGGTGGTGCTATTGGTGACGTGACATAGCTCATTCCAGTTGGAGAAACTAAAACAGAGAGGTTGAGTGACTTGGCCAAGGTCGCACAGCTGAAATGTGGAGGCAGGCAGATGCTAGCTCATCTTTTGGATTTTGACCCCATGTTCCTCCAGGCTGTTCAAATGTGTGATCCACTCTATGAGGGGTCTGTAGTAAAACAGTTTCTAGCCACCATTCCTTCAAAGCATCAGCTTCAAACCCTCAGGGTAGGGGCAGAGATGTCCTGTTTTCAGAAACCACCTCTTGCAAAGGAAGCAGAACCATGTGGCCTTCCCTGACAGGGAGTGTTTGTTTATAAGGAAAAGGAAGCTCTCCTGCCAGCCCTCAGCAGCCCCCCATGGACCCCAGCTTTCTTAATCCCATTCAACTTCCTCTGAAAATCACAAAAGGAAGTGCCTCCATGCCCACCCAGCATCAGGGCAGGGCTGTTTCTCCTTTCTTCCTGAACACTCTCCCCAGACTTCTGCTCAACACAGGCCATTTCTACACCCAGGACCGGATGGGTGCAGCCTACCTTCCCAGTACCCGTTTCTTCACAACCTTCAGTGGCCCACATCCTTCTAAGACCTGTCACTCTCAGAAGTCCACGGCCATAATGTCACCTGCTCCCCCTGATCTGCAGGGAGGATGTAGTCACTGGGATTCCCATGGAAATGTGGCGTTCTCCAGCCATGTGGAGAGGCTCTTTTGACTGACTCCGGCTTGTCAGAAACCACCAGGAACTCAAGCTTCATTAAGGCCGCATTCAAAAGAGCTGCTCCAGGCCCTGCAACCACTTGCCCAAAACTTAGAACTGACCATGTGCCCTGCCTTAGAACAGCCCCTGAATGCCCCGGGATTCAAGGTCCCAAAGCCTAGCAGAGCACGGGGGCCCAGTTTCTCCCACCGTGGGGTTCTCCTCCTAAAAATACAAAATGACGACACCCACAGCAGCAGCCACAAGTCAGCACAGATCAGAAAATCCAAGGAGGAGGCATCATCCCAGGCTGTGCGGAGCCATCACCAGGCACCAGGAAGGAATCTACCAGGTGAGGGGAGGCCTCGGGGAGCCCACTGGTGAGGAGAGCACCTGACACCCTTTATCTGCTGCCCGCAAGAATGAGCACACACAGAAGAGGGCTTGGGCTTCTTTATCAAAGAATCAAGGCCTGTGGTTAAAAAGGACGTTAGGGCAGCTGCAGAGAAAAACGTCCACGAACCACGAGCCCAGCCACCCACTTCCTCTCACAGCAGCCCCCTGCTGCCTCTCTCCCAGGAGATGGGAGATAGCACAGTGACGTCTGGAGCCAGGCCCTCCCAGCGCCCTCAGTGAGGACAGCAGGGGCTCTGGCCTCCTCTCAGGCCAGAGGGGGGGGGGGGGGGGGGGAAGATCAGGGGCCCAGAACTCAGAGCAACCTAATCAGCAATTCCTCCTACTTGTGCGCTGGCTCTCAACTGCCCTCTCTAGTTCCTCAGTCTCCACGACTGCTGGTCCCTCTCCATTAGCTTATGTAGGAGAAATATTTGCCACCTTGAAAGCTCCTAGCAGGTGCCAGGTGACCACACCGCTGTCACAGGGCACCAGATCAACAGTCCCATCTATGTTCGTAGCCGAGAACCTGCAGGTCAGAAGTGATAAGCTATCCAAGGTCCCCCAGCCACTGATTCACACAGTCGGGGAGGGAGTCCAAGCTTAGGGGGTGTGTCCTAAGCCCCGGCTGAGTCCACAGCACCTGCCCAAAGCTGTTGATCAGAGCAGCGCTCAGAGGGAGCACAGAGAGCACAGAGAGACCCTTGGGAGCACAGGGCAGGGAAAGAGGGGCCTGCAGGACAGCGTTCGCATCCTCGGAGCCTCAGTTTTCCCACCACCTTAGGAGCTTGTGGGACCCAGGATGGGTTTGGAAACTGGGGGAGGTGAGGAGAGGGCGGGGTGAGGTAGCAGGCTAGCCGGTGTCCTCCGCACTATGCACGCTCCGCACCTACTTGCTGTACACTGGGGCTGACGAGACTTCGGTTTAAGAAAGTCCTGCCATCAAGAGAGAAAAGGAAGGAGGGAAGCAAGCGTAGCTGCTGCAAAGGCACTCAGGTCGATGGACAGGCACAGTCTAAAGAAGTGGACAAGAGGGGGCCCCTCGCTGCATCCACCGTGACGCACAGAGGCAACAGGAGCTCCAACCGCCAGCAATTCCTTACTTACAGACCGCCACAAATCAGGACACAAGACGGGGAAGGGTCGGAGAAGGAAAAAGGAAGCCCTCCCAAACAATCAGGCTCTCGGACCCCCTGGCAGGGGCCTGGCCCCGGAAAGACAGAGGGTCTCAGGACAAGACAGAAGGAAGGCCCAGGTGCTCTCAGCTCTAGAGAACCTTAACAGGAGAAGCCAGAGCATCCTCTGGATGAGGAAGGGATAGCCGGAGCTGACTCCCCATGGGGGTATAGAAGATGTGGCTGGTGGGGCAGGCGCATCCTGACACTGGGGGGCAGGGGGAGGGGGTGAGCACAATTCCTGCTCCCCACACCCACATGGCTGCTCCAGAGACACACTCTTCTTTACAAATCCAGATTCCCTCCCAAGAAGTTTGATTCAAAGAGACAATGACGTCTGCCTTTCCTTGGGCCTGCTGCCCACCCTGGGGGCCTCCCTTCCTCTCGGACGAGGGTCTGCTGCTTCCCAAAGACAAACGCGGCACACTGCCCAACATCTGGTTCCCCAGCCCCTCTTCCTTGATTAAGAGCCAGAAGTGCTCATCTGTGTGCGCCCCACAGCAGGGTCTCAGGGCTCTGTTCCCTATTCAGGGTGAGGGGGCCCCTCTTCCATGCCCCCCCCCCTTCCAGGGACAGCCTCCCAGAGGGGCCACTTCCCTTTCCTCGGAACTGCATCTTCCCCAGGACTCTCGCCAGATGACTCAAGAGGAAATCAGAGGCGGGGGATACTGCAGGTAGCCTCTTGCTTTGATTTCCAAAATGTTCTTTTAGCTGAGCAACTGTGGGCAAGAATTGGCCCTGTCGGGGAGATGGAGACCCTGGGGCCTGACTCCTTACCAGATTAGCCCCAGGCCACGGGTCAGAGGACATCTGACAACTGCCCAGTCCCAGGGGCCCCATTCCGGGCCAGCAGCCCACAGGCCACCACTGCTACTGGGCAGCAGTACGCACGTGCGTCCCTCCGGAACTCAGGGTCCATACACCAGCCCTCACGTCAACTCCGGGAGGGACAAATATGACTCTCCGCATTTACAGACGAGGCAACTACTTCGTGAGGTTATAGAGCTAAGTGGCAGCAATAGAACTCGAAAGCAGGTCTGCAGGAGGCCAGGGTCTGTCCTTATCTTCCACTCTCTGCTTGAAGAGGCCCCTCCCACTCCCAGCCTTGCTCATTTCACAGGATGCCGCAATAAAACTCACCCAAACTAGTCTAGATGCAACAATGAAGAAGATACCGGGGCATAAAATCTAGGAATGTGCTGGTTTATGGAGATGCAACAGAGCTGAAAACCCAGCTCTGCCACTTCGGAGCTGTGCATTCTTAATCAAGTGACTTAACCTCTCTGTGCCTGGGTTTCCTCATCTATAACATGAATAGTCTGCTCACAGATTATGTGAGGATTAAGCTCATTAATACGTGGGAAATGTCTAGAGCAATGCTGAGTCCATAGTAACTGCCCAAGACTATGTCTTTTACGGCAGAGAATCAGTCTTTGCCTTTCCAAAGAGAGTTTTTGCTAAACATGCAACTTTAATACCAATTCTCAGCAGGTCCCTCAGGCGCTTGGTTCACTGAACATGGTAACAGATGCTGGGGGGACACGGAGCAGACTCAGGGCCCCCTGCTCCCCAGCAGCACCCCCTGCTCTCCAGGACCTCTGTCTCAGAGAAGAGGCAGAAAGGCATACAAGTCATTACAGATCCACGTGGTGAGTGATCCCACAAAGACAAGGGCTGCCCAAGCTCACCTGAACTCAAGGTGGGGCCCGGGGAAGATGGAAGCCTCTCAGAGAAAGCTCACCCAGGTGAGTCCTTGTGGAAATTCTGTAGGTGAAGTGGGTTGGCCATTAAAGAAGATAGGACCATACTTTCCTCCTGCTCCTGCTCTCATCAGCAGCCACTGCAGGGGATTCTGGAATATCTTCTGCTTCCCCCTGGAGCCTCAGGCTCCCTGTTGGTCCTCACTCCCCGGCCTCAGCTGTGCTTTTCCAACCTCCCCGCTCTTCCCCCAACAGCACCCGGTTTTCAGGGATCTAGAAAGGAAGTAGTATGATCTCTATGTCACCCTCAGCCCTTCCTTTCAGCTTCTGTCCCACATGCCCCATCCCCCTCATAGTCTTCTAGAACACTTAACAATAGTTAAAATAGGTCACATATCCAGCTCTGGACACGTGCTGGGGATTCTCCTAAAACTTGTGCTTGATGGGCA